TTTTGTAATGAATTGGTTTATTTCTGAACTGCCTTGTGAATTATCTGACTTTTTCATGTGTTAGATTCAGTATCCAGACTGTGGCTGGATTGTAAGTTAGCATCGCTGAGTATTAAAGTCCTAATAATAAGTCAGGCAGCATATGAAGAATCACATGACTCAGAAGCAAAGCAACATTTGTATTTATCTACGGGTGTTCTTGAACCAGTTGTCCTAGACATACATTTCAGGAATTCTTTGACCTATATGACATATACAAGTGGTCCTCACAGCAGCAGCATAAATATATTTTGAAAAATATATATTTATTTTCAAAGTTTTAGCAACTGAATAAAAAGGATGCAAGCGAACCGGATTCTGCCGGCTGGATAGAGACAATGGCAAAATGGAGGCAATCCCAAAAATAACACCTGAATCCTTTAATGGCATTTTACACATATAATAGCATATATTGGAGGTACCAATAAATTCAAGACTGAGCACTTTGACTTATCTCTCGGCTGTTAAATTAATACTGTAGCATTGATATAGCATACATTTTGTAATACATTTTTCATGACGTACTGCGCATTTCGTAATTACATACACATTGAATTCTAAAGATACATTTTAAACAATGCTTATCTCTGAAGTTTCCCATTTTACAGGTTTTCCCAAGGATTCAGTCTTCCTTCAGCCACTGTCAATCAACACAAATGGCACACAGGAAGCCACTAGAGGGGCAAAGATTGCAGGACCGATGGTTTGCTTCTTTACGTTCTACATGGCGATGCATCGGCCAATGCATCTCCATGAGGAACTGTTGATTGGCACAGCAAGGCAACTGCCACCCATATGCCTTATCCTCCATATGCTTTCATGTGAGGAAGCATTGGATTGGTGAGATCATCAGTATTGATGATCTCAGCCAGTAGAGGCCGGGAGATAATGTCCAGACCGGCACTTTGGGGGAAATATTGTGAGTAAAATGTTTGTATTCCTAATGCTCATATAAACCAAGCCATGTTCATCTATTGATTAGACGGACTTAGAGTTACAGGTGCAATGCCACAAGTCTGTTTCTAGGTAATAATATCAAAGGAATGTGATTTGATTGCAATTCAGCTGTTTGTGAATAGCGAAATTATCTAAATTTTATAAGAATCAGATCTGGAAGAAAGATCCGGTTGAATTTAAAATCTAACCCATTAGAAGTGTAAGTATGACAAAATACACACATTTACCTTTTTCTTAATAGGTAATGTTAGATAAAAACAGCCATATGTGAACAATGGAATAAGGACAGCCATTTGGAACTTGTTGAATATCTTTTTGGCATGTTACTAAATGCAGGTTTTAGCAACAGAAAAATAATTGTATAAAGCTACTTCATAGCAGCCAAATGGCTTTCAGATATCCAACTTCAGTTGCTTAAAAGTTTGCTATTTGTATATGTAGCATCCTGGTTTAAAGAGACACAATAGGCATCCAGACCACTTCAGCTCTTTGTGTCCCTGTTTCTTTCTAGTGAAACTGCAGTGTTTACATTGCAGGACTAAGACTGCCTCTAGTGGCTGTCAATCAGACAGCCATTAGAGGCACTAGTGGCTAAGGTCTAATGCACTCGCATTCCTATGGGTAGGGCCTAAGGCGTTCGCTGCGCTCACTGCGCATATGCATTAGCCCTCCTTCTCTGTCGGAGGAGGCGTGACATCGATGCTGTGCCAAGGGAGATTGGTGCTGGAATCGGCTAAGTGTTAAGAGGGTTTTCTAATCCTTTAGCTACTGGGGGAAGGTGTGAGGGTGATGAGCAAAGGGAACTATAGTGTAAGAAATACAACTTTGTATTCCTTACACTATAGAATTACTTTAATATATAAAATATACATTATACATATATTACATATATAAGAAGCAGTCAGTACATTCAATCAGTAAATGCGTACATTTTTGTCAATCGTTTTTCTCGCAATTTTTTTTGCCAGAACCAGCTAAACATTATAATAATTATTATCATGCAAGTTAATAACTATATTTATAAATATATATCCTATTATTTAATTTCAAGTACGCTCAAAGGGAATGGAATAAATTAGCATAGTTGGAAATAAATAAAATTAAACATAAACCGTAGGTGTAAAAAAAAAACAACAACCACTACTTCACATCACAATAATTTTTATTTATATCTTGCAATTTTTCTTTTAAGTTCAGTAGTTTAATACAAATGAGCATGTAAAAAATGTAAGACATTCACATTGGTAAATGTCCATGAGTATCAGCGAACATGCAATGTCATTCGGCACATTAAAGAAGATATTTTAAAGCTGAAGCAGACTACTACAAAATCTGGGACCGGGGACATGGTTTTACAGTGGCAGCAATGAATGGATAGTATTGGAATTGTAAAAGACAAATAACATTATTCACGAAAGTGGGAATTGTTGGGAATTATAAATGAATTCGAATTTGTTCGAATGGACAAAATCCGGTGAAAATGACCATTCCGACCATATTGGCAGCAATCATATTTACTAAAGCCAAATTAGGTCAGGATTCGGTCAGTATGAGCGATTCTGTAAAATTTGTTTAGATGAATTTGGAAAATCCGTGATTTTCACATTTAAAACCAATTTATGGCACCAAAATTTGAGATGCTTCAATGACTGGTTGGCAGTGAAAAATGATGAAAAAACTGAATGCATCCATGTTCGCAACTTATCATTCACTTGCTTTTTGCTAGTGATTTGATCATTTTAAGAACTATTTGCTGGAACCCTATCCTGAGAGGAGTGCAGTGAGACTTGGCTGTCAGAATTGACTCGGTTGTCACATGGTTTTCCAAGCACTTCTAGGTTTCTCAATCGGTTCACTAGCTGGAAGCAGGTTATTGGTAAGTCACTTTATTTCTTTGTGTGTGTGTGTGTGTATGTATATATAGCTACCACTTGCTTTATATTGTTAATCATGAAAAAGGCCCGAACGGTTAAAAATGTAGATCATTTGCACAATTGGATGTGGCCCACTAAGTTAAATAAAACAGATATATGTAGGGCCGGCCATAGGGTTGTGTAAGCTGTGTGGCTGCTGACACAGCTCACAAATCCAGCCCAGCACTTCCTTAAGCTCCATGCAAAAAGATCTCCCTCACTGGCCCAGCGCACCCAGTGCAGGGGAGCCAAGGAGCCTCTGGTGACTGGTTTTGCCTGAGGAAGTGTTAGTGAATAGTGAGACCATGAAGGAGCAGACAGTAATTTGTCCCCTCGCATTGTGCTTGCAGGCTGTTGGAAGGGTGCAGACCAGAGGTGCTATACAACACTGGACCACCTCCATTTCACCTCTAAACCTAAACAGCTCTGTCATTTGCTCCACTTGCCACTTGTCTGATGGTCATGGGGATGCAGGGGAAGTACGTTTTTACTTTCCTGAACTGGTCCCTTGTGGTCACCGCCATATTCTTCCACAAGGTCCTCTTCAACTCCTAGTGCTTCATATGCCAAGGGCCAACATCAGTGCTGTAATCTCCCTTTATGCGCGAAAGTACAACACTGATGTCTGTGTAGGATCACTTGAGACAACAGGATCCTCAAAAGAAACAGCCTTTATACAAGGTAGTTCTGTCTTTTGTCAAGCTTGTCAAGTGTAAAAAAAATGCCTGAGATAAGTAACTCCTACTTTGTAGTATGATATATTTTGACAGGGTTTGAATTTCCATGAAAATCCAACACAATCATTATTAGCACTTCATAAAGATGCTATCTGTTTTGGGGGCTGGAAGATAAAGAGCCACTTTAATGCATTATGTTGTATAATAATAATAGTTAAGTAACAGTAAACAGTGCTTATAGGAAGGTGCTTTTAAACTTAATGCCAATGACCTAAACAGATTGCTCTGCTGTTAGCTTAAGACTTATATTTGAACATAGTCTAGAACTAGATTTGTCAATGTGGGTAACATATTTACATAGAAGAGCTCTGGCTTCCTATTCTTGTTCCATGGGCTTCGGGGTCTAACTTAAGTTGGAGGTGGACCTGGCCAAATGTGGCTTCTATTCTTTTTCATTTAAATGTTTCCATCTGGCTGTGAGAGAATGATGGATTGGAACATGAGACAGCATGCAGCCCTCTTGCTCCTGTTGCATTTGCTCAGCACCCTAAAAGGTGAGGGGTTACAATGTATAACATTTTTATACATTTTTCAATTGAAAAAAAATACTTAATAAAAGTCAAATTGATTTAATAACTAAATTCAGTGAAATTAAATGATAAAATATTTTGTAAATAATTAATTATAAATAGGTACATGGCAATGATTTGGGCTATAGTATGCAACACCAGATGTGTACAAAACTTAACTCCTAATAATTAAAACATCAGTTGTGCCTGTTGTGTTTCATTAGCATGCAAAATAGTTATCTAATTACGTTAATTAGATAAAAAATATAAAATAAAAAAATAGGAACAGTTTTACATTTTTAGATTCTCTTCCTGTCTCAATAATACACAGTTCTTTCAATACTTTTGTTGTTGGCAGTAAGACCCAACAGGTAAAGCAATAACTGCATTTGCACAGCATTATGAAATCAGAGCAAATAAATAAAATACAATGTACTAATAGATTTAACAAATTAAAATTTAAAACAAGCTGTGCGTTGCATAGACACAAAAATGTAAGTCAACCTCCGGTATTCTGTGGGATTATCAAAAATGTTTATTTTAACCACTTAAGGACACATGACGGAAATATTCCGCCTTGAATCCCTTTTATTCCAGAAGTTGTTTCCTTAAGGGGTTAAAAACACCAGACTTTGAAAGGCTGATACCTTAAGAAAAAAGATTGGCCTTATCATCGTCGCAAAGTAGACTAAAGTCCACACCATATGTGAGTTGGCTTCATTTCTATTACTTGATAATAAGTTACTGTTTAAGTCACAAAACACACATTGACAGGACCTCGGAGCAGATGCCAGATTAAAATAGATAATTTATTATTTTCACAGAGCTAATATTCATGTAATGCAGTGACTCTACTGGAGAAATATTTTTATTGTGCTCTGTAAATATGCATAAAGCCTCAGTAAACATGTGATATAATTGTCACAATTCCCATAATCCGTTGCAACTTCCCTACCTTACTGGCCTCACCCTAATGCTTTAGTTTTCGAATACACCTTTTCACAATGAAAAACCCCCTGACAGGCTCTACGGTAAGTTAATTATGTATTTATTTAAGATACAAATCAATACAAACTTGCTCTAAATAGCAGAAATTATCTTTAGAATATTTTGGATATGAATTTCGATCTTTGATACGAAAAGAAATGTTTAGATATATTGCATGAATAATTAAGGATATACAAAACAGTAACATTAATTGCTAGTTGTTAATATTATTATTGACATATTATATAGCGCCAACTTATTCCTCAGTGCTTTACAATATTATAAATAGGGAAATCTGTCGATAAATGGGACAATTACAAAATGTTACAGGAACAAAAGGTTGATGAGGAACCTGCACGAAAGAGCTATCATACGCTATGTGTATCTCTAATGCATTTCCTGCAGATAAGAAATGAGACATAGGGGTTCATTAAATAAGAAATGAATTGAAGTGAATTAAAAAACAGATTTCAAAATATAAGAAAAAAGCAGCTAATCTGAAAAATGTCCCAACCCTCACACGAGGGTTGTTTTGAATTCGAAATGAATTTCAAATGTAAGGCCAGAGTAGTCGATCTAAAAGCTGACTATTTTGAACTTAATTTTGAAATTCACTTTGAATTCTCACTTTGGTTAAAAAAATACTTGATCACAATTTGGGTAAATTTATACAAATTAGGTTATATAAGTTTCGATAACATACTTTCTGAGTTTAGTGAATTCAAATAATTACCAGATTTTTGCAGGAATACAATATTTAACTAATTAGGTTACTTAATGTTTGTTTTTAACAGTAGTTTATCTTTGTTTCTTCTATATACAAATAAAATACTTTATTTTGTAATCGACTAATAGTAATTTCTTTTAACCCACAAAAATGACATCCAATTGTTTATTTTATTGTTAACACTGTGCTCATAAGAATACTTAAATTACCAGTATCAATTGTAATTGCTTTTTTAAGTAAATTTTTAAACACTTACAAAAAATAATTTATTATACAGACTAATATCCAAGTCATCATACAAGCAATTGTGATAAAATGCCTAATTTTTTTTTATATTGTACAATTTCTGTCTACAATTTGCAATCTGTCCATGTATTTCCATGAGAACGGTCAACATTCCATGAGTTTAGTTAATATTCTTACCAGATCACTTGCAAATGAATTTCTCACTTTATAAAATATTGAATACATTGGATTTATTCACTAAGCAGTGAATTACAGTGAACTGTAAACCAAACTGCGAAATGTAGGTGAAAATAGCCAAGCTATGAGCAGTTGAGCAAGATAACATTTACAAATCAGATTTCTTTGCCCAAATGTGAAAATTGCTTTGCAATGCTACAATTACTACAATTTGCTGTTTCGCTAATAATCCTCATAGTTTTAATAATGTGATTGACAGGTTAGTGTGCCTTCCTATCCCATATTCCAATGTTCCAGTTTCTTTGAACTAAAGTGGAGTTAGTAGTTTGATGCTTTTATAAAATATCTGATCCTATAATTATAAAGGTTTCAAAGTTCAGTGCAACTGGTTTATTTTAGGTTATATATGAACTATAGTTCTCTGGCAGCATGGGGCAGCTATTAGGGAGGTAATGGGGCAACCGCCTCTCCCCCCCCCCCCGGTTACTGGTATGCACGCACTGTGCACTGCAGCCTCACTGCACAATTTATCTACTGATTAAGCGCTGCAGGAGGTCAGTTGAGATGTCTGCTGGCAGAATATTTCAGAAATGAGGCAGAAACTGTGTCAGTGCCTTTGCTAGTCCATTACTCTGTGGGTTTGTGCTAGGGCTGATTGCACCCGATTCCAGTGCTCTCCAGTCCTGGACACACCCAGTGACATATTTTCCATGGAACTGCAGTATCTGGGACGAACCAGACTACCATACAATGCAGAGACGGTTTGGTGTGGAGGTTCTTGCAAGTGGAGTCACAGGAAACAGAGTTTGCATCTCAGTGAATGCTCCTTCATGCTATGTAGATCACACCTTCCAAGTGTCCCTTCTTAGCAGGAACAGTCCATTTTTAGGGTCCAAATCCATCTGTTTCTGTTTTCTATCCTAATGTGCCTATTTCCTAGGAGCTTCATAGTGATGGTGTTTAAATGTATAATGGAGCACCACCGTAATAATTCTCAGCAATGTATCGTTAACCTGTTAAGGATGGAGGCAATTGTACAAGTTCTAATCAAAAGAAAACATAACATTTGAGCTATATGTCTATCCAATCATAATTTATCTTTCATAATAAGTGCACCCACACTTAATATGAAAGGTGCATTTATTATATATCATTTTGTTCAAGAGAAACAGGGTTTTCATTTCACATCTAATATTCATATATGAAACATAATTTAATATGATTAAAATATTTTGAGAAATTAAGAATTGTTTTTATTTTTCAAGTTCTGCATGAAATTTTAACTGTGAATGTTATAATACTGTTAGCTTTTACTACAATAAAATACACATATTTGTATTTAGCTATGTCTTACGAATAGAACAGTACCCCCCATGTACAGGTTTTATAGGGTTTTGGAAAATTACAAGATCAAATATAGGACTTTCTCCATTTTCAGTTTTTACTCATTGAAATTTGCCAGTTACCATAATATCAGTGTATTGCAGTATGCAGAACAGCTCCTGAACCTGCATCAGCCTATCCCTGGAAGTAATAGAACATATCTCCGAGAGTCCACCAGAGAGTCCGCCTTGTCGCTGCAGAGTAGGGTTCCCCTCCAGCCATTGGCCTGAATGAGGGCCAGCATCCTGATGGCATTTGGGCACCAAGTCTTTTCCCCCGATGGGGGTAGTGGGAAGATCCAGATAGTGAGTACCATTGTCGGCAGTGAATCTTCACTTTTTGTGGTCGATGCATTGAGACAAAGCCTCTTGGGGCTCTCAGCCCATGAGGGCAGACAACAAGATGGGTATCTACTTTCAGATCAGATTTGCCCTATGGGAATCTCCTCTTCTCCGGTATCTTCAGCTGTTGTGTTCGGAGCATGGAGGCAACACCTCCTGAGGCTCTCGACCCAGGAGGGTAAGTGACAGGATAAGTGAGCTGTTGCAGTCTGGATTTGCGCTGAGGGTTCCCACCTCTCTCCAGTGCAATGGTGTTCCGCCTGTCTGCTTGTTGCTGAGCCTCTTTGGTTCTCTGACGTTCCTGTAGCTTTTGCCAGAAGCCCTGGAAGATTGCATCTAGATATTTTAGGGCAGTTTCCATAGATTCTCGAGCGAGTGGCTGGAATGGGCCTAGGCCCCGCAAGGCTGAGTGAGGTGAATCCACCATCTTGAGGAAGCAGTAAAATCAAGGTTGCTGCTGGAAGTAAGAGGTAAGTGCAGCAGGTTTAACGCAGTCAGCTTCAGTGGGAACCGGGATATCCCCCACCGGCCCGGGGTGGGGGGAAGGGTTTCAGGCACAGCTCTGTCAGCGAAGTCCCTCCAAGGTTTCTAGCCACATCTCCCAGTCGGGCCCACACCAGACCGCACATCAAACAAGTTGGAGCCGAGTCCTGCCAGCAGCCCATGTGCACAGGTAGTATTCCTGATAGCACCTATCCACCGCCAGGTATCCGTCTGTAGCAATACTTCAAGCGAATGAGCTAGGTTACTGTAGTAAAATCAGATTAAGTGAGGAGCTCACTCCCCCGCTCCCCAAATGTTGTTATTTTTCAAGTTCTGCATGGTATTTTAGTTGTGAATGTCACAATACTGTTAGTTTTACTGCAATAAATTACACATATTTGTTTTCAGCGATGTCTCACTAGTACAACAGTACACCCCAATGTACAGGTTTTATGGGGTTTTGGAAAGTTACAGGGTTAAATATAGGGCTTACAAATTAAATTCTCTGGAATTTAATTCTGCCTGGGTTGTCAGGCAGGTCTCCCAATATATAATTAATAAAATCACATAATTATGTAAAAATAATGCAATTAATGAAATTATTATAAACAAAAATCTTTAGACGAAAGTATCTGAAATGAAATATAGTTAATTTCTGCAACTTTGGCCTAAAGTTGTTCATCATATATTATCATATATAAAATCATATACTCATATATTAAACATTTTAGGGCAAATTAGTTGAAATGTAACATAGCTATAGATAGATATTAGCACGTTTCATTTGAGCAACTTTGGCCTAAAATTTTTAATATATGATGTAATATTTGTATATATGATTTATATGTGAGGTAAAATTTGTATATATGATTTATACAATATTACAAAATGTCACTAATTTTGTGTTGGTGAATCTGCCTGACCACCCAGTCAATCTCGGCAATTCGGCCGATCAACTCATGTGATCACAGTGTCACCTTGATCACGTGACTCATATCATTGGGATTGACTGCAGGCTGACTGCCTTGGTTGTGAGGCAGTCCTCTAGATCAGATCCGGTGAGGAGGGCAAGTATGCTGACTGCAGGGAGGGCATGCTAGGCCATGCTAGGCCGCCCTAACAGTGTTAAAGTTCTCCTTTTGTAGTATGGTATAACACGCCTTAATGTTGGGAAAGGGTTCAATGCATAAATTATTAATAAGTCACCTAAAATTATTTTGGTCAGGCCTGCCCCTGGTCACACCCACCAGCACCCCTCTGTCTATTTAAAATCTTAAGAGGTGTGCACAAATCATACTTATGGAGGTTGCAGGGGTACATGATGTCCGACCTTGAGACGGCAGCAGTCTCCATCTGTTAAACTCATATATTGCATGATCCAATATGAGTAGGGACAGCCACACAGAGTTCAGCACATATTGTGAGCAAAAACAGGCCATTCGTTTGAATTTACCCAACAGTTACAAAGTTTCCAGTCCTCTTGTTTAACAGATAATGTGGCAAATTATTTAAATCTATTGCTTGTTTTATGAATCCAAATGCAGACCACATTTTTTATGTATTAACTTTTTAATGCTTTTTTTCCCCCTTAGTATGAAAAAGTGTATCAAGACTTAAAGGATATTTCTAAAAATGGAGAAACATTTTGTAAATCTCTCATGTCTGTTCTACAGCAGAGGTGCGTACATATTTATATGTATATATATATATATCTTATTCAAAAAAATACTTATTCAGAATATTTGTGGACATATACCCACTATCTGCTATAAAAAGGTTGGAGAATGTCATGTGATCAGTGATCAAAGTCTTATAACATAAGTGGTTACAATACTGGTCAGTCTTACTATTTTCCTGCATCTGAAATATTTAGGAGACTCAGTCCTGCCTTATCAAAAAAGAAGCTTAATTTTGCCTGTAAGCTAAAGTTTAACACATGTATTCTGAGCCATTACTGAGATATTACATCATATGTTATATTACAGCTTATCAGTATCATATGTATAACAAAGTCCCAACACGTTTCTCAGTAATGGCTCAGAATTTGGTTAACCAGTAATCACACCTGTGATCAGCTTGTGAAGTCTGTGGGAGTGCTGTGTACATAACACATACATGATAAGTTCTCCTCCAAGTAGGTTTAGATCCAATCTATATTATTGACAGAAGATGTAGAGATTAAAGATAAATTTACCCGAGGGTCACATCCACCTTACCCAGGAAGACAATATATATTATTCAAATATGTTTTTTAAATCTAGGAGAAAGTGCAGGTAGTGGAGCGCTGATTAAATAAAGATAGATGAGAATAGGGTAAAAAATAACCTAACAACCTATACAATATAAATATTTATTTACTAATATGTTTTTTAAATCAACATAAAAGAAAACTTAAAGGAACACTACAGTGTCAGGAAAACAATGCTGTTTTTTCAGCTATTTTGAACTTAAATTTTGAATTCACTTTGAATTGTCATATTAGTCAATATCTATGTTCTTAGACCCAGGAGGCACAATGATCTATATCTGCCTGTCTCTCTTTATATCTATCTATGTCTGTCAGTCTACATAGACAGACGCACACAGCACATGAAGGCAGTGAAAAAATACCAACCCTTCTGCCTCGCTTAGGGCAATATTCTCCCTCCGCCAGCACCGCAGCATGGCTACGTTATAAGTAACCTGATTACTTCTTTCAGCCAGGTCTCTTCAATGCTGTTCTGGTGCATTGGTAGTAGTGAGAGAGAGCTGAGGGATAGATTCACTTTTCTGTCATCCAACAGATACACATGTAACAATGCTGAAGACACCTGCTTTATTCAATTGTATGTTATAACCTGTTGAAGGAAAATAATAAGCAGGAACTGAAACACCAGTTTATGTTTTCTGTGTTATATAGATAATACATTAAAATATGCAAATAAAAACTAAAATTTAGAGTTGCTGAAGTTGATATACTTGCACAGCAGACAGGCTTTTCCCTTGCCAGGAAGAGGCTCCACGAATCAGAGGTTGTTCATTCTGAGATCATATCCCTTATCTTATCAGCATGAGGCTCCACCAATCAGGATCATATTCCATAATTCTCTGCCCAGGGTTTCATGAAATAAGTAGATTGAATGGAACTGCTCTATGTAGCAAAGATACCGTGGTTCATAAACAGCCTGGTTTAGTGTTCTGTGAACCTGGGTGTGTGCCATGATCTGCCTGTTTCTATCTCCAGGTGTCCAGGGAGGGGATTTCTAACCTAGCTTTGCATATGGCGTAGAAATTCCTCTTCTGTTTTGAAAGCCAGTGGGACAAGCTTATAGTTGCTGTAATTCTAAGCCACTTTCAGCAGAGAGTCCCGGTGCAGGGTTTGATCCCATATCTTGTTTAATAAATGAAAGCTGGTTTAGTGCTTACATTGACTTTTAATTAATTCTTAACATTTTACAAGGATTAATAACCAGAGAAAAAAAACAATTTGTCAAATAATGCCATTATTTACTTTTCTTTATTTAGAACTAACTTGAATCTAATAAATGTGTATTTTTATTGCCTTGCACTGATAAAACATCAAGTACACAAAAAAGCAAAAATAATGCATAAATGGGCCATAAATAAGTAGTGTAATTTAATTTTCATCTATCATTTTGCATTTTTTTATTTTATGCCTTTTTAACAATGTATTTGTATGATATGATACATAAATTTTTTTTGTGTTGTTATTATTAGAATTGTTATTGATATTATTTATGTATTTGCTTTCAATATATTATTCACACTTTATTATACACTGCAATGGTGATGCTTGATGCACACTTTGCACCTCTATGTTAATTATCGCTCATGCGTGTTAATTATTGATAAAGGGAAAGCTATTGAGTGATGGAAAATTAGAACATTTTAAATTCCAAGCTTTTATGAATTCTGCTTTTTGAATGGACATATGTGCATATAAAAATCTGAGAGAATTCAATTTTCAACTTCAAGAATTCAACTTCATGCTCCAATCCGGAAATATATTGTATTTCCTTTAAACTAAGAGAGTAACAATGTAATTGAGTCAAGCATCAAAATAATAACTTGTCCTAATTAACATGACGTTATAATTTTAGATCTAACCTGGAACTGTCTTATGCCAAAGGACTGGAAAAGGTAGCAAGCAAATTGACGAAAGCATTAGATCACATGAACAAAAAGTGAGTGAACAAAAAAAAATAAAAAAATTGACAATTCTTGGTTTAGTAGATAGCCCTTTAGGTTTGGGAGGGAGGCTCTGTGTACCTGGATAACAAAGGAACATTGTATGTAGAGGTGCGAAGATTGATTGTTTGATTTCAGAATGCTGTTACAGAGCATATCCACCCACAGAGTAAATCATTCATATCACTGACATATCTGTATTAAAAAGAGTTACAAGTATGGTGTGTACCTTCTAGGGAGTGTTCTTAAAGCCAAGTAATACATAAAGCCTGCAGCTTCTGAAGTATTTTATGACTGGATTTCAATTAAACAATATGGTGAAATTACTTCCAGTTTTCTAGTGCATTATTAGTTAGTTACATTCCCTCGCCAGCTGGAGGCGCTGCCAATCAGGAGCCTCTCATTCAGGTCTGTGGAGTCTGATGTTATTCTATAAATCCCTGACCAGCAGGGTTTATTTCCTCAGCCACAGTTCCACTAATCACATAGGATGACTGGAACTATTTTATAAAATTATAGAATCCATACCCTGACTGTCATCAGTTTATAAACAGCACAGTTTGGCAGTACTATTGACTGTGCATGTCTGCATTTTTGAAGGTCTTGGTGCTGTGCCCATGTCCCCAGTGGTGTATTTTGGTTTCGTGCTGCCCTAGGCATGACGAAACTTGGGCACCGTAACATCTGCGCATATTGACAGACCCACATACAAATTCACTGACAGACACACACACACACACTGACAGACAAACACATACACATTCACTGATGGACACACACAAACACTTAGTGACAGACATACACACACTGATAGACATACACATTCACTGACAGACATACATACACACTCACTGGCAGACACACACTCTCACTGACAGACACATATACACTCTCATTGACAGACATACACTTACTGACAAACACACATTCACTAACAAACACACACACACACTCAGTGACAGGCACTCACACTCTTTGACAGACACATACATACACACTCACTGATAGACACACACTGATACTAACACACTCACAATTTATTATTATTTTTAATTTCAATCAACCCAGCCTCGATATCTTTGAGAGTGCATGTTGTCCAGTGGGGCTGCTTGGCTGGTTCCTGTGGTGCTGGGCGGCTGAGCGTGAGATCAATACAGGCAGCGAGGGATCACTCTCCCCTGAGTTCTTCCTGCTCTGCTTTCTCGCGAGCCGCTTAGTGATGTTGGGGCCGGAGTTACATCATATTCAGTCTCCGGCATCACTACAGGGTGCGCAAGGGAACAGAACAGGAAGAGCTCAGGGAAGAGTGCTCCTTCGTGCCCACCTAGAACCACATCCGATTCCAGCTGAGGGAGGGGCCTCAAGGTGGCCAGCTGGCCACTTCTTGCGTCCCCCAGGACAAGAGGCTGACTAGGTATCTGCCACGGCATTTTTTCCATCCAAGACAAATGCCTTGATAACCTAAATACAACGCTGCCTGTCCCCCTTATCCCTGCAAAGTGAAACTTTGTTTACCAGGCAGCCACTAGAGGCGCTTCCTGCTGTTTGACTCTATGAAACGACGCTGAACTTCCTTACGCTTAACATAAGGACATCCAGCGTCCTCAAAATCATCATAGGAAAGCATTGATTCAGTGCATTCCTATGGGGAATGGCCTAATGGGTATGGGGTGCTCACCACGCATGCGCATTATGTCCCCCCTTGGCGCTGACATCGGAGAAGGCAGATATAGAGGCAGTGCTGAGGATCCTTGGCACTGGAATCAGGTGAGTGAAAGAAAAGGTAATTTAACCCTTTCAGTGCTGTGGGAGGAAGGGATGGGGGGCAGAGGAACTATTTAGTGTTAGGAATACAACTTTATGTTCCTAACACTATAGTGTTCCTTTAACCCCTTTAGCTCCAGCCAGACATGGTATTGTGCAATGTCAACCTCTGCTACTATTTGACCACAATTTTTATAATCCTAGAGTTGGCAGCAGTTTATATGAGTGTTAAGCAAATATCAGTCAGTATTACTGTGAAGTATCACAGTTTTTTATGTGTTATTTGTTTTCCTTTTACACACTATCCAGGTTATTCACTATAATGAGAATTTAAGGTGAATTTCAACTTTAAGGTCAAAATAAATGAACTGGGAACATTCTCTAAGTCAGCTCAGCTACTCTGACCTTAAATTTAAACTTCATTTTTAATTCACTTTGAATTCTCACCATAGTGAATAACTCGAAACAGGATTCTTCCATTTCAATTTATTGGTTACGGTTTTTGCAGTGCGTATAATGTGGAATGTGAAGCCCCACTATAATTGCATGACGTTATCATTGTAATGGCTTAGTGGGAGATACCATGTACAAACATAAGATACGGTGAAAACAAAATCCATAAATCCCCTTTCTGCTCACATCTAGTTGCATCCACGATGCCTGGACATGCGCATCAGATGAAATGAAGACGACGGCAGAAGTTCACAAGTACGTTTTACCAATTTTATCTATCGTAGTCACAATGTATGGGATAATCTTAGAAGATAAAAGAGATACAACAATGATTGTGTGCCGTTTTATAGGTTTATTAAATAATTTTCATTTTTGTTTTGTTGTTCTGTTGTTTAAAACAGATGTATTTTATACATTGTTAATATTTTCTTACACATAATGTACGGTTAGTTTTGACACAAAATCTAATTATATGTTTCATGCTTAATATTTGCATAGATTTTCTGTTTTCACGCATTTGCATTCTGACATACAAGATTATTCATTGAAGTGAGAATTAAAGGTGAATTCAAATTGAATTTCAAATTTAAAGTCAACTACTATAGCCTTAAATTTGAAATTCACTTGTAAATCGACAATTATAGTCTTTAAAGTGACACTAAAGGCACCCAGATCACTTTATCTCAATTAATGTTGCCCCATTTAAACTGCAGCTGAAAGCATTTAGGATTTTGCCACACATAACTCTAGCCTCCCAGTGCTTTTTTATGGGAGGCTGAGATGATTAATTTCGATGATCTCAGTCAAGGAGGCAGAGCTTTCCAACACAAACCAGTATTGCGAGGGAGGAAAAGTAAGTAAAATACCTTGTTTTACTCCCTGCAAGGGGGCGGGTTGGTTTCCCAAACAGCCAACAAGGAACTATAGCGTTAGTAATGCACATTTGTTTTCCTAACACTATAATGTTCTTTTAGCGGTTTCTCTGTTACATGCTCTTGTATCAGTCATTATGCAAAATATATTTTGATTTGTAAACAATTCCAACAGTCGTGATCCATTAAATATAATTTTGTTTGCCCTCTTAGCTTTTTCTGTTTATGTAAAAAACAAAAACAAAAAAAAAACCTATCTCTTGTAATCTCTTATAATGTGTCCTATCAATTCTCCATGATGGTCTGGTCCTCACCTTACAGTATTGAAGTTACTGTACCATGTACAGGAATGTTTCCAGAGAAATAAGAGTTGTAGCAGAATGAGTTTTATTCATGTTAACAATAGGAAGCTTGTACACATTGATACATAACATACAAGTACACGGGTCAAGACAAGAATAAAAAACTAGTGCTAGAAAATTTAGATTTTATTTATCCGTAGCTCCAGATTTACATCCAAGTTCATAATGTTCTTTTGCGTTGAATGGACTATTACTATCATTTGAATGAAGATATGATGTTGACAGAGTTTCACCAGACTTAGGGATTTTAAATGAAATTCATGATTATCATCTATCACCTCTCAAGTGTGTGTACACCCCAGTAATTCAATGTTTGCAGCACAAAATTAATAGGAGCAACAATTTCTCATTAGACGGTTTGCAGATTTTAGAACACAGGTTTGCAAATGTGTGGTGGAGTTGTCTTTCAATAGTCGTCAGTATTTATATACTATATATGGTAATTCCCCAAGCTACTTCCCACAGAAAATATATGTGGAAGGCGAGGAACCCATGTATCCCCCCAGAGATTTCCTATCGGCAGTATGTGCTACTCAATGATTTTCCAAAATGATCAAGCACAGAAGATTTAATTTGCAATCAAACCTAAATGAGCCTGAATGTGTCCAACTATGTTCATAATAATTTCTGCAATTAGTTACTTTATGCGTTTCTTCATAAAACTGGAAATGTGGACAACTGATAAGAAAAAAAGTTGTGTTTAAATGTCCCCTATAAGGGAGTATCGATCACTCAGAAGAATGGAAAATAGATAAGGAAATTTGCAAATTATTAAACAAAATAGCTGATCTGAGAACGTTGGCAGTCGGAAGATATTCCGACTGTGTATTTTGGTCTAAAAATTTTATTCTCCGCCATTCTTAATTTAATGTATAATATATTCCATTTAAATTCGGTTCTATTCTGAAGATATCCTTCTAGATTTATCTTCCAAAGACCAAAAAAGGCGATAGTGGATGTTTTACATTATCTGCCTTTTCAGATTCTATTATGTTTTCTTTTTGCAAACCTGTCTGCTATAAATAACAGATAGTAGCATTAATATAATCAATAAAAAAGAAATGAGAGAACTGTTATGATAAGTCTGTATACTGGCTGAAATTAGGTAAAATCAGTTGGTAATGGGTCATATTCACATGCCATCAACTCCGTCTGTCATTAAAAATAACCTATTTTCATTTAAAAGAGTATAAAATTCCATCAATATATTGTACTAGACAAATATGCGCATTTCATTTTATTCTATTATTTGCTATAAACTCTGTGTGCCATCGTTCTATGAAGTGACTCTGAATGCAGAAGAATCCTACTACCTATTTTATGGCGGCTATCTGCATTACTTTTACAAATTATGCATCAAATGTTTTATGTTCGTTATTATTGGTTCTAGATAAATGATGTTTCAATATGTATTAGAATATTTGTAATTTGTTTAAAGATTTTTTTTGGTGTGGATCTCATACTACATTGGATTTGCACTATTTAACCTTTACCCCAAAAGAGTTAAAGACAAGGTCACGGATTCATTCTGATAATAGGATGTATTTTTATTCTCTCGCAGAAAGTTAGGCACAGCCATTCAAACAGAAGCAATAAAACCTACAAATCAAGTTCTGGATGAGCATGACAAGAGGAGGAAAAAGGTAAAGATTTGACAGTTTTATTATTCTAAATAATGCTTTTGCTTGATAATCGCTGCTTTCACTAAAGGTGTAATCCTACAGTTTAAATTGAAGCCTTGCTCTGGTATGCTATCAGTATAAAGACAGTTTTACGGCATTGATGCAGGTATAACCAGCATTACATATAAAAAGTACTGCAGTACAACGTAACACTAATGCTTAAAGCATCAAATATACAGTATTTACAAAAATGTTTATTGATTTGCTAATGCTGGTCATTCAGCTATTTATTACCCACTCAACTCGTTAAGGGACATTTTTGCACAATCTCATTGCTAACTGTATCTAGTTATGGGTTGGAGTTTTGTTTTCTGAAATTGTGAGCATATTTTATTATAACATTTATCTTGAATGCCAGTCTGTCCAGGCACAGCCAAGGCATATCATGCAAATTAATTTATCATCCATAGTACTTTGTGTGCATGTGCATCCAGAGCATCACAGGACAATGATACCTCATCCCAGTAAGCTTTGCAATAGGTTATAATGTGTGAGGGATTGCCATTTTCAGAGAATTGATAGTTAATATTTAATTAAATTAGAGGTGAGATGGATGTGGAAATTCTCCCCCTCCAAAAAAATAAATTGAATGTCCACCTCTAAGGCATAATTTGATCCTTCTTATTAAATAAACAAGGTTATTAACAAAAGTGAGAATTGACTCTTAAATTAGCCAAATTGGAAGGATAGCTAAATTAGAGAATTTTTCTAGTTTGACTATTTTGGAATTATACTTGAAATTCACTTTGAATTTGTTCTGAATTATTACGCAAGCCCAGTCCTTCGACAATTCTCACATTAGTGACATATATTGAAAACTAGCACTAAAACTCACAATATATTGTGTGTTTAAATTGCAATAAATATTAAGATAACTTATTGTTAATAAAACTTCTTGACTTTGTTCTAAACTATTTATCTGATTACATAAATAAATATTCAAGGGATCATGTACTCCCTTGAAATGGGACCCCTTGCTGTTTGCAATGCCTTGTTCGCTATTTTCTATTTCCACCAGAGGTAACGTTAATAGTACTTTGGTGATTTAACATGCCGATATCTGGTTCCTTACCCTTGGATCTCTAGAGGGGAGGGAGATGGGCACGGATACAAGATTTATTTCATTTTTACATCAAACAGTTGATTCTTGAAGAAGCCGCATTATAGACAAAGTAGAGATCATCGAGCTTTGAGCTGAAGCCCCAGGTGTTTCAAAAAGCTAGCAATTCCCCTGACCTCCATCATGCTTCATGTTGTTTCATATTGTGGATGTTTGTTCCAGTAATTATTAATAAAAACAGAAAATAGATGGTATTTTTAAATATATATAGGAATATTTTCTTTTATTTTAACTGACATTGGTCAAGTTTTTAATTGAACTATATGTAGTTTTGACACTGGAAAAAATTATAAATGCAACACTTTTGTTTTTGCCCCCATTTTTCATGAGCCGAACTCAAAGATCTAAGACTTTTTCTATGTACACCTTTGCAATAATCATACTGTCTAATCAGCATTTTGATATGCCACACCTGTGAGGTGGATGGATTATCTCGGCAAAGGAGAAGTGCTCACTAACACAGATTTAGACAGATTTGTGAACAATATTTGAGAGCAATAGGCCTTTTGTGTACATAGAAAAAGTCTTAGATCTTTGAGTTCAGCTCATGAAAAATGGGGGCAAAAAAAGTGTTGCGTTTATAGTTTTGTTCAATATATATATATATATATATATTTAATTATCAAGTAGAATAAGGCAATTAAAGTACTTAATGGGAAACCTTGTTGGAATGGCAAACAGTTACTCAGTTAAACAGTTACTCAGCGTTTACCCCAATAATCAACTCTCTTAAAATCAGATGGAACAATAACATGAGATAAATGCATTTTATATTTTTTTCTATGTAAATTAAAGAATTGTTTACAAGATCCTGTTTTTGTTTTTTAACCTACAAGCTAGATAATGAAGTTGAAAAGATGGCAAATTCAGTCTTAAGCAACTGGAAACAACAGATCAAGGTACGTTTCTATCTTATTTGTTAAGTTACTTCTAAGTAGGTATTGCACAATGTAGCACAACATAGGGCTGTTCGAAATACAAGTCAGACTTTCTTATAATGGAATAAAATGATTGTTTATATACTTTACGTATATGTATATACTATATGGAGAGCAAAAAAACGGGTTGCAAGAGTATTCTGAGAAAAGACAGCAACTGAAATGTCCTTTGGTGGGTCCCCGCTCAGAACTCAAGCTGGTTTTAGCTCATCTTGTGCCATTACAGAGAGAACATCTCTGAAACATATCAGACTGGTCCCACCCATAAGGGCAGTCCAGATCCGAAATTCCAGCAAGTTCCCTCTGCACAAGAGACACAGCAACCCCAGACGATCGTTTCAGCCTTGTTAGGCATCATCAGTGAGGCATAGCTGATATCTCTCTAGGCACCGTGAGCAAGGGGTCCACATCTGGATTACCCTTTAAACTAATGGAGAGCAAAAAAACGGGTCACAAGAGTATTCTGAGAACACACAGCAACTGAAATAACCTGTCCTTCGGTGGGTCCCCACTCAGAACTCAAGCTGGTTTTAGCTCATCTTGTGCCATTACAGAGAGAACATCTCTGAAAGCATATCAGACTGGTCCCACCTATACAGGCAGTCCAGATCTGAAATGCCAGCAGGTTCCCTCTGCAAGAGAGATACAGCAACCCCAGACGATCGTTTCAGCCTTGTGTATATACTGTATGTTCGAATTTATGTTAAAATATAGGAAAAGCCTCAGCGCTAAAAAAAACAGAGTAAAAACATTAATCTTATGATTTTATTGGGACCTACAAGGGAGGAGCTGTATAGCTAGGGACAGCTATATTTTTAAAGTTGCAGTCAACTGATTTTATGATGATATTACAGTAAATTGCTCTAGTTACAGTTAGAGAAATATAAAGACAGTGATACTGGCACAAAAACAGGTCAAAAAATGGTTGCACTCCATATCTATATCTATTTAATTGGTTTCCATGGTGATTGCACTTTATTACCAAATAGCATTGTTGGTGCATTGATAAATATGGCTCTTAGTGTCTGTCTCCAGACTGTCAAAAGAATTAAACAAATATTGTTTTTTACGAACCAAAGTGAGCTTAGTACAATCTGGATATAACGTCCAGACTCTACTAATCAAATGAGTGGAGTGCAAAAGGTAAAAATAAAAATAAAGTGGGAGGTTGCCACAATGGAACACAATTACATTTGTAAGCGCACTATACACAGTAATCACCAATCTGTGTGTTTTGTTAACTCTTCCTTATCTCTTTTACTGTGTGTGCTGCTACCTTATATTAATATGACGGTATTTAACAATAGAGTTAATTGTGGTAAAAACATTGACACTTTATTTGATGATCAAGCTATACCCCTCCAGAATGAATATGTATCAAATTATGACAAAAAAAGAAGTCAATATGATTTGGAAAAATTGTTGGGGAGGGAAATAAAAGTAAAGTGGGAGGTTGCCACAATGGAACACACTAGAGTGTGTAGCTGCTTATTTTTTAACAAAGTTTTTACCTTTAGCGCTCCACTCATTTGATTAGTAGAGTCTGGACGTTATATCCAGATTGTACTAAACTCACTTTGGTTCATTACTATAATTAGTGGGGACAAGAGAGTATCCACTAGAGTGTGTAGCTGCTTATTTTTAACTCAATTACATTTGTAAGCGCACTATACACAGTAATCACCAATCTGTGTGTTTTGTTAAATATTGTTTTTTACTGATATTATTCATATTAGTTATTTGAATGTTAAATGTTTTCACAATACTTTGTAATAAGCAGGGTAGTTGATAAAACTTGAGTCACTACATAAATGCACGTGCAGAATGTATTGCCCGACCTGCTCTTGTAAGACTACATTTTATATATTAATATAAAGTAGATTATAGCTGAAAGAATAGTATAAATAGAAAATTAGTGCTTGTTTTAAAAATTACCAAAATAAACAAGATGAAATATATCTTAAATAATTCATTTCTTGTACTTTCTAGACCAAGAAAAAACTAATGGACCATACAAAAAAACATGAAACACTGTTCCATCATGTGGAAATGGAAAACACCAAACAAACTCTAACAGAAAAGGAGCGACAAAAGGTGATAGAAAGGAACTTGACATAATAAATGCAATATTGATGTTATTATGTATTTATATAGCATGGGTCATTAAGACTTGATATGGTACCTACTTGTTTTACTGAAGTATTGAAACTGATACATCATACCTTTTTGCATCTGCTAATTGTATTTCCACATCAATTCCCCATCAATCTAATGTCTGCCCATATTAACGGGTAATTGAAAATGTATATTTTAAAAATAGGCAACACCAAGTTCCGTAGGTAGTGTTCTAGAGCTGGGGATTTTCACCTTTGGATCAAGGTGCTAATATGGGTCCCACTGGTTGTAACAGGGATACAATATTTATCGAGTCCCAGCCAACTGCCTTAATAAGTTGTTTACATCTTCATTGCATTTTCTAGTTTAGTGGAGACTAAAAGTATTTTTTGTGCGCAGACCCTGTCACTGCCGTCTGGTAATGTAAAAAAAAACAGTCACATTGAAGGAATGACATGATATACAGTTTTTTAATGCTTCTAAAAGAGAAGCATTTGTTTCAAATCTGCTCTGTAAGAAGAATCTATTGGCTGAGTGTGGTGGTTGCTTTGCTTGCGCAGTAAATTAGAATAAGGGGGGACCTAATGTCCTCCCTCCTGGCCCCCACCCCTGAGCGGTGGGTGGGGGCCCTAAATTAGAATAAGGGGGGACCTAATGTCCTCCCCCCTGGCCCCCACCCCTGAGCGGTGGGTGGGGGCCCTAAATACTAATAAGGGGGGGGAACCTAATGTTCTCCCCCCTGGCCCCCATCCCTGAACGGTGGGTGGGGGCCCTAAATTAGAATAAGGGGGGACCTAATGTCCTCCCTCCTGGCACCCACCCCTGAGCGGTGGGTGGGGCCCTAAATTAGAATAAGGGGGGACCTAATGTCCTCCCTCCTGGCCCCCACCCCTGAGCAGCGGTGGGGGCCCTAAAGTAAAATGATATGGGGGGGACCTATTGTCCTCCCCCCGGCCCCCACCTCTTAGCGGTGGGTGGGGGCCCTAAATACTAATAAGGGGGGGGACCTAATGTCCTCCCTGGCCCCCAGCCCTGAACAGTGGGTGGGGGCCCTAAATTAGAATGGGGGGACCTAATGTCCTCCCACCAGGCCCCCACCCCTGAGTGGTGGGTGGGGCCCTAAATAAAAAATTAACCTCCCCTCCCCCAGGTGACTAGGGGCCCCCAAACCCCTAGTCACCCCCCTCCCCAAAAAAACTAACCCCTACCTACTCCCCTCACCCCTCACTCATAACTCTCTGATTGGTGGATTGAAAGTAACCTATCAGAGAGTTATGAGTCAAATTACACAGCGTGGGAAAATTCCAACAAACTTTTCCACACTGTGTAAAATGACACAGAGCACTTTGATTGGTGGATTTCAAGCCAATCAATCAGAGTGCTATGACAGGTAAATGTAGAAACTTACCTGTCAGTCTCTTCTTTAACCTCTCAGAGCACTCTAATTGGATGGCTTAAACCCACCAATCAGAGTGCTCTGAGCCTAATTGCAGGGCGGGGCAAGTCTTTATAAGCCATCCCCCGCCCTGCAGAGCTCAGTCTGCGCGGAGACCTCCATGGATGAAGAAGGATTTTATTTTTTTTTAAATGCGTCGGTTATTATGGATTTTTTATTTTGACTTTTTTGGGGCTGAAAAAATAAGATTTTAGAAGAACGAAAACATCAAATGGTAATTTTTGTTTTTTTTACAGGTACTTAGTTAATGGGTTAGTTTTTTGGGGGAGGGGGGTGAGGGTTTGGGGACCCCTAGTCACCTGGGGGTGGGGGGGTTAATTTTTTATTTAGGGCTCCCACCCGCCGCTCAGAGGTTGAGGCCAGGGGGGAAAATATTAGGGCCCCCCCTTATTAGTATTTATAGCTTTTTACTTTAGGGCCCCATCCGCCACTCGGGGTGGGGGCTGGGGGAGCAATAGGTCTTTTTATAGGTTGTTTTGTTTTTTAACAGTGAGCAGTCAAAGGCGGTATAGCGAGTAGGGGCAAAATTTACTAATACTAAGTAATTTTTACTTAGTATTAGTAAATTTGGCTAAAAGAACTATTTGGGTCTTTGAGCCTTTTGGTAGATAACTCCTGTTACAAACTGCTATTTGTAACTGGCCCTTTAAATGACAAATTGCCCTGCTTCCCTGGGTTGTGGAGAAGCCTATTTGCCAGCCTCCTTCCGCATGACTATGGCCCCTGGGGTATTGTGAAAACTGATGGACTTTTATTGGATGTGTAGAAACATAGAAACATAGAATGTGACGGCAGATAAGAACCATTCGGCCCATCTAGTCTGCCCAATTTTCTAAATACTTTCATTAGTCCCTAGTCTTATCTTATAGTTAGGATAGCCTTTTGCCTATCCCACGCATGCTTAAACTCCTTTACTGTGTTAACCTCTACCACTTCAGCTGGAAGGCTATTCCATGCATCCACTACCCTCTCAGTAAAGTAATACTTCCTGATATTATTTTTAAACCTTTGTCCCTCTAATTTAAGACTATGTCCTCTTGTTGTGGTAGTTTTTCTTCTTTTAAATATAGTCTCCTCCTTACTGTGTTGATTCCCTTTATATATTTAAATGTTTCTATCATATCCCCCCTGTCTCGTCTTTCCTCCAAGCCATACATGTTAAGATCCTTTAACCTTTCCTGGTAAGTTTTATCCCGCAATCCATGAACCAGTTTAGTAGCCCTTCTCTGAACCCTCTCTAAGGTATCAATATCCTTCTGAAGATACGGTCTCCAGTATTGTGTACAATACTCCAAGTGAGGTCTCACCAGTGTTTTGTACAATGGCATGAGCACTTCCCTCTTTCTACTGCTAATACCTCTCCCTATAGAACCAAGCATTCTGCTAGCATTTCCTGCTGCTCTATTACATTGTCTGCCTACCTTTAAGTCATCAGACATAATCACCCCTAAATCCCTTTCCTCATATGTTGAGGTTAGGACTCTATCAAATATTCTGTACTCTGCCCTTGGGTTTTTGTATGGCCCTTTAAGACAGTCGTGGGCATATTGGGGCTGAAGGACTCTTTATGGGACTTGTGCTGGCCCTTTAAGCACCTTTTTGGGGCATAGGGAAAATTGGGCACTGCTCCTTTAAGACGGAGTCCCCAGACTTGTTTGGGACACTGCCCCTTTAAGACGGTGTCCTCAGTGTCCCCAGACCTGGTTAAAACCCTTTGTTCCTGACTATTTCTCACTTGGTTCAGTAAATGGGGCTTACTGAACCAAGTACCACACAGGCGGACCACCTGTATTGGGAGTGTGTTGGCAATTTACCTCCCAGAAGCTGCGGTTAACCGCAGCTTAATTGGCGAACGCTGGGTGGCCTTTGTTCGTTTGCCGAACACATGGCCACGGCCATCTTTGATCATTCGCACGAGGTCAGCGGTATATGTAGCCAAATTCATGGAACTAAAATCGGCTACACATTTCCGCGCACACCGCTGAGCCCTACCGTCTCCCATACTGAACTTTCAGCCGCAGAGACTAAGTCGCATTCGGCGATGGGACTTATTCGTTTTTTCAGCTCAAAATAGACCGACCGCACAGCCCAAATCTATGGAACTGTTTTATTATTATTATTATTATTATTGCAATTTATAAAGCGCACACAGATTCCGCAGCGCTGTACAATTAGTTGAGAAACGTACAATATACGCAAACAAATACAAGAGGTAAGAGAGCCCTGCCCGTAAGCTGATATCTTTTATACAAAGTGCTTAGCTAGATGGCCCTTGAGCTTACAATCTAAAGGATACCAGGGGGATTTGAGACAAAAGGTAGCAGGGGAAGTTTGGAGGTGATAGCTGAAAGAGTTAACAGAGAAGCAGCTATTAGTAAGATGTTAGGGGAATGAACAGGTAATTGAGTGAGAATCCCGAACAGCTGGAGGAGCATGCTTTATATATATATATATATATATATATATATATTTAAGAGGAGCCTGGGTGGGTGGGAAGTGGGGAGGAAAAAAAATGCAGTCTTCACTGAGTTGATTGTGAAGTGAGGCCTGAGGAATAGAGATAGAACAATTAATGAAGGTATTTACGACAGGGGAGGGGCAGAGTAGGCATGTGTTATAGACTATTGAAAAGTTTAGCAATCAAATTCTATCACCCAAAATATTAATAACTGTCTACATGAAATATTGGTCACAACCATTAAATGACAGTGCTACATACTGCATGCACATAACATTACAGTGGCAAACTACAGGTATCAATTGTAACAACTCTATAGTAACACATGAGAATTTTGTAGCAATCCAGTAATACGGGAGGTGGAGTATCTTCCAAGCTTCAGTCAGTACCTGAGAGTGATGGGTGTTTCTGCAGGATGGTAAATGCAGTCTTCAAAGAGTTGATTGTGAAGTGAGGCCTGAGAGTGATGGGTGTTTCTGCAGGATGGTAAATGCAGTCTTCACTGAGTTGATTGTGAAGTGAGGCCTGAGAGTGATGGGTGTTTCTGCAGGATGGTAAATGCAGTCTTCACTGAGTTGATTGTGAAGTCATATAGGGACCTCCAGCTAACTTTTTAACCCCTGGATGGATTTGGCTGATTTTTGGTTATGTTTATATTTGAAGGTTGATGATTAATAATATGTCTTTTATGAAGATTGGATGTATGGTTTTAAAGTTACAGTGTATGTGTAAAAACTGTATTTTTTCTGCCTGTGTTAATTATGTTAAACCATTGTGTACCATAATTATATCACAGGCAGAGGGGAGGATTTTTGTATGTAATTGCTGAGAGTGTTTCTGTAATGTACGTGTATGATTGGTTGTTTTGTAAAACCCTGTGGGTGGTCCTATCTAAGGGAAACCTGCATAAAAGAAGGTTCTTTGTGTGCCAATAAACAGAATGACTTGACCCTCTAACTTGCAGCCTTGACTCATGTTTGTAGGGGACAGCTATAATCACTACAGGGATTGCTATGCTCTTCATACTCCCTTAGCTACTGAGCTATTGTAAGAGCTCTTGTTCCTGATCCTGCTTCGCTCTACAGAAGGAAGAGGTTCACCTATTGGAGCCTGGTCATAGGTCCAAGGTGGATAGCAGATGGTGAGATCCTAGCCCAGCAGCGGCGGTTCATTGAGTCTGCAGTGCTTATGGTGTATACGCAGTAGTTATGGTGTCTATGGTGCTGATGGTCCTTTGGTGAGCGCTAGGAGCATCCTTTCTATGATCCAACTTCCAGCCAGCCTGGAGGCAACCGTAACAACTCCCTAATACCGTGGGAATTAGGGAGTTATCTACTAAGCGGCTGCAAAAGAAGTCCCGACGTGCCGAAGTTCCTAAATTCCGAAATGCCGAAGTTTTTTTTCCAAAGCCTAGATATCAGTAGATTCGCTGATATCAAAGTGTGGTATATAATGACTCTAATATGTTTTGGGATGCTCCCTGGTAACATAAACAGGATACACTCCTGTGGGTTATCCAACCTTGGGTTAGGCAATAATTTTTGAAGCAGTTGGGCCACCTCTTCCCAAAATGGGCTTATTTTATCACAAGACCACCAGATGTGGAGCATCGTGCCTACCTCTGTCCCACACCTTCAGCACAGGCTGCTGGTTTGAGGCCATATTTTGTGTAGTTTCGCTGGTACCAAGTACCATCGGTACATAATTTTGCGCTGTAATTCTAGGTCGTTGGCACATGCGGTGAGCCCTCGATGGGCCGAGTATGCCCTGTGCCAATCTCTTTTGATCTGCTCTAGTGTGTGTGTTTGAGTTGAGACTAGCTTCTGGTACCCCCAGGACATTGTCTTCTTGAGTGGCGCAGTTCCTACACATTGCTGTTCAAAAGTCATCATGGTTCTTTTGTCATCTTGTCCTAGTTGGTCTTTTAATTTATCTGACACATACGATTTGAGTTGTAGGTAGGAGAATGTGGTTTTAGTGGTAAGGCATACTCTGCTTGAATGGCTGGGAGCGTTTTCAGTCTACCTCTCTCAATGACTTGGTATATGTGGTGTATTCCCTTCTCCTCCAGGTGTCCCAGGTGAATGTAGGAATCTCTATGCCTATTGTTTGTATTGGCGTGGCCATAGGTAGCTGGGGATTGGACACCAACTTGTTCCTCGTTGTGCCCCACACTCTTAACAGGTTCTGTGTGACAGGTAGTAGGGCCTTCCATATGTGTCTTGGACACTTCTGTAGCCATGAAATTCGTATCTTTTAATACCTTTTTTGTTGGACTAACCTAATTTTGGAATGACAAGCTTTCAGGAGAACCATCCTTTCTAAGTCTAAAAGCCTGTCATTCCAAAATTCTGTTAGTATAATAAAAAAGGTTTTCCAAGATACGAATTTCATCTGTTATTTTTACATCTGCATCACTGAACTAATACGGCTACCATCTCTACTCTAACTATGTAACTATATACTGGTCTTATAAATGAATGGTATGTATAAAAAATAAAAAATCAGTAGTGCAGGTCTTTTCAAGAAGTTCTATTACGGTTTTGACATATCACATGCTGGGAGAAAGATAATATGAATTGGAAAGCATGTTTGGATGAACGGCAGATCTATCCTTGCTTACACATACACTGTTTAAAGTTTACATAGTTGCATTGTTCACAGTACTGTTAAACAAGGTGTTGTCAGATTAAATAAGCAAACAGAACATTTACATATTTGTTTACCCACTGAATATATATCTGGCTCCTTCCAACTGGCTTTGGTGTGTTTGTCTGTGTATACGTGTGTGTGGAAAGGGGGTGGGTGGTGGGAATAACTTTAAAAAGTTTTATCCTGAAGTTGAAGAGTAATCAAATGAAAATAATTCCTGTTTTAACAATATTAAACAAAAGTAAAATTTATATTCAACCACTTTGTTCAGTATTTTAGAATCAGATAAATTACAAGCTGTGTGAGTAACACAGCACTTCTGACAGAGGAGTGTGTAAATTATGAATGCTAATAGGAAGAATCTACTCTGTTAAGATTTTAGAGAAGGATAGGCAATCTTTTGGCAGTAATCCTTAGGGTGCATATTGTAGTCTTTAAAGTAACATTTATGTAAGTTGAAGAATTCAGCTTGTGTTATGTATGTATTCAGCGGATGCCTTGTGAGGTTGTATATGTGTGTGGGCTATATGCTTTGTTATTTGAGTATATATACAGGCTGTCTGTAGTGTATGTATTGTTGTTTGTGGTATTGTGTGTGTGGATGAGGTTGGCTTGCAGGGTTTTGAATGTGAAATTGGGCTGCTTGTGGCATTGTGTGCATGTGTGTGTAGCAGGACATTGCTAGTTTGTATTGCTTGTGGTATTGTGTGTGTGGTCTACGTGTTGTGTTATGAATGTATGTCTGTGGTACTATGAGTGTGTGTGTGAACTGTTTGTGTTTGTGTGAGTTTATGCGGACTGCCTTATGTGTGAAGTATGTGTCTGATAAATATGTGTATGTGAGTTGGTTGTTGAATTTGTGTGTAGTGGGGACTGTCTGTGTTGTTGCATGTGTATGTGGATTGTTTGTGGTATTTGGATTTGTGGATTGTTTGTGGTATTTTGTGTTTGTATGTGGGCTGCCTGTTGCATTATGTGTGTGTGGACTGTCTGAGGTTTAATGTATGTGTGTGCTGTCTATGATATTAAGTGTATGCATGCAGGTTGGTTGAAATATTTTGGTATTTGCATGGAATAGCCTGCCAGCTGAAGTGGTAGAGGTTAACACAGTGAAGGTGTTTAAGCATGCGTGGGATAAGCATAAGGTTATCCTAACTATAAGATAAGGCCAGGGACTAATGAGAGTATTTAGAAAATTGGGCAGACTAGATGGGCCGAATGGTTCTTATCTGCCGTCACATTCTATGTTTCTAGTGTTTCCCAAATCATTCCTCTAGTCTCATCAATGTGTTGGTTTGGAAACCACTGTGTTTGAAATCAAAACAACTGCAGATGGAGTCATATCAAACTTAAATAATGGTTTCTGGCCTCTTGAAGGCATCATCAGAGAGGTGTAACCAGTATTACCTAGGTGTGGTGAGCAAAAGAATCTGGATTTACCTTCAGACATAGGTGTATCATCTAGGAGAGTATTTCTTACACACATACATTTACAGTTGTAATCAAAATTATTTTACCCCCACTAAAAATCAGGTTTATTATCAAATTTACAGACTTTCAGTTGTTTGTAATGAACAGATCAAACAAAAGCAATTGATATAGCTCAACACAATGAATGCTTAAAGTGGTTTCCCCAAATTCAACTCAAAATGCAACTTATAATGATTTCTCCAGTCTCAAATTTTTTCAACCTCCTGAAAAGAATCTCTCACAACCACACAAAAATTTAAAACATGTGTTTTCTCAAGCACACCTGATGCAACTATTCTAGGGCTTCATTAGTTTCACCAGGTGTGCTTGAGCTGGAACACTTTAAATATCTGAACTGTCTAGGGGTTTGTTGAGTGTCACGTTTTACTGCATGTTAGCAATATGGCTAAGTCAAAAGAGTGGTTCACAAAGTTATGAGAAGATATCATTACCCTTCAGAAACAAGGAACAGAATACAAAATGATAGCGGAGGCACTAAATGTTCCTAGCGACACCATTAGAAGCATAGTTAACAAGTTCAGAGTTGAAAGAACAGTGTTTACACTGTGTGGATGGGGTAGAAAAAGGAAACTATCAATGGCTGCAACCAGATTCCTGAGAAGGCAGGTTGTGAAAAACCCTTGAGTGACTGCAAAAGACCTGCAGCAAGACTTGGTGGCAACAGACACTGAGGTTTCAGTGAGCACCATAAGGTGCATACTAAACGCAGAAGGTTTCAATGCCAGAACTTGAAGACGTACAACACTAATGATCCCAAAGCATAAAAAAAGTCTGCTACATTATGCTCCAAATCATATAAATAAGCTACAGAAGTTTGGGATTCTGTTCTGTGGAGCGATGAAACAAAACTGGAACTTTTCGGCTCTAAGGATTAGCAGTATGTCTGATGGAAGAATGAAGCATACGCTGAAAAGAATACTCTGTCTACAGTTAAGTGGTGGCTTGGTGATGCTTTTGGGCTGCTTTGCATCCTCTGGCACTAGAAACCTGAAGTGTATGGGTGGATTAATTGATTAATTAAAGTATCATGAAATCCTGGGAGAAAATGTCATGCCATTTGTGAGGATGCTGAATATTGGGTGTCATTGGATCTTCCAACAAGACAATGAATGATCCCAAGCAGAGGCGTAACTAGGGACCGCTGGGCGTCTGTGCAAAAATTAAAGTAGGGCACCCTTGTCACTCCACCTTGTAGATATTCTCGCTCCTCCTCACTCCCCACTAAGCAATACACATGGTTGAGATGTGTGTGGTTTCTTTGTGTGATTGTGTTGCTGACTGAGTGCTGCATGTATACGTGTAGTTGGATGAGTGTGATTGTGTGGGTGTGTGAGGGCTGGCTGAGTGTGATTGTCTTTGTGGCTGTTTGAGAGGGAAACAAAGAAACAAAGAGGGAGATAGAGAGTGCCAGAGGAGACAGAGAGGGAGAAGAGAGGCACACAGAGAGAAGGAAAACCAGAGACGACAAAAACGAGACCAAGCTAGACATGGAAAGAAATAGAGAGACACAGAGAGTGACACAAGGAAAAGAGAGCCATAGAAACATAGAAACATAGAAACAGAATGTGACGGCAGATAAGAACCATTCGGCCCATCTAGTCTGCCCAATTTTCTAAATACTTTCATTAGTCCCTGGCCTTATCTTATAGTTAGGATAGCCTTATGCCTATCCCACGCATGCTTAAACTCCTTTACTGTGTTAACCTCTACCACTTCAGCTGGAAGGCTATTCCATGGATCCACTACCCTCTCAGTAAAGTAATACTTCCTGATATTATTTTTAAACCTTTGTCCCTCTATACAGCTAAAAAAGAGAGAGACAGAGTGACACAAGGAAAGGAGAGCCAGAGACCTCTAGAAAGCTAGAGAGAGGCAGTTATAAAGCTAGAGAGATACAGCTAGAAAGCTAGATAGAGACAGAGTGACACAAGGAAAGGAGAGCCAGAGAGAGACAGAAAGGAAGTGAGACACACAGAAGGAAGTAGAGCCAGGAAGAGACAGCCTCAGATGTGTGCAGGGAGAGGTGAGGTAGAATATTTCACTCACCTTGATCCTGTGTGCCACTGCTGCAGGCTGGAGCAGGGCTTTCTGGGGGCCTTAGCTCTGCTGGGCTTGCTCTGAGCTGTGCAGTCATCCTGGGCACTGAGGGAGGGGCCCTGCAGGCTGGGTAGGTGGCAGCTCTGCCAGAACTCTGCCCAAGAAGAGGTGAGGGGAAGGCATTGAGTTCCGGCATGTGTGCTAGCTGTGCCTCTGCGGCACACAAATAATGAATATAGCTGGATAATCCATCTGCACCCCACTCTGCCCCCTACTGAGGTGGGATAATTGCTATTTAGTATATTGCCGAATTGGCAATATACTAAATAGCAGTTTTGCAAGGGGAGATAGTCCTGTCAGCAGGGATCCACAGAGCGGCAGGGCCCCATTGAGTGATGGGCTAGTCGCAGCTGCGACCCCTGCGACCATGGTAGTTCCGCCAATGATCCCAAGCATAGCTTAAATTCCACCCAGGCTTGGTTGCAGAAGAAGTCCTGGAAAATTGTACAGTGACCATCACAGTCACCTGACTTGAAGCCCTTCTCTGGTAGGATTTAGAAGAGGTGGTGGCAGCACACAAAACCAAGATATTACTGAATTGGATGCCATTGCTCATGAACACTCCCAGAATCTGGTGTCTGACTATGCATCTCGTTTGCAGCAGGTCAAAACAGCAGAATGGTGCCCTACTAAGTACTAAAGACGCTTGCCATGAAGGGGTTGAATAACTTTGAGACTGGAGAAGTCAACATAAGTTGCATATTCAGTTGAATTTGGGGTACCAATTGAAGCATTTGTTGTGTTGAGCTATTTCAATTTCTTTTGTTTGATTTATTCATAGCAAACATCTGAAAGTTTGTACATTTTGACAATAAACTTGATTTTCAGTGGGGGTTGAATACTTTTGATTACAACTGTAAATATATATTTTTTAAAGCAATAGCATTACAGTAACCGTTTCTTATTCATTTGGAGTAGGATGGGACAACAAAAGTGGAGGCAAGATTACTCGATTAGAAAACTCTAAAGAAACATTTTTTATTTATTTTTTAAATACAACATTCCTTAGTCTGAAAGGTTAGTACATATGTAATTTTAGTGATTTAAATTATGTATTTGATTTACAGCTTTTCAGTAAACTGAAAAAATCTACAGAAATATTGACGAAAACTGATGAAGATTATTACCAAGAAAATATAGCCGGCCAAGCAGTAAGAATGAAATGGGAGAATGTACTGGAAAACTGTTATATGGCAAGTACTAATAAAATGCTATTGCTTTTATGCAACAATTATTGATAAACAAAACCGATTTATCGTGTTCTATAGGTGGAATAATCATCTTGAGTAATTAACAAATAAGAAATGAACACATTGATTTGTGTGTTTGTTTATTCTTTAGTTTTTAGAATGCTCTATGTTATTTTCTAAGGTTGTTTAAAACTATACTGCATGGTGCTTCACAAATTAATTATTTTGTAACATTAAAATCAATACAGAATTCTGAAAATTGGACTTCAACCTTTGGCCTTAATATCTTAATTATTATTGTTAATCAGTGGTGTGAATTCAGAGTAAATTTCTAATTTTAGGTCAAAATAGTGGAACTAATAACATTCTTAAAATCAGCAATGATTATAACTTGGCTAATTTGGACTAATATGTTAAATTTACTTTGAATGCCCAACAAGTCACACGTATTATATTTACAGTATATTATTTAAGTATACACTGATCTGCCACAACATTAAAAAGCCACCTACCAAAGATAATGTAGGTCCTCCTCAGGCTGACAAAAAGCTCTGATGTGTCGATGCATGAACTCCACAAGACCACTGATTGTGTCCTGTGGTATCTGTCACCAAGACATTAGCAGTAGATCCTTTAAGTCCTGAAAGTTGTGAGGTGGGGCCTGTATGGATCAAATTTGTTGTTTCAGCACATCCACAGATGCTCAATAAGATTAAGGTCTGAGGAATTTGGAAGCCAAAGCAACACCTTGAACTCTTTGTCGTTTTCTTCAAACCATTCTAGAACAATTTTTGTAGTGTGGCATGGTGCATTATACTGCTGAAAGAGGCCACTGTAATCAGGGAACACTATTGTCATGAAGAGCATAACACTGCCTCTGCGGGCCTGCCTTCTTCCCATAGTGCATGCTGCTACCATCTCTTCCCCAGGTTAATGCACCATGCCATCCACTTGATCTAAAAAAAAAACATTCACCAAACCAAGCAACCTTCTTCCATTGTTCCATTGTCCAGTTCTTATGCTTATGTCTCCATTAAAGATACTTTCAGTGCTGGACAGGGGACTTCATGGGGATTCTGACCAGTCTGTTGATTGCTACGAAGCCCCATACTCAGCAAACTGTGATGCACTGTGTGTTCTGACATCCTTCCATCATGGTCAGCATTAAGTTTCTCAGCAATTTGAAACACAGTTGATCTTCTGTGTGATTAGACCAGATGGACTAGCCTTTGCTCCCTACATATTTCAAGGAGCCTTGGGCGCCCAGGACCTGGTTCACCAGTTGTCCTTCCTTGCACCACATTTGGTAGGTATTAACCACTACATACTGGGTGCACCCCACAAAGCAGTTTTGGAGATTCTCAAACGTAGTCATCTAGTCATCACTTTTTGGCCCTTGTCAAAGTCACTAAGATCTTCTTGCTTGCTCATTTTCCCTGCTTTCAACACATGAAATTCAAGAACTGACTGTTCACCCAATATACCCAAGCCCTTGACAGGTGCCATTGTAGTGAAATAATCAATGTTTTTGTTGTTCTTGTGGCTGACTAGTGTGTTACTCTGAGAATGTGTGTGTGTGTGTTGTTTTTTTCTTGAATAACCTATATCTCCATATTAAAATGGTGGTGACAAGAGTAGTGGTAAAATTTTAGAATTGCAGTCTTATGTGTTTTACAGCAGGCCGATCAAGGATTATTTTTTTGTGATTATTATATGTGCTGTTAAATTTCAGAGTATTCAAGAGCTTGAAAAAGAAAGAATTCAATTACTGTCTCACATCCTTACACGGTACAACCAACATGTTTTGAATTTTGGACAATCATTGAACACTGTAAGTGATGTTTTATATCACAAATTTATTAATGAAGAATTGTCACTCCTTCCATATGATTGCATGTATCCTGTTTAGGTAAACTGATAAGTAGTATGATTGGTGTGCCTCCACTAACAGAACAAGGCAGTGAGTGCAGCCATTCTGATTTAATTTTTTTCGGTTTCCCACAATTCCTCTCTTTGTAAGAAATTTTATAAAACAGCACAAGAGATTTTTTTTTATTCTACGAATTCATCAAACTTCTATGAATTTATCAAACTGCATTTTAATGTGAAGGAATTCATTTTTTTGTCTAACAGCTTATGCATACGTTATAACAGTTGTCATAACAGCTTATGCATCTATTAACAGAGTCAGAACCAAATTGACCAAGCTATTAAAAGTATCGATGTCGAAAAGGACATACAGAATTTCCTGGACGATACTGCTGTTTATTCTGAAAATAGCAAATCCGAATTTCTTCTCCTGGATTATTATGTAAGATTTTTTTTTCGGCTCTCTGTTTACAATTTAGATAATTCCATAATTAATTCTATTTGTATTTGTTTCTTATCGCTTTTATTGCTATTATTATTATTATTATTAATAAATACCTGTATAATTCTGCTGCTTTCTTTGTTCAAATAGGAAGAAGATCATTCTATTGCAATGGATAAGGAAAGAAGAATAAATTCTATTAATTCGAAGATAGAAAGGCTTGAACAGGACATAGAAAAGGCTCGGAAAGATAGAGAAGGTATATTTTATTATTAAATGTTTTTACTCAGTTATATGTAGAACAACAAATATATTTTAATTTAGTAGAGGAATAATCCTTACTATAAAGCTGTATCTGTTAATTCAATGTTGCTTTTTACCAACATCCATTAACATGATCATTGCAATAGAGGTATTTTATATTACGTGCTGAAATTTTAAATATATTACAATTGGCATCACTGTACATAGGGATACATAGTAGTACAGAGCTAAATTAGATTTGTGTTTTTAAATATCACTTAGGACTGGAAAAAATGCTGAAAGCCTATGCAGAAAATCCAGCATTTACAGACATCAAAAGTGAAGAGGAAACAGCAGTACTCCTTGAAGAGGTATTTTTTAATCAAAGTATATAAACTGCAGAACTGTAAATACTTTATTTACTAAACAGTGAGCTTTATTGAGTTGACAAATGTGTTAAAATACAGGCCTAACGAGTTGTTGGATAAATATCTTCATCCTCTTAATAGGATTATTTTTCATCTGGTATATTTAGTCTGAAAGTCACTTGTCAACTCATAACAAAACATACTCTGTAGTGAATGGACCTAAATATCTTGCCGGCATTGTAAATGCTTTGTACTGTATATAAATATGGGATGGATTTTATTTAAACAAAATTATGGCTGCCTATGGACCTGTGATAGTATCTGAATATAGTTTAGACCTATTTAGTCAGTTTTTCATGGTAAAGAAACTCTATAGTGTCAGGAATACACATTTGTATATATAGATTATATGCTATAGATTTAAAACCACCATTTAGGTAGCCGACCCCCTAAGGGTTCAAACTTACCTTGATTCCAGCGTCACGTGGGTCTGTTCCACTTCCTTGGCTGACATCATCAAAATTGATGATCTCAACCAATCCCATGCTTCACCATAGGAAAAAATTGGGAGGCTATTACGCATCAATCAATCAATCAATGCATCTCTATGAGGAATGTGTAGAGCGTGGAGACGCTGAACGTCAGTACTGGGCACTGTGCGGCACTGACCATAGAAGCACCTTAAGTTGCTGACTGACTGCCACTGGAGGTGTTCCTAGGCAGTAATGTAAACACTGCTTTTTCTCTGAAATCCTGCAGGAACAAACTATAAACACCAGAACAACTGCATTTAGTTGGAGCAACGCGGCCTCTGATGTATAGATCAGAAGATATACCATGTCTTCTGGAATCTACTGCACCAGTGGACAACCTTTTGCCTATTTAAATATACATATATTTTTTTAACTTGAACGTTCTACCTTGATAATAGCTCGGCCAGACTGGTCATTTCAAAGACAAGACATGTTTTGATTTCCTTCCATGTGGTTTGTTTGAGTTGATAACAATAAACCTTATGCATGATTTCACATTGTTTTTAAAAGACAGGCTTAAAAATAAACCTCTTGGAAGCAAATCATTTCAAGCTCACCTCAGCCGTAGCTTCTCTCCAAGAGCAACCTCTACCAACGCACCCGTGTAGTGAGCGAATCAATACGTGGAAAGAGAAGGTACGTTTTACACCCGTGATAACTATTACATGTGTTTCTTGTTTAATTAGAACTATGTACACAGAACTTATGGTAAATAGACAAAGGACACACATTTTAAGCCAAAATAAATGAGTTGGGAATATAGCTCAATTGGCAATATTTTTCACAAATTTGTACAAATTTATGCCACTCATATTAAAATAACATTGCAATCACCACAACTGCATTGTAGTGGTTATGTGCCAAGCGTGCAATTCCACTGTCCCATGGTAAAATATTTTATTATGGTTTGATAACTTACCTGAGTCCAGAACAATGCCACATAAGGCCTTCTCCAGATGCTCATGGCAGAGCAGGACCACTATCATTGGCTGACATTGTTATTAGAGTGCTCTCAGCCAATGAGCATGGTCCTGTACAGGCTCACCATGGATTTAAGTTGTAAAACTGCTAAATCTTTTTGACATTTTACTGTGGGATGGAGCAGGACACTCTTGGCACCATAACCACCATAGCAAGCTGCAGAGGTCATGTTGCTTGAATTATTCCTTTTGTACATAAATAAGCATCTGTTATAAGAAACATAATTAATGTCATAGAAATTCCATCATGACATTTTAGCCAAAAAATTTAATTATCTTATTTGATACTTTACAATGCCTCATTTCGTGCATAAACACAACATTGTTTGTGCAATATAAATATAACTTAAAAGGACTCTAAACACCATAAATAATACAGATTATTATATTGGTTATGCCAAAAGGAGCTGAGTGCTGTCTATCTGGGTTTTGCTACTTATCTAATGGTTTGACAAAAATAGTGGCATCCAAAGTCCGGTCTCTCTACTACTGGCCAGATAATGTGAAAGTTTCATATATACATTATTTATATAAACTCATCCAAATTTACATTTCAATGGGTGTGTGCAAGCACTGGGCTAAGAACTCACATCCTGTCACCACTGTGTAAACTAAATTAATTTGTATGGGAAAAAAAAAAGAAGATAAACTTCTACAACACCTTATCAGAATCAGTGGGAGTGATCCTTGCATGCTGGAGATCCACATTTTCTGTCAAATTTCCTAAAATGGTTTGAGAGCAACCTGAGGGGCTAAACCCAAAGGCTCCTTGCACCATAATCACTATTTGTATTATGTTGTATTAACAAAAACTCTTTGTCTTGTTCTTTCTTTTTTTTTCAGGGCTGCCAGCTATCTTCAGTTCAGATATCTCGATCTATCAATACTCGAAAGCTAAGTCGTTCTCAAAGTTTGAGGATATCTAGCCGGCGGAGTGCTAGGTTTAGCAGCCTGATATCACATGATACAAATGATAGTGCTGTAGAGAATTCAGCTGGACTTCCTGATAAACCTCCGAGAGGACTAACAAAAAAGTTTTCCAAAAAACATCATTCCATTGATGTGGAAGAGTGGGATGATGATCAATCTGGTAATTGATATGTAATAGCAATGCCTTATTTATGGTTATTTCTAATGATAAGATCATGTATGTGTAATATGTTCATCTGTATGGCTGATGTAAAATAACACGGGAAATTCGTATCTTGAAATTCCTTTTTGCTGTTGGACTAACAGAATTTAGTAATAACTAGCTTTCGGGAGAACCTCCTCTTAACAAGTCTAAAGCAATAGGGTGATTTTAAAAGAAATGTTAAATTTTTTAAATTTAAATTAAAAAAAAAGTGGATCCATCTCTTTGTCTGTCCAGGCAATATTAGACACTATAAGACAGACTCTCGTCACTCTAAAATTTATAGGAAGGAGAAGACAGTCTCACACTACTGAATTATTAGGCAGGCAGGAGACCGTTAGTGGGTTGTTTGCCGGTTAGCAAGACCTACTAAGAGTTGTGCCATGGCAGGTAGGGTACAGTTTTTGTCTTCTCAGCAGCCATCACTCTCAATGCTTTGTCTTAGATAGTCCAATCCTCCACATGCCCCCTAATAGCCGTGGATATGATGCCATATATGAGAAAATAGAAAAACAAAGAATACCCCTCTAGATAGGGGGGGTTATAGTGTGTCCTGAGAATCTCTTGCCAGGGGGTAACCCTAAATTCAACACACAAAAAACAGGATGTGGACCAAGGACAAGGAAATCTGAGTTGCACGTTAAAGAGTCCTCAGAGTTATACAAGGATTAAAAACACTTTTATTAATAAACCTAAAGATACAAAGAAAAAATAAATAAATAATAAAAAAAACTCTTTAACGTGCACCTCGGACTTCCTTGTCCTTGGTCCACATCCTGTTTCTTTCATACATATATGAGGAAGTATAAACTGTAGGCTTCTTCCTGTTTAGGGAAAAAATTCCACTCTTTGAAATAAATTGGACGAGATGCAGGAAATATTGCAGGAGCTCTAGCTATATAGATGTGGAGGGGGAAGTCTAAAGCAGTGGGAGGCAGATATAGTAATACAGCTGGTTGATGAAAGCTGTTTAGCTGTAGAGGGGTGCATAGCTGTAAGGTGGGTTTATGGTTGTAGGAATGGTTTATGGCTAAGGGTGCTCTAAATGACTGAGATACTTTTATGACTGTAAATGAGTATATAACTATTTGGGAGAGGATATTTTAAGAAGACTGTGAAGTTGGGAGAATATGTATTTTGCTCATGAGGGGGGAATTATGCAGATATTTTCTGTACTTGTTTATACTGCCTAATAAAATACAATGTTAGTTAGTATGTTCTAATATTATATGTAACATGAATTTGCCATAGACTGAAATTGTTTGAAATTGAGATGTTTGATAGGATCCAGGGCAACTGTTACCTATAAACTAATCCAAGGTATTACATGAAGTCTAGAGTTTCAAATAAAAAAATTACCAGTAAGTTATTATAGAGCATGCAGTACATAGATAGTTCATAAATGCATTTTCATAACCAATTAATTTTCAAGGCTTTTGAAAATGAATTTATTAGAAATATTCTAATATTCTTTGAATATGGTCAGTTATTGTATATGTTACAGAGGACACAATGTTAATTTGAAGAATTGAAGGGAAATGGTTTTGTAAGGGAAATATATGTAATAGATGGTTTGGCAAGGTATATTGTGTAATATTACATATTCAAGAAATGTTTTAGTAAGGAATGATGTTTAACCCCTTAAGACCGGAGGGCGTACTATTACGTCCTATTTTAGGCGGCTCTAAACGCCGCCGGGCGTAATAGTACGCCCTCCGGTCTTTCTATACTTACCCAGTAAAAAATAATTAAAAAATATATAGATGTGTGTTATTTCGTTCTAACTGTATTGTGATATTAATATATATATATATATATATATATATATATATATATATATTTATATCAAAATACACGTAGAACAAAATAATATATATCTATATACATAAATATATACGTATATATCACTATATATACCTATATATAAATAAAAATATTTTTTAAAAATTATATATATACATATATATTCACATACATATATATATATACATATATTAATTCTACATATATATTTATATAATATTTTTACATAATTAGGTATCTTAATTAATTACAATTAGCGGGACCTGCCTGACAACCCATGCCAAAAGTAAAAGGAATTTAATTTGCTAGCACTATATTTAACCCTATAACTTTCCAAGACACCATAAAACCTGTACATGGGGGGTACTGTTCTACTCGGGAGACTTCGCTGAACACAAATATTAGTGTTTCAAAACAGTAAAATGTATTACAACGATGATATCGCCAGTAAAAGTGAAGTTTTTTGCATTTTTCACGCACAAACAGCACTTACACGGACGATATTATTGCTGCGATACTTTTTACTGTTTTCAAACACAAATATTTGTGTTCAGCGAAGTCTCCCGAGTACAACAGTACCCCTCATGTACAGGTTTTATGATGTTTTCAAAAGTTACAGCATCAAATATAAGGCTTGTGTTTCATTTTTTTCACATTAAAATTCGCCAGATTGGTTACGTTGCCTTTGAGACCCTATGGTAGCCCAAGAATGAAAATTACCCCTATGATGGCATACCATTTGCAATAGTAGACAACCCAAGGTATTGCAAATGGGGTATGTCCAGTCCTTTTTAGTAGTCACAAACACTGGCCAAAATTAGCATTTTTTGCATTTTTCACACACAAACAAATACTAACACTAACTTTGGCCAGTGTTTGTGACCAAATGGCTACTAAAAAAGACTGGACATACCCCATTTGCAATACCTTGGGTTATCTACTATTGCAAATGATATGCCATTATGGGTGTAAATTTCTTTCCTGGGCTACTATAAAGTCCCAAAGGCAACGTAACCAATCTGGCGAATTTCAATTTCAAATGTAACGTGCTATATTTGACCCTGTAACTTCCAAAAACGCCATAAAATCTGTATATAGGGGGTACTGTTTTACACGTGATACTTTGCTGAATATGAATATGCTTATTTTATTGCAGTAAAAGCAAACAGTATTACGACATTGACAGTTAAAATGTCATGTAGAACTAAAAAAATAAACAAAATCTTATTTTCTCCCATTTTTTTCATATTAAATTATGTTTCATAGCTAAATAGTTGATATTAAATGAAAGCCATGTTTCCCCTGAATAAAATGATATATAATAAGGGTGGGTGCATTTACTATGAAAGAGGTGAATTACGGTTGGACAGACATGTAGGGCAAATGCCAGGTTTGGTTTACATTTTGTTTCGTTCACAACGTGTACATTTGGCTCCGTCCTTAAGGGGTTTAATGAAATAGTGGGTAACAGAAATGTCACATATATCCTCTTATATTTGTATTTTCAGACATAAATATTCAAAATATAAGTTCATGCACAGTTTTATATCCTTATGAGGCTCAGACAGAGGAAGAACTTGGCTTGAAGAAAGGTATGTTGTAAATGAAGCCTGTGTCTTTAAATGTTTTGTGTTATTCTTACTACCACCATGCAAAATTAGTCAGTCAAGTGTTTGTTTTCTGGGGACTGTATTGTATTAGGAGAAAGATACAAATGTACGCCATGTTAAGCCTAAAATACCTTCCCGCAAAGAGACACCCAGAGTTAAAGTTGACTCCCCAATCTCCATAATGCATTAAAAAACAAGCTATAAAATTTGTGGTCCAAACGACTGTCTCTGCAGTCTGGTAGTTGTAAATTACTGCCTTTTCTGAAAAGAAATCTGTGTTTATATGTATCTTTAAGGACACCTATAGTGTCTGCCACTCAGAAAGCCCTTCCTGTTGCTGTCTTCATAAAAATGTTGAATTTCCCCATAGAGATACATTGAGCTACTGCATTTCTATGATTAAATGTCCTTGCAGGGAGCTTTAAACCAGTGCTTCCTGTATGTCCTGACCTCAGTGGGCCAGGCTGACCTGCCATTCACGTGAGGTTGACCTGTCATTAACTTGGGTGGACCAACTCTATTTTCAGATAGGTCCACCTCTTTGGGATCGAGCTAGTGATGCGATCACATCACTTATCTATTTCTAAATAGATAAGATAAAGACTTTCTGGCGCTTCTTTTGTATAAGCTGGGCAGCTGGTATATTCCAGAAACCAGAATTTCTTCATTCTGGCCCTAACATTTCAGCCAATCCTGTTCCTCCTATTACATTCACTTGAAACACTGTACATATCATAATATGAATTGCTGTGTGTTGGCTCAGGAGACATATAAGCCCTTTTATAGAAATATAGAATAGAGGGCCTATATTGCCACTTTGGATAATACAACTATATGTAATGATGTCATGTAAGTGAATTAATGTGCCCTTAGAGTAACGCAAGGTTTAATGAATATATTTTTTCAGGTGATCGTGTAATAGTTCATACCAAGGATGAAGATGGTTGGTGGTATGGTACCGTAAATGGAAGGAGAGGTTATTTCCCTGCTACCTATGTCAACGAGAGTGAGGAAGACCATACATCCCATGCGTAGAAGCAATTTAAAAATCTTCAATCTGTTTATGAAGCAATTAAGTTTTCAACATTATTCTTTACTATGAATTGTGAATTCAAAGGGAGTTCCAAATCTTGGGCACAAATTGCTGAATTTGGAAAAATCTCCAAATCGACTATTTAGGTGTACAATCTGAAACAGACTTTGAATTCCCAATAATTCATACTCTAGTGCAGGCATAGGCAACCTTCGGCACTCCAGATGTATTGGAATACACCTCCCATGATGCTTTGCCAGCATTATGGCTGTTAGAGCAATATGGGGAATGTAGTCCACAACATCTGCAGTACCGAAGGTTGCCTACTCCTTCTCTAGTAAATAACCCAGTCTTATTGTATAAAAAAAAAATATTTACAATGTTTCTGCAATATCATTGGCATACTGTAGTACTATTACTTTTATCTTTGGACTAAAGTCACCAAACAGTAAAATGTCGCATATTGCAGAAGATTTATACATTTTAAATCAAAATACATAATTTGGAAAGAAAACTCTATTATTTATAGTCTTCATTTGTTTTCTATATTTTGCTAGTCAGGTGTTGACTCCGCAGAACAATGACAGGATTATATACAGAAACCAAAGTGAGAATAAAAAGTGAATTTCATATGTAAGACCAAAGAAGCAGAACTATATGCATTTCCAACTGAGAATTTTTCCATTTCACCTACTTTTACATTAAATTTTAAATTTACTTTGAATTCTCACTTTACTGAATAACCCTTTTTTGTATTATGCAAAGATATCCCTTAACATAAGAAACACTGTCAGTGAGAATTGCCATGCATTCAAAGTGAATTCAAATCAAGTCAAATTTAAAGCTAATGTAGTTAACTGGAAGACAGCCACTAGAGGCTGGCTTAACCCCAAATGTAAACATAGCAGTTTCTCTGAAACTGCTATGTTTACATCTGAAAGGTTAATACCTGAGGGAACTGGCACCCAGACCACTTCATTGAGCTGAAGTGGTCTGGGTGACTATAGTGTCCCTTTAAATTCAAAATTCACTTTTTAATGCACTTTAAATTGCTTGCAATTCTGACATTGTTTAATAACCCAATAACTAAAATAGTGAGTTAAAAATATTCAATTGTACAGTCAGTTGCAAAAGACCAATTTATATCAGTAAAAAAACTTCTATATGATGAACTCATAATAGATCTGTCTCCTACTGCTTGACCCTTGAAGCCATCTTAAATTTATCATTACAAAAATCAATATTTCTTAATTGCAAAACTACTGAAATAATCCAACATCACTATTAACTAGTAAACATTTCTAAGATAAAGATTTTTATCAATCCCCTGTTTGTTCCTTGCAATGGGTGGGTTCGATGTTAAAGGTACACTCGCAACATAATCATTACATCCAACTAATTGCTTGTAATGTGAGGAAGCTGTGCATTTTAAATTCATGCATTGTTTGAAATCTCCAGTAATCAAACTTCAAAGACCAAGTTTGTGAAATATTAGCACAGAAGTAAGCAATATCAATGTGCTCACATATGGTAGGTGTGAGGAAAATAAATATACTGCTTATCTCTATATGTAAGGAACACTGGTGGTTTTATTAACAATATAACATACTTAATATTTAATGTCATTATTGGAGCTTAATGCCAGCATACAGTAAGTACAGTTGAATAATAATTTGTGAAATGCATGTATTTACAACAAGTTATAGCAATCTGCATTGATCTCTGTATGGCTCTGAGTGACATCAGAACCCTCCGTACTATAGTGTGTGGGAGGCTGTAGGGGGCTGTTACTTTGAGCCTATTTGCAGATGTCAGATTGTAGTCCTGACATAGGCATTCGTTTTTTCCGAGCAATGCTTTCCCGTACGATTTTCACAATTTGCAGGAAGTCTGAGCAGTGGAGAGTTTGAAGGTATTAAAGATAAGTTGTTATCTTCCTAGCACCATAACTACTTAAGTGAACTTCTGCAGAATTTTTTTATTATCTTTTTTTTTTTTTGACTTACAGAAATTTGCAGTGACAATCATTCGGTATTTCGCCAATTTATCAAATCTAAAGCATTTAACATTTGATAAAGGAGGAACTCTCAAAAGTTTGTCAACTTTCTGTTAGTCCAATAAAAATATATTAAATGATACTACAATACTTTCCTATTTTGCATCCTCACTTCCGGACTAATATGAAAACGAAAATATCATGTCTCATTAAACTGCAGTGTTCATGGTGGTTGGATTGTACCTTTAAAGAGTCATCTTAATTTTCTTTTTAAATATCTGTTGCAAATGTCAACAGGCACTAACGAATATTTTATAGTAAAACATTTGGTTTTGAAACTGTAATGTTTTTTATTATATGAGTCACTATTTTGTATGTAATTAAGATACCAGAGAAATATGACATCTTTGGATTTTCTTTTCCTTGTTAAACAGTCTTTTTCCTACCCTAATGTCACTGAAACTTTTGAAACAATTGATTTCTAAAACACACTGGATCATAGTATGGTACCTGTTAATCACACACTAGAAACCATGGAAAAACCAAAGTGGTTTTGCAAGTCAATATGATCCTGATAACTAATAGACATGTGAAGTGCTGGACTCTTGTTTTTTTTTTCTTCAAAATGTATTTTGTAAATGGGATAATTTTTGTAAGTGTTTATAAAACAGAACGGATACAGGAAATTATGTAACAAAAATATAAAGATTGTAAAAGATTATATAACAGCTCTATATAGCTTGTAAAAAATTAACATAAAAAGTTATGGGTTCCATTTAAAGGTGCTATGATTTTTTTTTTCTGATTTTTTTTTAATGACATCTGCCAAATGTACTGCATACATTTTCTTTTAAAGGAACCCTTTGGGCACAATAACAACTTCACTGTCATGCGTTTTTATGGTTCCAGGAGGTTCCAGGCGTCGGCTTACCTTTAGGGATTAAACCGTCCATGAATGGCTTAACCTCAGAGTCTTCTCTCCAGTGCCATTTAGCATTGCCGTTGTACTTCCATTTCTTTCAAATTCTTCAAAAAGGAAGCCTCAGACTGTCTTGGACAGGGCACCACTGATTGGCTGAGCAAAGGGTAATGCTGCAGCTCCAAGCCAATCAGTAGCTCACAATTCACAATTTTTTTGTACCGCAAGCCATTTTTTTTGTATGGGGAGCTACTGATTGGCTTAGCTGACACTCTCAGACAATCAGCGATACCCCTATCCGTGGCAGTCCGACACTTCCTGTTAGTGGAACCTGAGAGAAGCATAAGGTGCTAAAGAGAAGACTTTGGAGTTAAACTGTTCATGAATGGTTTAACACCAAAAGGGTAGCTGGTACCAGGGAACTCCTGGCACTTTAATAACTTAATGAGTGTTTCTTTACGTTTTAATAAAAAATACACTCCAAGCACATAGTAGTGATAAATATTTCTACACTTGATCATCCTAATTAAAGTTCATCGCTCGTGTTAAATGTGACTTGGTATCAATTTATTTAGAATAAAAATGTAATCTCTGAATTGTGCTAGCAAAATTTCTGGAAAAAGCTTTTGTAAATCATCTTTATTTTTATGTTTTTAACTTCTTTCCTACTGCATAATGGTAATAAAACGTACCAACTTTGCCCTCAATTGTGGGATCCCACAACCCTTAGTGTGCCCATACATGATAGTAGTTATAGACCAAGGATCCATCTAGTCCTGGACACTATGTGGCAGGTTGGGTAAACTATCTAGTCTAAGTTAATTCAAAGTTTTAAACTATATATTTATTGGCTCTCAATGTATAGTGTAAGTGTATACCTACCAAAAGATGGATTATCTTCTTCATTGGATTAATTTGGAAAAAAATAAATGATCTCAAAAGAATATTATATTTAAAAAAAACATTTTTGGAGAATGTTTTAAGTTGTAGGCAGTACAATGTTATCATAAATACCAACCTACCAAATATAGAAGAAATCACCACTTTGACTGCAAGATCTAAAACAGACATGGGTAGTATTTTGATTAAACATATATGCTAACTCTGAATTTTTGCAACAAAGTAGTGTTTAGGACCACTGTTTCTTAAAGCAGCACTGTCATGGCCAAATCCTTTTTTTTAACCCCCGCTCCTGACTCCACTACATCTATTTGTCCCCCTAGCCACCCACAAATGCCCCCCATATTACCTATTTTTTCATCTTTATTTTCTGCCCGGACCTAGGTCCTGGGCCCCACCATCTTTGTATGGGTAGATGAAGTCCCTGTGGGACACATCTTCTGCGCACACTACACCCTGTTCCAAATTATTAAGCAAATTCTATTTAAGTGTCACAAAAATTAAATATTTTGTTTTTCAGTTTAACTCATGGATGGCATTGTGTCTCAGGGCTCTTTTGATCACTGAAAACAATCTCGGACACCTGTGATAATTAGATTGCCAGGTGAGCCCAATTTAAGGAAAAACTACTAAAGGAGGGTGTTTCACATTATTAAGCAGAGCACCATTTTCATGCAATATGGGGAAGAAAAAGGATCTCTCTGCTGCCGAAAAGAGTGAAATAGTTAAATGCCTTGGACGAGGTATGAAAACATTAGATATTTCACGAAAACTTATGCGTGATCATCGCACTATTAAGAGATTTGTGGCTGATTCAGAGCACAGACGGGTTCGTGCAGATAAAGGCACATTGAGGAAGATTTCTGCCAGATCCATGCATCGGATCAAGAGAGCAGCTGCTAAAATACCATTACATAGCAGCAAACAGATATTTGAAGCTGCTGGTGCCTCTGGAGTCCCACGTACATCAAGGTGTAGAGTCCTCCAGAGTCTGTGTATAAACCATCTATTCGGCCACCACTAACCAATGCTCACAAGCAGAAACAGCTGCATTGGGCAGAAAAATACATAAAGACTAATTTTCAAACAGTCCTGTTCTCTGACGAGTGCCGTGCAACCCTGGATGGTTCAGATGGATGCAGAGGTGGATGGTTGGTGGACGGCCACCCTGCTCCAACAAGGCTGCGACGTCAGCAAGGCGGTGGTGGAGTCATGTTTTGGGCCGGAATCATGGGAAGAGGGCTGGTCGGCCCCTTTACGTTCCCCAAAGGTGTAAAGATGTCCTCTGCAAAGTATGTGGAGTTTCTGACTGACCGCTTTCTTCCCTGGTACAGAAGGAAGAACTATGCTTTCCGTAATAAAATCATCTTCATGCATGACAATGCACCATCTCATGCTGAAAAGAATACCTCTGCATCAATGGCTGCAATGGGGATAAAAGGAGAGAAAGTCATGGTGTGGCCTCCATCCTCCCCTGACCTCAATCCTATTGAGAACCTTTGGAGCATCCTCAAGCAAAAGATCTATGAGAGTGGGAGGCAGTTTACATCCAAACAGCAGCCCTGGGAGCTATTCTGACATCTTGCAAACAAATTCAAACAGAAACTGTCCAAAAACTCACAAGTTCAATGGATGCAAGACTTGTGAAGCTGCTATCAAATATGGGGTCCTATGTTAAAATGTAACATGACCTGATAAAATGTTTAAAAAGTTTAAATGTTGTTATACGTTTGATTGAAATAGCTTTTGATTTCAGTAAATATGCTGCAAACACAACAAAGGACAATTTTCAGATCTTTACAACCTATAAAGTGTTTTGAAACTTACTCTGCGTAATAATTTGGAACAGTGCATTGTAAGTTTTTTGTTTAAAAAAAATACTGTTAACATTAGGAGGTTTGTTCAATAAAATTTGAATTGTACTCTTAATAGTTGATAACATGAGAATTATGCTGAATGTTATTTACATCAATTATTTAGGTAAATGAGAAAAGTATAATTTGCATAATAATTTGGAACAGGGTGTAGATAGCGTTGTGAAATTCCCGCGCATGCCCAGTTATACACTTGGACATGCGAACGAGAATTTCATCTATTCATTCATTCGTCAGAAAGACGAATAAATGAATAGAAATTTCAAACGAATGAACAGAGACCTCTTTGTTCGGTTTATTACAAGGAGGCAGCTCCCACCTTGTAAAAAGTAAAGATAGAAGTGTCAGGGAGCTTCCCCACGCCCTTCAATTTGACTTAGAGCATTCTGATTGGTTGATTCCAAGCCAATGAATCAGAGTGCTCTGACAGGTAAATGAAGAGATTACATTTATCTATATGTGAGTATCCCTCTAAACACCACAAATAAGTGCCTATGAGAGAAAAAACATTTGTATACAGCTTCCCATGATCACTTCCCTGTGAGTGATTTTCACATGAAATAGAAATAAGAAGAACAAGTGGGATACAGTTGTACACCTAAAAAATAAACCGGACATAGTGCAACACAGTATATAAAAATATTTCACTGCTGTAATGATTACACTCACAGACATCAATGAAGTATGCGCAAATCACAAAATTCTCCCCTGTGTCGGATCTAGAACTCCTCTTAGTATTACATTCATTCAAGCAGGTATCAGGAACACGATTGGTAGGTAGTGTAACAAAGATTTATTGGTATAAAACAATAAATTAAAATACAATAAATATAAATAAGGTCCTACTTACGTTTCTTTCCCTAGTGGGAACTTCCTCAGGGACCAAAAATGTATGTACAATTAATAACAATCAATGCCAAAAAATTCATAAGCCTACCCATCCCCCAGTCCCTTGATCTTAAATAGGGTGAATCCCGATAGCCATCAGCTGTGATAGGGCGCATCCCCATTCAATATATCCAATACTCTTGCGTCCTTCCTGACTTGCAATAGTCAATAACCATTCCCCCAAGATGTCTCCAGCTGTTCGTGATTTTCGGATATTTAAAAATTCCCGCCGGCGCCATCTTTCTTTTCTATGCGTTCCACCTATGGGATATTTGGGTTCCACCTGATACTTCCTGCTTGCAGTTCAAATCTCACTTCCGTGCATTTCATTATAATGTCCACACATTTGAATGTCATTTTTTTCACATGACAGGAGGCTTCATATTTTGCATAACTCTCTTTACTGTAAAATCCAGCATCACAGATCAAACAGAAACAACCAATCAGAAACAAGTATCCAACTCTATAAAGGACCCTGTCAGGCTGATCACTTCCTCTTTCTTTGCTGCTCCAGACTGCACAGGTTAGAGTATTTTACCTAGTGTTTCTACTAAATATTTATATATCTGTTATACCTTGTGGTTTGGTGGTTAATTTCTTTATATGGTATGTGAAGTTATATTGCTGCTTGTTTCTCCTTTTCCCTACTCCTCACCCCTCTCTTTAACTACTGACTTAATAACTGTATCAGTTCCTATACTATAGTCTGTCACTCTCCCTCAGAGCTGTGTAGTTGCCTGTCTTTAACTCTAACTTCCACGATCTGCACCTAGTCTCTGTGGGGATTTGGAGGGTGGTGGGGACGCCAGCCTCGCAAACTCGTGGTCTGCGGCTGACAATTAAGCAAGTGCGGCGGCCATCTTGGATCTCGCAAATACTGATTTACCGCAGCCATCTTGTTTTCATTTCATATTATCATGATCTGGACGCTGGGAATACTTACCTACTGTACCATCTGGCCTTGGAACCTCCTGCAAGTGATTCTACTTAACTTCCAGGTACCTATTTATGGATGAGAACTGTCCTTTATGCTGCGATGCTTCAAATGTCTGTTCTGATTGCTGTGTGACATACCAGTGGCTGGGATACAATCTGATTACACTGCTACTGAACCAAATGTTTTTAATACAGCTACTGTGCCAAGTAATAAGTTGCCATATGTGGGCGTCCTCTGTTTACATGGCACATCACCTGGGGTGAGCCCCCAGTTACCTAAGGGCTGGACTCTGCAATAACAGATGTCACAGGGGTGAGCCCCCCCTCACAGTACCCATATTGCCTGATTCAACAAACTTTGTCTGCGTATACATGGCTTGTTGTTTATCACGGAGGTACAACTCTGATGTACAACTAGGGTGAAGCCCCCTTCCATACACATCACCTGGCAAATCTAAGAGGGTACAACCCTCAGTGGTACCACCTCCCAGTCTGGGAGTTCAAGGGGGATACACCCTATATATATTTACATGAGACTTCCACGTCTCTCAGATGACACAAGGGAGACCCCCTTCCGTACATTAGAGGGTGAACCCCTCTCATATTGGCAATGACACTTTGGATTTGTTTCCGGGTTACACTCAGCATTGACCAATTTCTGGGCGAACCCCAGTTGTACCAGGCGCCTGACACCCAGTGGGGTATTGTATGTGTAGGAACTGAACCCTGGATGTCACTGTTACCCAATAGGATTAATAGCCCAAGTTAAGTGACACCCCCCCACCGAACCAAGACTTCCAGGCTTTGATTAACGCTGCAGTAGTGGCATCGGTGGAAAAGGCCCTAATAAGGGTGCTGCCACAGACCCTAGAGTTATGGACACTGGACACGGAAACCTTCACTGGGCCGGACACCGCCAGGGAGATGGCGGGTCCCAAACGCCACTGGAAAGGGGCGATCCCCCCGATGACCAGAGTCAAAGGAAAAGCCCCAGTTAAGCGCTCAAAAAGAATCAAAAAACCAGAACCTCCTCCCCCAGTTCACTCCTCGGACTCGGACTCCTACCCATCACCATCAGTGGCAGTGATGGATGAATGGCACGAAGAGAGATCTGCCTCAGAGGAAGACGACTTGCAGAACCCCAGTCGGATTACCTCTACGTGAAGGAAATGGTGTTGGATGATGGCTTTCGAAGTGCAGACACACGGACAACTAAGCACACGGAAGCACACTAAGCACACGGCATTAGGTTTCTCCTTATTGTAATTTGTTAGAATTTTGGGCAGTTGGTGGGTTTATTAAATTCTGTAACTCTGAATAACCGTATAAATGAAATACAAAGCAACTGAACTGAAAATTGGACGAGCCAGCTCAGTTTACTTGTGATTCAGAGTTCTATCTCCGAATGATATATGATACGAAAAAAGATATGATTGATGGTGAGGGCAAAGTCACAAAATCAAATAAATGCATAAGTTAAAAAAATCAGGGGTAAGCCAGATTAATTGCTTCAAATTCACAACCAAATACTCAAAAGTAACCAAATGCTCAGATGAGCGAATTTCGACTGGAATTCTGGAACTAGCTTCAGAAAATAAGAATTTATATAAATATATATATATGAGATACACCATTAGATGCCCAACCGCGTATTTGCACACCTGAGGCATTATGGGAAGGCAAAGTTGACACAAAGAGGAAGTGCAACAAAAGTTAATGTTCTACTTGCCTCGGCTGCATTATTTACTCCAGCTGCTATAATGTTTCCTAGTGTGAAGAAATTAGGAATTGCCTTTTCTTTGGAGATTACAGTTTCTCTTTAAACTGTGTGTGTTGCATGAACACTATAAATATACATATATATATTGACAGATGTATGCATTGGCAATGCCTTGTAAACATGTTCATTGGCAGATATAGGTCTTTTGGCAGTGACAGCATGACATCACAGCTTTTTTCATTTAAATGCTCTTACAACAGACATAACAACTTTCTCAAGCATGAGATCAGGAGACAGAGAGGCTGACACAGTACGAGCAATTGCAGAGTAATTAGTGTCACTGGTATCGTGCCATCCATAAAGGGGGAATGTTGTTTAGAAGCACAGAATGGCCCCCGGACGACCGGCTGTCAGACAGGGAAGCCAATCAGGGCTACCCATGTACCGAGCACTGCTGAAGTGCTTGCATGTTGGCTAAAATGCCCAGTAACCCTTCTTACGTGCAGAGCAAGAACATTTCAGCAAGCACTGGCAATGCATTTTGCCCCAGGCCTGCATGCCCATGTTTCCATATGTCATGTCACACAATAAAAATATGACTTCACACAAGGGTTTAAAACTCTGATAACTCTATAAAAACTGCAAAGTTTAAACATTAGCCTAAAGCAAACTTTATTTAACAGCAAAAAAAAAAAAACTCTCTACTAATAGGTACAAAATTGACAAGTATGTCACTTGTATATAATGTGAATTTCTTCTATGACTGCTGCAATAAACTAATATAAAATCAGTGTTCAGGCTCTGAGTGGCCCAATAACTTTACTTGATGCTTGAAATAATATGACATATTGTGTGTTGAAGATTGCAGGCTCATTTGTGTGCAAAGTATTCACATTTCCTAACACATATATGGTTCTGGGCTTGTAGCCAGCATAACTCTATACTCTTTATCTCCATCTACCTCTCCACAATACTATTAATTCTTTAATGAACATTTTGAATTTTTTCCTTATTTAATCCCGTTGCTTGGAAACTGTCCCAATCTTGGTAAGAGAGAAAGAGGCGGCGGATGTTCTTTTTTTTTATGACAGAATTTATTCTATGCCTTCAAAATTATTCAACGTCCTAATTCATTTTCTACTTTTAAACTCTTTGAAATTTCAACCCATTATATGAGAAGTAATATTTTTTCTACCACAAGGTTAACTATGCAAGGACAAGTCTATTATTGCCAAATGATAATTCAGAGGCAGCTTCCACCCGCTGCCCTTCTTTTCAATACCCAGAAGGATTGAAGTGTTGTAGCTGAAGCGAAGACAATTTTGCTGTTGACACATTATACTAAATTCCCATTAGACACAATTTCAATGGGTCATTTTAGAATATAGAGGATAATTCAAATGGCTTCTGAAGAGTGGTAGCTTGTGAACGTTTTACTGTGGGCGGGAGTTCAAATACGAAGATAGACAAGAGATATAGGGAAAATTAAATTTTGACACCTGGGATTTTGGTAGAATTTATAAACACCAAAGCAGACAGCTCTCTGCCTATCAGCTAGTAGGATTTGGTTTGCTGTAAAGTGATAAAAAACTACACCATGGTCATCCTGCCAGGGTGGGCCAGGCTGCAGACACTTTCGGTCTTTACTGCTAAACTGTTTGTGAATGGTTTAACAATGAAACGGAGGACAGTGCTGGTGACTCCAGGCACCATAACATCTTCATTGAGTTATAATGTTTATGGTTTTCCCTAAACTGTTCCTTTAAGAGATCCTAATATAAAATATATGTCTCCACATGATACTCACTGCACACTCAAAGAAGTATTTCTCACGAGTAACAATCATCAAGCAACCCTAATTTTACTAAATAAAATGCATCTCACACCTCTAGAACCAGTCTGATCCATTCTAATGAAAGGAAGCCTTAACCTGTTTTTCTCCTATTCTGAACATTTCCTTATATGCAATTAACACTGCACCAAAAGGCCACTAGGGGGTAATGTTTTACCAAATTATTACAATTATAGCAGTTATTTTGTTTAGCTGGAAGTATACATTGAGTTTTTTTCATCATTTTAAGTGTTTTGGAAAGAATAAACAGCGCAGTATAGGTTCGAGTTTATATCTTTAGGACATTAACAGAACAAATAGTTTTACTGACTTGACTGTAAACGCAGATAGATTAATCTTGTCATAGTTGAAAAATTGCATTTAGTTTTTTTTTTTTTTACAGCTGCGGAGCTCAGTGAGGAAGGAAGCTGGTTGACCTGTTTCTATACTGTAAAAGGGGAACAGAGAATAATAACTAGAAGTAAATATCTGGGGCATTTGGGGGTGATACAATTTGAACTTATGATAGTGCTCAGATAGTGTGGTTTGCAGAGACCAAGTTATAAACTTTGCAATAAATGTCTGTCACCAGTTGGATCTCAATGTTTATGGTGTACTTTAAAAACAATGTCATTATTGTCAGTCACTGAATATATATATGCGGAATATATAGAATTATAGAATAGAAATATTTTATATTCTATAATTCTATATATTCCGTAATTTATACATTCTAAGTTGCAACATGCTATAGATGTCATTAGTCTCATTATGTAAAATGCACAGTGAATGTTTGTTTTATATATTCAAAGTGTTTATAAAAGTATCTATATTGATCTGCACATATTAAATTTGTGACCTTCAAAGCATACATCTTATATCACATCCACTTCTTGCAAAAGAACCCATTTCCTTTGGGTGCAGAAAAATGTCCTTTATAAAAAAATAAATCAGTAAATCACAAAACAACACATGACAAATATAATGTTTATATAAATAGAATGTAAATAACCTTTAATGGGGAACATTAGGAAAATAAGTTGATAATCTGATATTACACTTTCAATGCATTGGTACAACAATAATTAATGATATTTTTACTGACAGTGTACAATGGAATTTATTGAAAGTGTATACGCATTTGTACAATAACTGGTTGTATGGTACTGCAGGCAGAACAATTCTGAAGTTTCCTTGCAAACCAGAGCCAAAATTAAGGATACGAGAACAGGATCAAAAGGGGATGGAATTTACAAATAGCCAAACATTTGTTGAAATCCAACAGAGTGACAATACCAGTAATATTTGTATGCACATTTATATAACATTATAGTATAGTTATCCTTATTAATACTTTTCCCTTATAGAGCTACTGTAGAGGTACGATCACATTCAGGAGGATGACCCATCCATTTTCACACACCCTACTGAGGTGGGTAGGTTGAGGTGTGCAGCGAAGGTAATCATCACACACACCTACCTCTGCACCACTTTCAGCTACCGGTGCTAACATCTTCATAGGATGCGTTGAAGCACCTGGATAGAAGCTCCTGTATCTTTTTCGTGAAATCCTATGCATGCTTATGCCTACTGGTGATGATTCAATATTCACACACTCATATTTACAGCGCGCATGCATAATATTTCAAGATTCAAGTGATTTAAATTGTACGTCAAACTTCGTCTGGGCATCCTCGTACATCATACAAGTTAAAATAAAAGAAGAGTGAGCACAACCCACATCTTGGTTTTAGTTGACTGCCGGGTTGTCCTGAGGTCGTGTGTCTTCTTTATTGAAGTCAGTTTTTGGTATGTTATGGGGGCTATTAACTTATAGGTGCTCCAGTTGTCACAAGTTTATAATACGCTCCTTTCTTTTCCATTAGTTCATCGTGATTTCCCTTTTCAATGAGAATTCCTTGAGACATGACTGCAATAGTATTTGAGTTCTGAATTGTAGACAGACGATGTGCAATCACAATGCAAGTGCGACCTTCCCTTGCCTTGTCAAGGGCAGCTTGAACCGTCTGCAAAGAAAAATCATTCACAGCTTATTGTCATCAGTCCAATAATCTGCATATACCTCATTCGTAACATCCATAAAGAGTGTTTTACAAATGTACTGTTTGTTTTTGTTAATGTATTATTTTAATAAAATATTTTTATTGCCATAATCACTTCCTTATTGGTATATATTTCATTACAACATCAATCATAAACTATCAGTTTTATGTTTATTCCATAGCTATTCGCTCACACACCTCTCTTTCACTGCTGTAATGAGGGCCAAGAAAGTGCCTGTCATTACTCTGCACCCCACATCAGGGTTTCATTACAGCAGCAAGAGTGGGGACTAAAGATCGAGGGGCCTGGAGCAGTTGTCCCACTTATCTGTGCCTAACTACAGCACTGGATAGTAATATTTTCTTTTTTTCAAAGAAATAACAAAAAGAGTTATCTTTAAGATGTCATTCAACTCAACTGTTATAATTAGAGTCACTGGTTAAAATTCTACAGAATTCTAATGTATGAATATATGAAAACATTAATAATGTTAGACTATTCCATTTCTTACCTTTTCGCTTTCTGTATCTAATGCAGACGTTGCTTCATCTAGAAGCAGAATCTTAGGGTCTCTGATGATAGCTCGGGCAATTGCTATACGTTGTTTCTGACCACGAGAGAGCTGAGATCCATGTGCCCCAACATTGGTGTCATATTTCTGTCATTTGGAAAACAAGGCAATCGGTTTACAACACAGCTAAGATTTGAAATTTTAAAATTCTGCACAACTGATTTTATAATGGCACATCAAAGTTATATTGAAGACAGTGTGGAAGCCATACTGTATGTGTTCTTCTAAATCCAAGTAAAGATAACTCATTAAACAGTGATTGCTGGTAATTGTGGCAGATCGTGAGGTTAAACATCTCAGCTACATATATAAATAGAGCTTACATTTTATTTTTTCTAGTGAATTGCAAGAAATCCATCATTCACTTAATAACCCTGTGAGATGTATTCACTAAGCAAAATCTTTTATTGAACTGAAAACCGAATTACAAAATTGCACCATTAACAAAATATGTGCTGTGCTTTTAGCTAAACTGGTGAATTGTTCAAAATCAGCTTTGTAAATTTTGCAATTTGGTTTTCAGAAATTCACTATTTAGTTCAAAAACCTTTACATCAATCTAAGTCAAAAACCAGTATGTATTTTTGAAACCATCAAATTATCATTAAGCACTTCACTTAAAGGGATATTAAAGCTGTATTCCTGGCTGGCAGTGAATAAAGAGTTAAAAAGCAGATTTTACTTACCTGATCCCAGCGCCGATGTGCCTCGGCGCTGGGTAGCGCCTGTGCCTCCTCCGATGTCCCTCGACTGGTGTCTGCTCTGGAGGCAGACTTAGAGCTGCAATGTAAACATTGCAGAAACTGCAATAGGGACACTGTATCCAGACCACTTCAATGAGCTGAAGTGGTCTGGGTACCTATAGTTCTTTTAATTGGAAAATAAATTACTATAAAATTTACTTTTAGTGAAACATGTGTGTACATTGCATACACTTTTATTTTTTATTTGTTTTTGAGAGCATATAGTATCCATGTGTATCTAATGGCTGCTACAGATCTGGTGGCATTTGGCTTTTCAGATTATTTTTGTTTTCCTGAAAACATATAAAATGACCAGAGCTGCCGTGTAGTATGTAGAAATCATTCATGAATAAACAAAATCAATTAACAGAGGCAGTGCCAGCTTTATACTCACATCTGGAAGTCCCATCACAAAATCATGCAGCTGAGCTTTCTTCGATGCTGAAATAACTTGGTCCATCGAGAGGGCCTTGGAATTATCTCCATATTTGATGTTCTCAGCAATAGTGCAGTCGAACAGCACAGGCTCCTGAGACACAATTCCAATTTTAGACCGTAAGAACGCCACATTGATGTTCTTTGTGTTATGTCCGTCTATTAGCTGTGGGGAAAAAAAACAGAAAGAAGAAACAAAAAACAATAAATTTAATTTTAAAGTATCAAACTAAGCTAGTGTCAGGAGAAAAATAAACAAGGAAGGATCTGGTTTTATTCTATTGTTTGTATTACCAGTTTATAAAAATATAAAGTATATATTCAGAGCGTATTCTTCTCTTGTACAGGTTTAACAGTTGTCTTTCCGATATCAGAAGATCTCTTTGTTCTGCAACTCATTCAAGTTTATACATTTAAAATGCTGAGGTTAAAAAGGGACGTTTAAATTATTCCTTATAAATAGGGTGCCACAAAAACACACTGTATTGAAAAATACACAACTAGGGTAAGATTACCATTGGGAGGTCCGATCATAGGGTTATAGGGTTTTAGAGTTGAGCATAGCCTTATGGGGATTTAGTGTCATTGTGCCTTAGGTTAAGAAGAAATTAGAATTAAGGCTTAAGGCAGGCATCCCCAAACTCCAGCCCTCCAGATGTTGCTGAACTACAACTCCCATGATTCTCACCCTGTCTATTTCATTCATAGAATCATGGGAGTTGTAGTTCAGCAACATCAGGATGGTCAGAGTTTCGGGAAACCTGCCGTAGGGGCTTAAGGGACAATGTAGAGTTAGGCAATATGTGTCATTAAGGTTATGTGAACTGTAAAACATATATTTACTGACACTGTCGTACTCAATCACAAACACTGTGACAGAAACAATCACACTATTGTATCATTTATTCCAAAAATTCAGAATCGTAACAAATTGAAACCCGAATAGCAATACCTACCGGGTTATTTAAGAAACAATTGACGAGACTTCTAAATGAATGCAGTTAGTGAATTCAAATTTTTTGCTGTTTTAGATGTTAACCTATTTGATTTACCTACTTTTAACATACCACCATATGTGTGCCACACAAAATATTGTTTTGTTTTGTTTTTTGAGTTTATTCGAATTAATAATTAATTTGTTGATTTTTTTTAATAAAATCCAGTGTTTACAGGAAGAGAAATATTACACAGGGCTTCCAACAGTCAAATTTTCAGCGCTACAGAACCTTTGTCACGTTCTTGTCTGGTCATCCTGGGTTTGTTCCCTGGTGTTTTGGGGGATATCAGGGAACTGTCCCTAGAAAGCATAGCATGAGTGCATCATTAGGTGAGCTTGTGCTATGATCAGTGTACTAGGACCACAAGAGGTCATAGTCTGCTCTTAGGGGGACAGTCTGCGTGATTGGCAGGCAGCCTGGCATACATTCATGACCAGCCTATTCTTTGGGTGGACCAGCCACCTTTTGGTGGTACCATTGGCACGATCCTTTTTCCGATTGGTGTCCTGTTTCACTGGATACTGATGTTATTATATATATATATATATATATATATATATAATTTACAGAGTTTAGTACTGATTACTTTTACACACTTTTTGATTAAAAAATGCAAGTTGGAAAAATCATCTAACTTATTCTCTAATTTTGCTTTATTGGCCCAGATGTTAAAATCCAAGTTTCAGGTTACTACCTTTCATGGTAGTGAATTGATTCCCTTGAAAAATACATTCATCATGTGTTGGTAGTTATCTTACTTACCACCTGACCATAGTCTGGGTCATAAAATCTTTCCAGTAGTTGAACACTCGTGCTTTTGCCACAACCGCTGCTTCCTACAAATGCAAGGGTCTGTCCTGGCTTCACAGACACATTGAGACCATTCAACACTTGGATATCAGGGCGCGTGGGGTATGTAAACTTGCAGTTGATAAATTCAATACTTCCCTTAAAATCATTCTGGAAAAGTCATACAAAATAAGGATTAAAAACTTGCAAGTAAAATAATTTTATTTGCACTTCTTATTAAATACGGTGAGCGAATGGAGATAATAATATATGTCTGACATTAGAGGTGTCTTGACAGACTGTGGTTGTTAGATTTAGAGTGTTGTTTGCTTTTCGTTGCTCTTGGTTTTCAAGTCATGACTTATATTTTATGGGAGGGGTATATTTTATGACTTATATTTTATGGTATGATATATTTTTTAGTCACGACTTATATTTTATGGTAAGTGTAAAATTCTAGACTTTCTCTTGTTTACTGACTACAGTTAATGTAAACAATTGAAAGCCAAAAACTCAGCTGTTATTGAGACAAAAACTCAGCAGTTAATGACCCTGTTTGAGAATACCCCTCTTCTAGATTTTTTATTTAACCAATTCAATAACGATGATATTTTTTGTTTTCATCCAACAAGAGCCAGTGGTGAGAAAAGCTTAGCAATACATTAATTGGAAAATATACATTGGTTCTTTTAATACAATGGTTCAAAATTTACATGGTTTCTCTTTTTGGTATCATTGCTAAAAAGAAAACTTACCCATTTCTCTCCCTCTTCTGTAAACAAAGTAATTTTTGGAACTCGATCAACCAGTTTGAAGAATCGTGCCGCAGAGATTTTAGCTTTGGCATAATCTGGAGTATAAGATGACGCTCTACCTAAAGCGGTCCCACTGGTCACAATTGATGATATTACTCTAAAGTTCAATAAAAAAATAGTTAATGACTCAGTTTCAAGGGGAATCAGTAAAACACAATCATGTCTCTTTTGTGAAATGAAAACACTTTCAAAGTTATTCATTAAAGTGCAAACTGTTGGAAATTAAAAGTGAATTTGGTGTTAATGCAATCTGAATTACAAAGTTTCTGTTAACATACCTGAACTAAAACAATTCTCTATGTCAGCTATTTGGGTTAAACTTGTAAGTTCACTTTGAATTTATTTAGTTTTCCTGAGAAATTCACAATTCAATCGATATTCCTGAGATAGAATTAAAGTTGTAACGTGCAATATATAGGTTATTTTGACAAGCACTTCTAGTGTGATGAGTTTAATTCGAAGGATCCATTATTGCAATTATTAAAATGGGTTTGAAGATTATACTTTGCATTAAAAATTAAAAGTTTTGCTTTGCAAACAAAATTATGCTTGTTTGCAACCAGACCTTTTGGGTGAAATCCTCACTACTGTTAGCACAATATCCAGACCCATACCCCAAAAATACTTCATATATTATAGAAGATAAAATGGTCATTTATGGTCAGTCACACTATCGTTGTGGATGGAACAGCCAATATTTACACCCTGTAGCTAAAGTTTGCACCCATCCTGTTCTATAAGTGAAGATCTCTTGGAATGGATATGAAATATTTCAAGATATAGTTATTCTATTGTTGCTATTGCTTCAGCTGAAACTGTTCCACATACTGTTCCGGTTTCACATTTACAAAACACCACTATTTTTGTAAAATATTTGATATATAGGCATCAGTGGTCAGTTGAAAATCAAAATATAACTTTTAAACCATGATAACAAATTTGACAAAAAACATATTTCCCAATATTGCAGTTTTTCTTTGCTCGTTTTATATAAATGTACATGAATACAATTAAGGTCCACATATTACCTGAATACAAAGCTGTAATGTAGTCCTTCCTTATCCACTAAATAACCTCCATATCGGTATGACACAGAGTTTGCAATAAAAACCACACACTGAGCAAAACCAAAACACAATCCATAGACATTGGCTTTTTTTATTGCTGATCGGTATGGTAATTCAAGTTGTTCCTCATACATTTCAACAAATTTCTTTTCTTGTGCAATTCCAGCAATAGTTCTGATGTTCCCAAGTGCTTCACTAGAAATCTAGAAGATACAATGTGGCATAGGTTAGGTGAATGCTCAGAATGTTAACACCACCAGGAGTTTGCATAGAGCTACCATGAAACAATCTAAAATTATGTTGAACTGTGATACAAAGAGATATTACCATGTTGCATGTGGTACATGAGGAACTAAATTTGTAAAATAAAAGTAAATAGTGGATATGTACATAACATATGAATATTGGATGAAATGGGTGTACAATATTAAAACACCTTCCTACATAATAATAGAGCAAAAACAGCAAAAATGTGGAGCGAACAATCAGATATCTACAAATTAACTTGCTTTTATTTTAATCAAATAAATAGTACATATCTACCCTTCCTGCAGATTCCATGGCTTGTTTGTCTTGATTGGCAAATCCGGTGAGCATCCTGGCTTGCAGAGCACCAGATAGGGCCAGAAAGGGGAGGAAACAGGTAATCACTAGACTCAGTTTCCAGCTGAAGTAGAATGCAATAATTATGGCAACTCCGATATTAGTTAAGGAATTCACAATCATTCCGATTTGGGATCCAGTGGCCTGTAAATATATTAGATTTGGTTAGTTGATACTTGGCTCTGCATTACTGCTAAATTTAAAAAATATACTTTTTGGATACCCCAAATTAAATACAGAAATAAAAATATAAAATAGAACAAAGAAATTAAATCATTAGAGAAACAATTATCTTGCCAAGGTAATAATAATTAACAGCATTATTCTATATCTGTGGCACCAGGATGTCTTAATAAATCTAGGGCCATTGACCGGCACGTGATATTTTGCCACTGCTGGAAATAAAATTTGTTAAGCAAAGAATATTTGATTTGAACATTATGATAATTGGATTGTGATTATCCAGTTGTCCTAACCCCTTGGACTTGTGATGCATCTGTTGCAAGTCTTGTAGTCAAAGCTCCAGGGCTGTTTCTTGGATCATCAAACCATCCAACTTCTTGACCCAACATCGACTTAAATCCAATTTTACGTAGCCTCCTTGTGAGTAATTCACCAGATTTTGCAAATGTGTAACCCTGTTAAATAAAAAAAGAAACCATGGAATATTGTCCCGGGAATGTGCACTCACAGAATATAATGAACGGACAATGTGTTTTTGCATCAAGATAAATACATTGAAACTACCTGTAGAAATTGTGTTAGAAAAGATATAGCTCCGATAGCCACAAAAAGCACACATATCCCATTAATTTCATTCCTTTGCTGTTCTTCATCAGGTATAGAAAATGTCTAAACGGAAAGAACAAAAATGTTAACAGTCTGATGTTTCTAGTGTATGCACAGTACTGCTGGAGACAATGGCAAGAATGCACACACCCATAGTGCATAGTGGTGCTTGAACACATTTGAGCACTTCCAAGGCATCACAGTCGCAGGGGTCGCAGGGGTCGCAGGGGTCGCAGGGGTTGCAGGGGTCGCAGCTGCGATCAGGCTCGCCACTCCAGGTGGCCCTGCGCCATGTGTTGCTGCCACCGCCCAGCAGCAAACCACCAGGGCTGCACGTTCAAGGGGCCCATGCTCTTAGGACCACCCAATGGCTATGCATTTCCAGAGGGCTCAGTCAGCGCCACGGCGCTTTAACAGCACGACCGGGCTCCCTGAGATGACATCAGATGCTGGGAGGAAGTGACTGCCCCGGTCACTCCCCGGTCACTCCTCCCAGCTATCAGACAGAGCCACGCAGGAGTAAAGGGGAGGGAGTCAGAGTGGGAACTCTGACTCCCATCAGTCTGAGCCACCACTGGACCCCAGGGAAAGTCACCCTCCGGCACATAACAGGTAGGAAACAGAAGGGTGACTTAAACATTTTGTATATGTGTGTGTTTGTTTGTTTGTATGTATGTGTTTGTGTGTCTGTCTGTCTCTGTGTATGTGTCTGTATGTATGTGTCTGTGTGTGTGTGTTTGTGTGTGTATGTGTGTGTCTCAGTATGTATGTGTGTCTGTATGTGTGTGTCTGTATGTGTGTGTCTATCTGTCTGTATATATGTATGTGTGACTGTCTGTATGTATGCATATGTGTGTCTGTCTGTATGTGTCTTTGTATGTGTCTGTGTGTATGTATGGGTCTGTCTGTGTGTGTGAATGTGTCTGTATGTATGTGTCTGTCTGTATGTATGTCTGTATGTATGTCTGTATGTGTCTGTGTCTATTTGTCTGTGTGTATGTATGCCTGTCTGTAAATATGTGTGTCTGTATGTATGTGTCTGTGTCTGTCGTGGGGGGGGGGGAGCACATATCAGTTTCGCGCCCATGGATTGTGTGTACGTGACTGCATCATGGGATGGAAAAGACAAAATATTTTAAGTAAAATTTAGGAAACTTTAGGAAATTACATTTTTTGTGTGTGTGTTTTTTTGTTGTTGTTTCAACCTCAGCATTGCTTTTCTTACCCCAAGAATCTGACTGAAGAGCAAGGCATAAAGAGGACTGACGGCTCCATTAACAGCAGCTCCAAATGATCCGACTAGCATATAAGGCCATTCTGGAGCATTGTATTTTAAAATTCTGGCCACTGGTGCAGGTTCCACACCTTCATCATCATCAGCATAGATATCCTGAGTAAAAAAAAAAAGATTTAAAAAAAAAGGTTTTATTGCTTTTAGAGACATACAGTCATACAGTTATGGTTCTACTATATCTATTTCAGCAGCAAATTTATACTAAATGTTGTATTAAAAAAAAGTACTGTGGATTTTGGCTAGCTATTAATAGAATTGCTATTGAGTAATTTAGACTAAAGTGGGCAAACGTGCTGTTAGCATCACAAATTACTGTCTTGGAATTGGCACTTTGCATACACTCCACTGCACAAATACAACATTTAAAAAAATAAATTATTAAAACATCTGCTTAGTAGATATACCCAGTGAAAACTCAATTTTTTTTTTAATAATGCATTGTTTTCATTGGTGGCATATCTAAAAACAACTTTGCAAGCCCCCCCCTTCTTTCCCATCCCAGACTTTCTGTGTCTGTCCAGTCACAGACTTCTGAATATAGCTGAACGAGGATTCTTTGTAAGGCATATGCTCTTGACAATTGCCTGACTCTTGAGTTTAGCTCCACTGAGCTAACCAGACCAGGAAGTAACATGAATGGTTGCCTGATTGACAGCAGGGATTGTAACAAGGTTAATTTATAACAGTGCCAATTTCTTGATATTTGTACTTTTTGAAAGATGCAAAAAAGAGGTCACATAAATTACACATAAAGCACTAAAGTACTTTTGTTAGTTGGTGTGTTCTCGCATGAAGTCACATATTCATTTCTAATCAGCTGTGAACTATCTAACTAAACAAAATACGTATAAAATAACAGGGTTTTTATTAGAATCCTCTAAAAGTCATTGGTTTCCTTACCGTGTAGACACCATAATGGCTTATTTTTCCCATACAACCCATGCTGCCCAAGTGACAATTATTTTTCTTTTACAGGCTCTCATATACACTGCATGTAAAGCGTACAGGAATAAACCTATCCAAATTGAGTGGAAAGACAGGGAAAGACAGGGAATGAACTTGGAATGTTTAGGAAAACGGCTTATTTTCCCTCACTCACATTAATCTCTACTGGTATAAAAAAAGCACCCATAAAAGCTCAGGATATAAAATAAATCACAAGGATACTGGATCTTAAAATGTACCAGAAAATATGTTGTGAGAATTGAAAAACTAATTTAAAACAGGTAACTTAATAAGCCTCTGAAGAAGTGACGTTACCTGTCGCGAAACGCGTAAGGTGGTCACACCGAACAAGCACTTTCTCGGAGGAGGACTGCAGCGGAATGCAGGAGCGGCTTTGCTGGTCTCCTGGTGGAACGCACGCTCACATTTAACTTTCGAGCCGGCGAAAGTGAGAGCACTAAAGGGACTACTCCAAATTTTCCAGATCTCAAACCGATTAAGCATCTATGGAATGTGCTGGAACAACAAATCTGATCCATGGAGGCTCCACCTCACAACTGGCAGGACTTAAAGGATTCAGAGGTCTTGCAGAGTCCATGCCTCTATGCATCAGAGCTGTTTTGTAAGCACGAGGGGAACCTACATGATATTAGGCAAGTGGTTTTAATGTTGTAGCTGATCTTTGTATATCCCTTAAAGGACCACTATAGTAAAAGGAAAACATACTCGTTTTCCTGGCACTATAGTGCCCTGAGGGTGCCCCCACTCTCAGGGACCCCCTCCCGCCGGGCTCTGGGGAGAGGAAGGGGTTAAACTTACCTCTTTCTCCAGCGCCGGGTGGGGAGCTCTCCTCCTCCTCTGCTCCCTCTTCTCCTCCTCTTCGGCTGAATGCGCATGCGCGACAGGAGCAGCGCGCGCATTCAGCCAGTCCATAGGAAAGTATTCACAATGCTTTCCTATGGACGCGGGCGTCTTCTCACTGTGATTTTCACAGTGAGAAGCATGCAAGCGCCTCTAGCGGCTGTCAAGAGACAGCCACTGGAGGCTGGATTAACCCTAACATAAACATAGCAGTTTCTATGAAACTGCTATGTTTATAAAAAAAAGGTTAACCCTAGCTGGACCTGGCACCCAGACAACTTAATTAAGCTGAAGTGGCCTGGGTGCCTATAGTGGTCCTTTAAGGTCAACTATTTTCAGTGAGTTATCGGTACCATCACTTGCATTAGATCTTTGGTGGCCATTAAATATTTGTTTGAGATTCACTGCTCAATGGGTTCTATATCCAGTTAATACTAAAAGTAAAGACAAGCAGCCTTGAATGTTAGGTCTAAATAAAGAATCATAAGGTATGAGATAAAGTAAAAGACATACAATACAAAAAGTGTGTCTCTAATACTCAGACCAATAAGACCAAAAGAGTAACCAACAGGACTGCATTACAAATAGTTAGCTTATGAGACTGGTTCCAAGTAGCAATCATTGATAATGTTAATAATAGTTATTTGAAATATTTTCATTATTAAGTACACAGTTATCTTACTGCTTTAGTTTTTCCTGTATCTTCATACTGAGATGAGGTATCCCCCAGAACCAGCAAAGGATTATCTGGAACTACATTGGACAACTGAGACCTGGACCGAAGCCGGATTGAAGCGCTACAATCAAAAATAATGTTCCTTATATGGTATTCATATACACGACCTTAAACAGATATAGCACCTTACTCCCATATATAGAACTTTGAATATCTTGTTTATATTCATATGTATTTCAATGCATTAACTTTATTTCTTCATTTTTCCTTTCTTCCATTCAGTAAATTAAACAGTGTTACATTTTCTTAAGCACACAATGATTGGATGCTCTTCAGAACAGCTTGATCCATTTTAGAATAACAAGTTAAATGTGTTAAATATTATACATTGAATTTATTTATTGTTAACATTTTTTAAAGAATATTATGCACACAAATGACATGACTAAGCAACTTGCAGAATTCTATAGATATCTGTGTTTCTAGAAAACATTTGGTCAGACTGTCTGCATTGTTTATATTTGACCTTCAATTAGTTTGCAAAGGTTATATAAATAATGATCCAATTTAAAGGATGAATAATTCTTTAGTCTCTGTCTAATGATGTATGTATATATTTATTTTGTGTGCGTACTATTTCATAACATGTAATTCTAATAGTCTTTGTCCATGACCTTTTTCAATTTATGAACATACAACAATTCTTTTTCTCAGAAATGAACTCAACGGTGTTAGGTATCAGCCTTAAAAAATAGTTAATTGTATATGTATAAATTCAAATTTGATAAAAGGTCAGTCATCCTAGATTTCTTTCCTAATATGAGGTTAATAATTCGATTCTTATTCTAGTACCAATCCGTGTTATTCAAGGAGAATGCAAACATTACTGAATCAATAGTTCTCTTGATGGACTCACCGTAGACTGGCCTGATAGCTTCCTCTCTTGAACAAATTAACTGCCTCAAGCTTAGGTTCCTCAAACTCTTTGTTTTCTGTATCTGAGATAAAACAAAATGTAATGTTGACCCAAAAATAGGCTAAAGTCAGGCAAAGCTACAAAATAAACCTTTGGACTTGTACTATTAAACAGAATTCTATGCATTGTGATGCTAGTAAATCATAACATTAAATGCAAGTATATAATATATCAAATAAAAATGGCTGGTAGGTGCTAAATATTTCAGAATGGAAAAAAAACAAGAAAGGTATTTGGCATATAGTACGCCTACTAACCAAGTTCCATATCTCTAAGATAAAACTGACTTGATTTTTTTTGAACACTGAAATTATTTACATTCATGTTGTGTTCTAAATGTCTTCTAGACATGCCCTGTATGTGTAATTATCAGAGCTGGATTAAGGTTGCCCAGTTGTCCTACATAGGATGCCAGATTGCACATTTTCCTACTGCCTGGGGCTCTGTTCTGTGAGTGTTGTGTGTGAATGTGTGTGGTGGTTGAGTGATGTATGTTTGTGAGGGAGACTCAGTGCTGTGTGTGTGTGTGAAAGTGTGTGAGAGTGTGTAGTGGATGAATGTCAATTATGTATGGAGTTGGCTGACAGCTGTATGTCGGGGGGGAGTGAGTCTGCTAAAGAGCCTGCTGCTGAATTCTGAGTTTGTTGAGGAGCACTAAGGGACCACAAACCTGATAGAGGTGCAGGCCACAAAGTTTCCTTGAGGAATTGAGCATGCCAGCGCTGAGTAGGGAAAACTTTTGATCTCTCTGCTAGCTCAATTATGGCCCCCTCACAGACAAAGCCAGAGTTCCATTCCTAGAAAGGGGCCCATCTTGCTCCTGTTGGAGTCATGGGCCACAGCAGCCGCCAGGTACTGCTTTATGGGTAATCCGGCTCTGGTAATTATGTACCTCCCAACACTGGAGAGGGTTCAGAAGACCATATTCAGGCATGCATGCAAGAATGTGTACCAAGAACAAACCCAGCAGAATTAAGTTTACATCCCTGCAGCACCAAAAACTTCATGGGGGCATTGGTGTCCCTATTTCAGAAAGTACTACTTTGCAACTAACACTGCAGCGGTTGTAAGCTTTAATAGTCAAAAAAATAGGCCGAGATGGATGGAGATGGAGGAATCTAGCATTCTCCACTTTCAACTCGGGGAATTACCCTGACTAAGCTCTGTAAAGAGACCTGGAGTAACTAAAATGTTTATGACCACTAAGACCACCCCTAAAGCCTGGGATATAGTATTTAAAAACAACTGTCACTTGACAAAACTATATAGAGCCATGCCAATTAAATCTTTAAAATACTACATCCCGACCTTAAACTCATCATTTTACCAACTGTATCATATAGACGACTTTTTCCATGGAAACTCTATTTTGTTGTATGAAAGATTACAATTTAAGCATAGACTGGCGACCGAATGTAAGGATGAATGTGAGTTGGTGATTGAGAAATGAAAAGAAATATACAACATACCGGAAACAGACAGAAATTATAAAGCACTAGAAATATCACAACTAGAAAAGCTATGTTTGCATGACCCGAATAGGAAGGGCATTATATCTATCTGTTATATGTAATATAACGATAAACCATCAATTAAACTGAAGCATATGTTATCCTGGGAGATGGAGCTGGGTTCCCAGTATAAGTTGGAGGATTGGTTCAGTTTTTTTTCAGCTCTGAAACTGAATAGATATTGGAAATATTGGAAAATGATACATGACTTAATTATTAAGGTGAACAGTAACATAGGTAGCTTCAAATCTGAACTGGCTCTATTTAAAAAATTGCCTGAATCCATCAGTAAAATTGATAGAATTATAGTAGGCCACATTCTGATAGCTGCAACCACATGCCTACCTAGATATTGGAAATCTAAAAACACACCCTCAGTTAAAGTACTAACACTAACACTAAAAAACAAATCATATGAATTATCACATAGAAATAACACACATATATTTGCACAATTGAAATACCACTGGGATCAATGGGAAACCGATGTCAAAAAAACATATAACCTTTAATAACTTGTTATGGAATGTTTTTCAACTTACGTGCGTTATAATGGATGGATACCCTCTTTTTCCCACGTCCAAGTTTTCCCTTCCTTTCCCCTCCCCTAATATATTGTTTTTTTTATTACTTGTAAAATCTGCAATATCTTTCAATAAAAATTATTTGAAAAGAATGTGTACCAGCCTGACAGACAGCAATGCAAGCCAGTCAATCAGGATTGCCTATGCTGAGAACTGCAGAAAATGATTACCCAACAACATTATGCTTTGCATCAGCAGCACGCAGAACAAGCACATTTATTGATGTTACTTCACTCTGCTTTCTTATGGTGTCTTCTCAAAAGAGATAAATATGGGACGGGGGTCCCAATTGTGAGAATATGACATCTCTGACCTCTGGAGAGTTCCAATGCTATTGCATATGCTCCAGCTGAGACATTGCTGTAGTCCCTAGTAGGATTCCTGCTTATGCTGTTCAACTCAAGTTCTTATCCAGTTTGCTGCGAGAATTTCCAGTGGAGTGCTCTCCCAGCTCACTGTTAGTCAAGACTCAAGAGCAAGGTAGGTCAAGACTAATGATAGTCCCACAGATCCTGTACAATCAAATATGCTATTTCCTGTTAGGTTTTGTCTGAATGCTTTATGTTATGGTGTTACAGACATGAGTGAAATCCAGAGGATGTGAAAAATTCAAGGGCTCAACGACCCACAAGCCAAGGTCAGCCTACACACACAGGTATTTTTAGTGCTGTGGATCCAGGACTCCTACAGTATACCTGATCATATTGAAGTTCTCCACCTTGCCCATAATTCCAACTGTGCTATTTCAGACTAAATTCTGTCATCAATATACTACATAGTCAACATGTTTGCCCCTTAAACTAAATTAAATGTTTCACTCATATACAAATACTGAAATTAATTCAAGAGATACTTGCTTTGCTTCTCCATTTCATTAAGTGCTTTGTCCCCTTGACTCTGCAATGTAACCAGTGTAAAATAAACTCCTTTCCTCTCCAGTAGCTCATCATGGGTCCCTCTTTCCACAGCTCTTCCATGCTCGAAACCGATAATGACATCAGCATTTTTAATTGTTGATAATCTATGAGCAATAGAGATAGTTGTGCGTCCAAACCGAACCTAAAAACATAATTTGCTATTCATTTTCAATATATGTAAATTGTATCCAACATTCTAAGTTTCTGTCTAAGGAATGCATTCTTATATTCAAGTATGCAAAAAGATGGAAATGTTTTAGTCATCTTCAGCTTTTATTGCTGCATTGTTCCTGGGAATCTGGATTATGTAAGGGACAGTTGGCTGCAATTCATTTCTCATCAATGCTCAACCAGGTCATACTGACCATTAAATGAATAATATTGATTTACTGAATAACTCTAAAGGAACTCTATAGAGGGTCAGGAGTACAAATATGTGTTAAAACCACCATTTATGTTGCTTTCTCCCCCTTGCCTCCCTTAAAAGGTAAGAAAGCTTACCTTATTTTCAGCACTGGCCCTGCCCCAATCAGCCTCTTTGGCTGACATAATCAGAATTGATTATCTCAGCCAAGCCAATGCTTTCCCATAGGAGCAAGGGTGGAGCCAAATGCCAACTTGGTCAATAAGCATCTCCTCATAGAGATGCATTGAATCAATGCATCTCTATAGGGAAAATTCAGTGTCTGCCCCATGAAGCACCTCCAGTGGCCATATGAGGAGTGGCCACTAGATGAGTCCCTAGGCAACCCTTTCCTCTCTAAAAATACAGTGTTTCCAGCTAAAAGGCTGCAGAGAAAGGCTATACTCACCAGAACAACTATATTGAGCTGTAATTGTTCTGATGACTATAGTGCCCATTAAAGAGGATAATACATATTTTGGTTTAATTTTTTTCATTAAACTGAATCTTGCTTACTCCAAATCTTTCATGATCTGTTTTCTATTAGATTTGCAGCTTTTTCAAAGTGTTTAGTAGTGTAGCCTCTCAACAGCCTTGAGAGGTCTTGAAGGTGATCAGAGGTGGGAGAACGGACATAAGATAGAGTAAGTCTGCAGCAGAGTGTAAGGGCCTAGATGGGACATACTTGTGTATTAGGGAGGACAGATCGGTGGGAGCAGCATTATGTAGAGATTTGACAGCAAGAACCAGAATTTTAAATTAAGCCCTATAATCATGGTTGATTGTGGTGAATCAGGGTTTTTCAGAATAGAATTCTTGCAATGCATGTGATTTGCATTCTTCATTCTTTATGTGCATTAACCAATTAAATGTTCAAAAGGAGCAAAGAGCTACATGTATTAGGTATATGGCACCCATAGTTTAGCCCTGTCTGAGTAATGGATGTTTACTCACCTTATCAAGGGCTTCTTGTACAGTAGCTTCACTTTCATTATCTAGCGCAGATGTGGCCATATCCAGAAGGAGGATTCTAGGATTTCTGACCAGAGCACGAGCAATGGCAATCCTTTGTTTTTGTCCACCACTCATCTGGCCTCCTCCTTCTCCAACAAGAGTGTCAAATTGCTAAAATGATACAAATGGTATTATATAGAATGGATGATCTTGATGCAGAAATATAAACTGATTATACCTAATTCAAATAGGAGTTGTATGAGTGCTCTAAAAACCACTTTTATCCTATTACAATTTCATTCAGACCTGGGTTTGAGGTTAGAAAGATGACCAAAAACTTCAAAGTACAGTAGACAAAATTAAACCCATATTAACAAATACTATAGGTTGTGAAGAAGGGTTGATAGGGAGGGCTTCTGCCTTGTCCTCATTAATAATGAATTAATATAACATAAAGCCCACCTCCTCTGAAAATATATCTAATAGATGCTATTGTCAATTTAAGTGGTGCGAGAAATATTTTTCCTTCCTGGTACCATTCCTGCTCAAAATAATAATGAAAGACTTGGGGTGTGAGGACCCCATTCTGGAGGGATCATAGAGTGGGCGAATGGCATAAATAAAATAAAGAGATGAATCTATTTTACTGAGAAGATAACAGATAAGCCCATTCAAGTCTATCATGCCTTCTCTTCGAGTAGAGAAGGCATCAAGATTGATGGGCCCACCAAATCGCATCATAATAGGTGTTCTCATAAGCATGGTGAAAGGGGATAAAGTATACATAACCTGGATAAGTTAGGGAGAGAAGACTGGGATTAATTTTATTAGTTTGGTAAATATTTTTATACATAATCAAACATATCACCAGTATGCGGTAGGTTCTGGGATACTCGGAACAGGCAAGGATAGTAGATGCCTTTTAATTAGAATACATGCATGTGTACATATACGCAGTGAACTATTGCCCCTAGCACATATATATTAGAACTAATGAACACCCAGCCAAGGTTCCTAGCTCATAACTGCATCTCACATTAACCTCTTAAGGAACGAGGCAATTGTCCAAATTCTGAACCGAAACAAAACTTAGAATTTGAGCTATATGACTATTCAACCATAATTTGCCTCTTTTATATTAAGTGCACCCACACTTATAAAATATAATTTGTTCAGGAGAAATATGGCTTTCATTTCACATTAAATATTTATATATGAAACATAATTAAATATTAGTAAAATCTAATAAAGTGTGAGGCATAAGACATCTTGTTGTTTTCCAAGTTCTGCACGGCATTTTAACTGTGAATGTCATGTTATGTTAGCTTGTACTGTAAAAAAACTACACATATCTGTATGCTGTGAGGTCCCACAAGTACAACAATGCCCCCCATGCAGTGGCATAGCATGGGTTGCCAGCGCCAAAGGGCAAGGCAAGTGTTACTCCTAACCTGAGGTATCTTTAAATGGGAAATCACGCTGTTAATAGGCATTATGTAATTCACTGATAAGGATTACTTGAGGACATTATGGCTTCAATACGCAAGAAATATACTATTACGTGGCAATGTTTATTTGCTCTGTAATGAGGAAAAACTGGGTAGAATGTTCAAATATTGGGAGATTTTCTGTGAGATGGGGATGATGTGCTATTTTGTTTATTTATTATTATCTGAAAAATTTGTGCCCAGGTCAACTGCCTATGTGATCCCCATGCTACACCACTGCCCCATGTACAGGTTTTATGGTGTTTTGTAAAGTTAAAGGGTCAAATAAAGAGCTTGCCCATTTCAGATTTTACACATTAAAATTTGCTGGACCCATGTTGCCTTTGAGGCCATATGGCAGACCAGGAATGAAAATTACCCACATTGAGGCATACCATTTACAAAAGTAGACAACACAGGGTATTCTCAATGGGGTGTGTCCAGTATTTTTTCATAGCCACTTGGTCACAAACCCTGGCCATAATAGGTTTTTTTGCATTTTCCCCTAAAAAAATGCACTTCCAGTGATTATATAATTATATATTTTGCTGCTCTAAAACAAAATGTCTCATCACTACAACAGTACCCTCTAAATGTATAGGTTTAATGTAGTTTTGAAAAGTTACAGGGTCTAATACAGGGCTTGCAAATCAAATTCTCTGGAATTTCTGCCTGGGTTGTCAAGCAAGCCCCCTATATATAATTAATTAAAATAATATAATTACATATAAATTATGAATAACTACACTTAGAATTAAATTATATATAAGTAAGTGTATAGTAGATGGTTTTATACGTAAATATATTACTTTATTAATTCTATACTGAGGATCGCCCTGCAGCCAATCCTGTCAATCAAGCTAATACGAGCCATGTGTCCCATGATCCTATGACCATATGCCCCATAACTCAGATCGGCTGGATTGGCTGCAGGGGGACTGCCTGGGTTGTCAAGCAGGTCCCCTGATCACGATCGATGCCAAGGGTTAGTATTTGGGCTGGAGGGAAGACCAGATAATTAGGGCATGCTATGCCACCCTAGCAGCGTTAAAGCCCTTATTTTGTAGGGTGGCACAGCACACCCTAACGTTGGGAAAGTACAAAAAGAAGATAAATTAAAACAATCTTATGCTGTATTAACTTTTTATTATGTATAAACAAAAATATTTATGCATACATTTTAGTAAATACATATTTTTTTTTTCGAAATGGCTTAGATTATTAAGATTATTAATTTATAAAAACTTTTAATTTCCAATTAAAGAGTCAGATACAACAATAAGCTTAGTATGAAAGTATTTAATTTAATCATTTTGTTTAATTTCTTGTGAATGTACTCTAAAAGTTTTATTAAAAGTATTATTATTATTATTATATAAGATATTGCAAAGGTTATAAATACAATATTTTATAACCTGCACCAAATAAAATAACAGGTACATTTTGTTTTTTCCTAGAAGGATATCTATAGATTAATCCAAAGACATAAAATTGAGTGTGCCTTAGAACAAAAAACAATGACATAGAACATCTAAAAAGAATATTGAATGACACACATAACCAATTATTTAAAAGCAAAAGTGGTGTGTTTATTCCCCGTCAATAGTGTCACTAATTACAGGTTTTGTAATCTACAATAATCCTTTAATCATGGGTCTGGTGTTCCTCAAACCATCCAATTGATTAATAGCTCTGGACAGGTATAAAAAGACAAGAAATCAGCACAGGTGCATAGCGGTGTAGCTTTGGTTTCTAGCACTTAAGAACTTCAACCTGAAGAGGAGACTGGTGGAACCATGAGACTTCTCTTAATTTCTCTGCTGCTGGGACTGGCAGCAGCATGGCCAATACAGGAAGGTAAGTATAGGCAAAATATATCTTATCCATTTAGATGTAATACTGTTTTAAATGTATTTTCTGTAGCGGTTTATTAAATAGCAGTTATTATCTTTATGTGTGCAATTTTTGAATGGCATGTTGTATAGTGTTCAAAACTTATATGCAAAAAGGAAACAGGGCTATTCACTCAGCAGTGAATAAACTGAGAATGTGATTGGTAGCTTCAAAGTTTTTGACCATAATAGCCGAGCTGGACAAAAAGTGTTTATATTTTTTTTATTGTTGCTATCATGGCTTTAAATTTTTTGTGTGAAATTTACCGTCTAATTTCTGTCACTAAATGCATTTTGGTTATTGTTTTCCTTTCAGCCAAACTTTGTGTACATAGCATATCTTAAACTAGTGGATTATCTTCTATTGCCAAACATATTGAAAGACAGAATTTAGATTTCTTATTTTTGCAAAATCTTGTAAATACAGACAGGAGGTGTTTCAAATTTTCAATGCTCCTCTGCTGCCCTTCTTCAACCCCTTTAATACTCAAATCTAGTATAAACATGTTTATTTGCATGTATTTTGCAGTATGAAATCTAGTGCATAAAGCCTCACTCACATTTATTTATAATCTAAAAATGATTACCAGCCTGTTGAGGAACACATTTATTTGCCAGAAGCCACTAGTCACTGATATAATTTGTGTAAATTTGCTGAAAATGTGTGCTCACCCCGACAGTAGAGAAAGCTTCAATGGGTCATATTATTTCTACAGACATGGCAGGAAGAGGAGTGAATGGACTCAATCATTTCATTCTCAGTATTAAATTAGCAGTCCAGAGATTGCTAACAATAGCTATAGCAGTTTTAAATACCTTTATTTTAGAAATATATGATTTAACTGTATTTATTGTATTTGGGCATTGAGCTCAAATACAGACATTATTTTTACATTTTGTTACCATTTTCAAAAAGCTGCACTGTTAGTAATGCCTCCATGGTCATTACAAAAATGAGGCATTTGATATGTTTTTTTATTTTTGTCACATCTACTGTATGTGAGAAAAACTGTATTTTTGTTTTTATACTAACACTTCAGATCGTGTGAAATATTGCATTGTACAGGGCACTGTATACTATCTAAAGTTGTTCATTACTCACATTTTGTTTCATAAAAACAAATAAGTGAAAAGTAAAAATTGTGTAAATTTGCATATTTGTAATTATCTATGAAAAACATTATTGTGTTACGATATGTTTATATGTCAGTTATGCAGTCAAATAACTGTCATGCTAATATTTTCTTTAATCACAAAATGTTCAGAAGTAAAGGGGTTAATCCCAGAGTTCGTTTGTGCCATATTTACACAAAAACCTATTTTTCATCTTGACTCCCCAGTTTTTTACTCTTTAATACCACTGACTCAATAGTTAGCTTGTTCCTGGCAAAAAAGGGACACCAGTGTCCTGTGCAAAACCTATGCAATCAGGATCTACAACCTTTGTCCTTGGTAACTTAGAAAGACCAACATCAGTAAATTACCCATGTCATTATAAACAGTAAAGACATCATCACCTCTGTAACACTGATGTAACAACTCTAAGTAGTATCTGCCTTGTAACCTGAAACTATTTTGTGGTTTTAATTTGCATGTATGCCTCTATGTGCTTTGTTGCAGGAACGAAAGCAACGGAGAAGCATCGAACATGGTTACATTCCTCTGAGAATAATACTAATTTCAACAATATACATAAAAATCATACATGTATACATTGCTTTATGAATAACACTAATTTCAACAACACTCACAAAAATCCCTCTTTACACACCAACAAAGGAGAATTCCATACATGTAACAAATCACATGTATATTCATTACCCACATGTACTAATAAAGAGGACTGTGAAGCAGGGTCTATCTGTAGAAATACCTCCTGTGGATTAAGATGTCTCAAAGATCACAGTGGTAAGTAACATTAACGTGGATCTCACAGAAGCCAAACAGAAAATGATCACACTTTAGTTTTCTCTTATCTTCAATGTATAACTAACAACTGTTGTATATTTAATATACATATACAACTATATGCTCATTTAATTTCCCAAGAGTTCAACATAGACTCCCTACCCTACAAGAAACACTTCACTTAGCATGTTGGAAAGTGGGAACGTGTACATACTGGTCAAGAAGCATGCAGTTGTATAAATTATTTAGACATACGCTATCGCAACATAGACCGTCAACACAGAATCATCAAAAGTTGGTCCGTAGTGATAGAAAACACTGTATGTAATTAACTCTCACAGATGTTAAAGCAGTACTAAAGTATCAAAACTTCTTGGACTGTATCAGAAATGTGTTCAAAAGAGCAAATCTATCTCTCTATCTATCTATCTGTCAATTTGTCTGTCTGTCTATCTATTTATCTATCTGTCTCTTTGTCTGTCTGTCTATGTGTCTGTCTGACTGTCTGTTTGTCTTCAAGGCATTTAAATGCATTTTTAAAATATATCTTACTATGTCTAATTAATTCTATCACAAAGAATCGATTGTAGAGCAATTTCGGTTTTAGGGACTGACATTTTAATACTCTATTACTCATTTTTTGACTTTCGATTTGGCACTATATCCCTCAGTAGTTTTCACCCATCTAATAAGAAATTATTGTATGTTCTGTTGCATGATAAGGCCAGCTTGTAGTATCTTTTAGATTGTTGAATATATTTTGTGTGAAAACTGTAATGCTAACCAGTGAAAATTGGTCTGTATATGTAGCTCAACAAATGTAACATGGATATAAGTATTTTTACTTCTGCAATACTCATGTGACTTGTTCTTTGCATAGATGTTATTTGAATAATTGTCATCTGCACAATGGACTTGGCAGTTGGCACACAAATTTCATTTGCAAACTAGATAGCATTTCAATGATTGCTTTAGCCAACGATCTATCTTGAAAAAGTGCAAGGTGCTTATTTAAAACTGCAACAGTAATATAATCTATGGTCTCCTTTGACTAATTATTTGTAGTGTGGTTTTTACTAAGATGTTTACATTATGATAATATATTATTTACTAAGATGGAAAACTTTGTCTTTGTAGCTATGCATTTGCAAAAGAATGGAGACCATACACATCAAGATCCAAAGAGTCTCCTAAAGAGTCATCAATGGGTTGCTAAAAACTACACGCATCAAAATGGAAGAAATGAAACAGGAGCACATAACAGTTTGAATCAAAAAGGCAACATACGGAAGGTAAGAGATGTACATGAAAATAGCCATAAAGAAGGTCATACAAACCATAATGAGGGACAAGAAGGGAATAAGCAACCCTCACACAAAGCAAGGATGATGCGAGAGGTTAGGAAATCACATCGAGGAAGACAAAGCTCAGAAGAGAGTGAAGAACAAGGGTCTGCAGAAATGGAATCAGTGGAATCGGATGAACAGGAGGAGCAAGAATCTTCAGAAAGTAAAAAGTCATTTGAAAGTGAAGAACAACAACTGGAAGAAGACAATAGAAATGTGGAGGAAAAAAGACAAAGACAATCCCGCCAGGGTAAGAAGGCACCTAAAAGAGGAAGACGAAATGCCAATAAAAAAACACCTATTCGGGGACATAAACCAGAGAATGGAGTAAAGAATGGACAGCATCCTGGAGCAAAAAGTAACCATAACAATAATGGCAGACACGCAAGAGATCTAAGTAACCATGTTGATGGAGAAGGAAACAACAAAGGTAAATAAAAGAAACCTTTAACGTTTACTCTCATAGACCAGAAATAGGAAATTGATAAGAATGACAGTAGATAGAGGTTGGAAAAAAACACTATTTTCTGATAGTTTACAATATACAACAATATAACAAATGAAGTGTACATTTTTCCTTCCACTGTGTATCTATAACTAAGTAGATAATGGTGTTTGAACCCACTTTAGTAGTTATAGGAATACATTTTGCGGAGGGAACTATGTTAAACATGGCAACCAAGTCTACACTGACTTACAATGAGAGAGCACCAGGAAAACCGTGGCAACCATAACCAGTACTTTAGGCTTTAGTGATTAAGATGATTGGAGTTTTCCTTTAATGACATAGTGGCAATACTAGAGGGTGTTACTATGAGATTCAGCATGGAATGAAATATATTTAGGGATTGTTTCTAACTCTGCACATTGCACCAAAATCTATATTTAGAATTTTAGTTTTTTATTTTGGCTCTAATAAACTAGTTACCTACATGCCACAATTTGTGTCCATTTCAACACCCAGTCTTATAATTTTAACACACTCACAAGTTATGACAAAAAGTGTGATCCTCTTTAGTATTTTGCTAATATTTGGAGACACATCATCAGGCTGAACGGTTCATTTGTTAGCTGGAGAGTTACTTTTGGCATGTGTGCTAAGTTAGTGAGTGAATGTTACAATATAATCTTGATATAGACACTAATGTTTTGATGACTTGCTTTACAGGTCTACGCAACAAACATAATAATGATTTAGGGCAAGATAATACCAAATCATGCTCACACAAAAGAAATCAAAACGCACATCATCATAAAGAAATAATTCAAGAGGAGAAAGAAAATAAAACAGATGTCAGTAATGGTACAAACTCAGGAAAAAAGCATAGACATCATTCAGAAGGCATAAAAAAGAATGGAGAAAGGGAAGGTCAACAGCCAGGAGAAAGAGAAGGCCAGGAAAACAAGAAAGTAAGACCAGCACGAGACGTTGAGGGTAAAAATCCAGGACAAAAGAATAGTCATCATTCAGAGGGTAGAAAAAAGACTGGAGAAAGGGAAGGTCAACAGCCAGGAGAAAGAGAAGGACAGGAACCAGCAAATAATAAACATCACAATAAACGAGGGAAGCGAGATGCCAATCCAGGAAGTAAACCAGGGCAAGGAGTAAAGAATGGACAGCAGCCTGGAGCAAACAGTAACCATAAAAATAACGGCAGACACCCAAGAGATATAAACAACCATGTTGATGGAGAAGGAAACAAAGAAGGTAAATAAAATAAACAAAACCTGTAACTTTTACGCTCATAGACTAGAAATTGAAAAATTGAGAAGAAGAATCAGTAGGCAGAGGTTGGAAAATAAACAATATTTTCTGATAGTTTACATGTATATCTATAAACTAATTTTCTTTCCACATTTCTTAGTGAAATAGGCGTGACTGAATAATGTATCTGATATAACTGAAGACAACACTGAAAATATACTCTCATTTAAAAAAAGAAAGTTACAGCACAGCTTTCACATATAAAGGATCATACACGAGCCGTGCACGTATTTCCTCCCACTGTGTATCTATAACTAAGTAGATAATGGTGTTTGCACACTTTAGTAGTTCTAGGAACACATTTTTCAGAGGGATCTATATTAAACATGGCAGCCAAGTCTACACTGACTTACAGTGGAAGAGCGCCAGGACACTTGAAGCAACCATAACTACTACTGTAGGCTTTAGTGATTATGGTGATTGGAGTGTTCCTGTAACAACATTGTGACAGTACTATAGGGTGTTGCTATAAGTTTCAGCATGGGATTAAATGATTTTCAGATTGTTTCTAACTTTGCACATTGCACCAAAATCCATATTTAAAAATGTTTCTTTTTTTTTCTCTTGACTCTGATAACTAGTTATCTAAATGCCAATTAAAATGTAAATTTCAATGCCCAGTCTTATAATTTCAACACAATCACAAGTTATGACAAAAAGTGTGATCCTCTTTAGTATTTCGCAAACATTTGTAGACACATCATCAAGCTGAACGGTTCATTTGTTAGCTGGAGAGTTACTTTTGGCATGTGTGCTAAGTTAGTGAGTGAATGTTACAATATAATCTTGATATAGACACTAATATTTTGATGACTTGCTTTACAGGTCTACGCAGCAAACATAATGAAGATTTAGGGCAACATAATAACAAGTCACGCTCACATAAAAGAAATCAAAACGCACATCATCACAAAGAAAGCATTCAAGAGGAGAAAGAAAATAAAACAGATGTCAGTAATGGTACAAACTCAGGAAAAAAGCATAGGCATCATTCAGAAGGCAAAACAAAGAATGGAGAAAGGGAAGGTCAACAGCCAGGAGAAAGAGAAGAGCAGGAAAACAAGAAAGTAAGACCAGCACGAGACGTTGAGGGTAAAAATCCAGGACAAAAAAATAGTCATCATTCAGAGGGTAGAAAAAAGACTGGAGAAAGGGAAGGTCAACAGCCAGGAGAAAGAGAAGGACAGGAACCAGCAAATAATAAACATCACAATAAACGAGAGAAGCGAGATGCCAATCCAGGAAGTAAACCAGGGCAAGGAGTAAAGAATGGACAGCAGCCTGGAGCAAACAGTAACCATAAAAATAACGGCAGACACCCAAGAGATATAAACAACCATGTTGATGGAGAAGGAAACAAAGAAGGTAAATAAAATTAAAAAAAACTGTAACATTTACGCCCATAGACTAGAAATTGAAAAATTGAGAAGAAGAATCAGTAGGCAGAGGTTGGAAAATAAACAATATTTTCTGATAGTTTACATGTATATCTATAAACTAATTTTCTTTCCACATTTCTTAGTGAAATAGGCGTGACTGAATAATGTATCTGATATAACTGAAGACAACACTGAAAATATACTCTAATTTAAAAAAAGAAAGTTACAGCACAGCTTTCACATATAAAGGATCATACACAAGCCGTGCACGTATTTCCTCCCACTGTGTATCTATAACTAAGTAGATAATGGTGTTTGCACACTTTAGTAGTTCTAGGAACACATTTTTCAGAGGGATCTATATTAAACATGGCAACCAAGTCTACACTGGCTTACAGTGGAAGAGCGCCAGGACACTTGAAGCAACCATAACTACTACTGTAGGCTTTAGTGATTATGGTGATTGGAGTGTTCCTGTAACGACATTGTGACAGTACTATAGGGTGTTGCTATAAGTTTCAGAATGGGATTAAATGATTTTCAGATTGTTTCTAACTTTGCACATTGCACCAAAATCCATATTTAAAAATGTTTCTTTTTTTTTTCTCTCGACTCTGATAACTAGTTACCTAAATGCCAATTAAAATGTAAATTTCAATGCCCAGTCTTATAATTTCAACACAATCACAAGTTATGACAAAAAGTGTGATCCTCTTTAGTATTTCACTAATATTTGTAGACACATCATCAGGCTGAACGGTAGCTGGAGAGTTACTTTTGGCATATGTGCTAAGTTAGTGAGTGAATGTTACAATATAATCTTGATATAGACACTAATATTTTGATGACTTGCTTTACAGGTCTACGCAACAAACATAATGAAGATTTAGGACAATATAATAACAAGTCACGCTCACATAAAAGAAATCAAAACGCACATCATCACAAAGAAAGCATTCAAGAGGAGAAAGAAAATAAAACAGATGTCAGTAATGGTACACAACCAGGAAAAAAACATAGACATCATTCAGAAGGCATAAAAAAGAATGGAGAAAGGGAAGGTCGACAGCCAGGAGAAAGAGAAGAGGAAGAAAACAAGAAAGTAAGACCAGCACGAGACGTTGAGGGTAAAAATCGAGAACAAAATAATAGTCATCATTCAGAGGGTAGAAAAAAGTCAGCGGAGAGGAATGGTGAACAGCAAGGAGAAAAAAATGGGCAGGAAAACAAGAAAGTAAGAACAGCACTGGATGATGAGAGTAAAAATCCAAAACATGCAAAAAGTGCCGAAGAATCATCGGAGGAAAAGAGTGAAGAAGTAAAATTTGGAAGGGGTCATGTCAAGGCAGAGAAAAATAGAAAAACTGGACAAGAAAAATGGGAGGAAAAGAGTCAAAGATCAAACGAAAACAAGGGTCTCAAGATAGCAGAAGAAAATAAACTAAGAGGGCATGAAATGAAAGAGAAAAAGAATCAGAAATCAATTGAGAAAAGGGATATTAGCAGAGCAGAAGAAAAGAGAAATGCAAAACATGCAAAAAGTGCCGAAGAATCATCAGAGGAAAAGAGTGAAGAAGTAAAATTTGGAAGGGATCATGGGAAGGCAGAGAAAAATAGGCAAAATGGACAAGAAAAATGGGAGGAAAGGAGTCAAAGATCAAAAGAAAACAAGGGTCTCAAGATAGCAAAAGAAAAATGGGAGGAAAGGAGTCAAAGATCAAAAGAAAACAAGGGTCTCAAGATAGCAGAAGAAAATAAACTAAGAGGGCATGAAATGAAAGAGAAAAAGAATCAGATATCAATTGAGAAAAGGGATATTAGCAGAGCAGAAGAAAAGAGAAATGCAAAACATGCAAAAAGTGCCGAAGAATCATCGGAGGAAAAGAGTGAAGAAGTAAAATTTGGAAGGGATCATGGGAAGGCAGAGAAAAATAGGCAAAATGGACAAGAAAAATGGGAGGAAAGGAGTCAAAGATCAAAAGAAAACAAGGGTCTCAAGATAGCAGAAGAAAAATGGGAGGAAAAGAGTCAAAGATCACAAGAGAAAAAAAGGGAAGAGATAGCAAAAGACAAGAAACAAAGAGGTCCAGACATAAGTGAGAAAAAGAGAGAAAGTGCAAAGAAAAGAAGGCAAAATTTATCAGGAGAAAAGGCAGTCCCCACATTGACAACAGAGCAGCTTGTGCTACCAACAAAGAATTAGGTACTAGTTAAGGCAAGGGAAAAATAACCCACTGAAATAAATGAGCAGTCATTAACTGCAGATAGTCAGTAGACAACTGTTAAGGGAAATGGGTAGTAGTCTCCTACTCAGGCAATTGGGGCATAGAAAGAGTTTTGGAAAAATTGGGACTCGCAAATGAACCTCAGGCTGATAAAATACTGTCGTCAGTTTTGTAATACATACTGTGTTATTACCATTAGATTTATATATTAGTGGGATGTGCCTACACTATAGTATTTATGTTACCAATAAAAGCATTAAAAAATTACCTGTTTTCAGTATGTTTTTCTCAGTATGAACTGGCACAAACTCATACAAACTCATGCAAAATACACTTCGAAGCCTTTAATTAACCTTAACATCCTCTGCGATCAGAATTAGAAAGTTGTGAATATTAAATAAATCTATGATCTAAATCTGTATCTGATCCCGTGGTTTTCTGAATTGTTCAAACTGTGATGCTATATAAACAATGGCTATTTGTTCCATAAGCTGTTCTAGGAATTAAATTCTTACTAACAGCACACACAATTTATATCCTTTGAAAAAGCTTTGAAGGGTATACAATAGGCTAAGATTAAAACTGTGAGTTATATAAATATGCAGAAATAGCTAATATTGAAAATGCATAAAAGGCTCAGTTGAATTAGCCCCACAACAGACCAGCATCTAAATTTTCAATCACAAAGATGGGTTAACAGTGAATTTATTTTTCACTGCTATAGACTCCCAAACTCCTAGAACTATATTGTAAAAAAATGAACAATTTATAAAAAAAAATCAAAAAAATTATAAAATGCATCAAAAGCCATGTAATTCAGGAGTGAAATGCTCACAAAATTATCATCAATAACACCAAAGTAAACAACCATTTTAAATAGTGTTTTTGTAAATGGTTGCAGGTAAAATTCAACAGACTGATCAACAGTCAACAGTATGATCATCGCTATAACACAGCAAAGTTGATAAAGATGTCCAGATCCAGACTGTGCTCAAAGAATACTAACGTGGAGGTCTTAACCGATAAAGTTGTTGAGTAAAGTGCCTGACACCAAATCAGTCATGAAGAACAATTATTATTATTATGGTAGAAATGATTGTGAAGGTTTTTCCTTATTTTTACAGTAGGGGAGAAATGTTTTAATTATTTACTACCATGAAATACTTTTGAATATTTGTTTCAACATTGCTACAATTTATATGCTGGTAAAATTTGGAAGGTCATTTCCCATCAAAGGCATCCTCCAAATACCATAATTATGCAGATTATAGTTGTAGCAACGACTGTTGCCCCTTGTTTTATCAAACCATTTCAATCTCTTCGACAAACCTTTGGGAATGATTAGCACCCAAAGATCACCTCTTTAAATAGCAGTATCCTAATGAGGAAAACTAATGATTCATTATATTATTTTATATTATTTTTATTGTAAGGCATACCAACACCCTGCAGTGAAAGGATCAGAACATTAGTATATACAATGATTCAGTCACTGTCAATGTGAGTTTACACTGCCACGTTCCTTAAGGAGTGTATGCAATAGTTGTAACCCAGGCTTGACAAAGATACTACCGTTCCAAAATGTTAGTTCAATAAAATACATCACTAAACCCATACCAAATTTATTTTGAAATTCATGCTGGCTCTCTTGGGCAAGAGTCCATAGCTATAGCGCCAGAATAATTAAGTGAGTGCTTTCTCTATATTTGCTATAACTTCCAATTCTAGAACAGACATTTAGATTTTTGTTTTTGACACAGTAAACCTGTGGTTGTAGGGCCCGCAAAGTATGAATCAATCTCACTGTTCCCCAATTTTACATTGCAAACTTGCTATGTTTTGCACACACACTGGATTAAAAAAAGGTGCATTATATGATTTATATATTAATGTTATCACTTATACATTCATGCCAATGATGATTGTGAAAGGATTGTAGACAACATGCAATCTAGCAGAGGAGAAAGGGCTAAAAACTGGATTTTGGGAATTTGCCTAAATGTGCTTTTCTATGTGCGTTAGTTCTGTGTCACTGAACATGCAAGCATGATGTGAGAATGATGTAACAAGTGATATTATTATTATTTTATTATTTATATAGTGCCATCAAATTGTGTAATGGGTGGACTAAAAGACATGTAATAGTAACCAGACAAGTGGACGTACAGGAACAGAGGGGTTGAGGGTCCTAATCATTGAGCTTACATGCTAGAGGGAGTGGGGTAAAATGACACAAAGGGTAAAAGTAGGGGTGTGAAGTAGTTGTTAGAAAAGTATACACTGAGGGCTTAGTAGGAAATTTTGACAGTTGCAGGAGAGGAGTCATTGAGGACAGTGTTAAAGCATTGATGCTGTAGGATATTGCCTCAAAACATATTTTAAGAGTATGAGTAGGAGTATAGTATTGGATGAAAGTTACTCTTAAACATGTTTGTTTTTAACAGTGATTGGTTAAATGCAAGAATGTTACATGCAAAAATACATCCCAGTAAGGAGGGACCTTATTCAAAATCTGTATTGACTCTCCCTTGGTAGCCACAAGTTTATATTCTGCAATAAACCAAGAATTGGATCTTGGTGTTTTATCTTGGCTGTGTGTAGGGGAAAGAAAATTACTGGCACAGTTACAAAAAAAATTATTACCTGCGGTAGGTCCATGATAAAGTTGTAGGCATTTGCTTCTTTTGCAGCATTGATAATCTCTTCCATTGTGGCAGATTCCTTACCAAAGCGAATGTTCTCTGCAATTGTAGTAGCAAACAAAACTGGCTCTTGCTCAACAATGCCAATCAAGGAACGTAGCCACTGAATATTAAGTGACCGTACATCATGGCCATCTAATGTCACCTGTCAATTAAATACAATAAAAGGTCACTTTCCTCCAAATGGTGCATATGGACACTGGAGACACTGGAATACGGAAGCTATTTGTTATTTTGTTATTTTAGTGTTTTCAACAAATAAATATTTTATTTTTCACATGTACGTGAACTGTTTATCTTATGTTAGCTATAAAAACATCCACACCATCACTTGGACAATTTGAAAATAAGGTAATGTCATCAGCTCCATATGCCATCATGAAGAAGCTCTAACAATATACATTCAGAAAAGTATTAAGATTCTAAGCAGGTTTGATCCCCCCTTCATTCTTCATCTTGGGATGCAGAATTTGGACAAGCCAATTATTCTTTCCGAAACCATGGTCAAACCCCTGGGCCATAGGCAGCTGCATAGGATCACCTTATGGTTACTATTGCTGCGATGGGCACTGTGCCTCAGAATTTTAAAAACATTTCAAATAAATAGGTGCAAACTCACCATTCCTTCATCAGGATCATAGAAACGTTGAATGAGTTGAATTGTAGTACTTTTTCCTGCTCCACTTGGTCCAACAAAAGCTGTTGTTTCCCCAGATTTTACGATCATGTTTAGCTTGTGTAAAATCTTTGAAAGGGAAAAGCAGTGCAATTAATATGATAAGAGGTGGTATGCCCGTTGGCATTGATAAATCAATGAACTACATGATATATTTTGCAAGTAAGATGTTTGTATCAGAATAACTGGGCAGGTAGGAAACATATTAGATGAAGAGAAGGGAAAGGAAAAGAATGGACGAGGAGAGTGAATTGAGGAGGATGGGACAGAACAAAAATGCTCAGTGGAGAAGAAAAAAAGGGAGGAGAGAGAAGACATCACACGAGAATGGAGGGGAAAACAAAAGAAAAGACTGGATGTAAAGTGAAAAATCTAGGGTCCACCAGAGTCATCAAACTTATTTCGGTCTAACTTTCCTTATAGACATGTATGATTTCTAGAATTTTCAGTTGAAAGAAGGAAATAAAATTGCATATATTAAAGCCTACATAAAAATGCTGCTTATTTGACAAGTACGCCTTATTATCTTGTTGCACTATTTCTGCAGCACTTGCCAAGTGTGAACACTTAAATGTTTTAAGTAGTTCAGGCTTTGTGCTATTTTTATATTTGAATGTTAATTTCTAGATTTGTTCTATTCCTTCTCATGCAGAGGAAGGTACTTTAACATCGGCTCATTCTGGTATGTTTAGATGAAACGTATTGTGAATATACACCAGTGTATAGCAACATTATATCATCTTAATTTTCAAGTGTCTAAATCTATAACTCCTGCGAGATATGATGACATAAACTGTGCATGTGTCAGGCTTGCTGGGATATGCTGGGCCAATTTGTCCTCTGGGATCCCATTTAGATTTTTACTCATTATCTATTTGAAGATGTAGAGCAGAAGAAGGCAACCTTTGGCCAGGTATTCTGGACTACATTTTCCTGATGCCTTTCCAGCATCATGTCTGTAAGATCATTATGGTAGATGTAGCCCACAACATCTGGAGTAGTGAAGGTTACCCACCCCTGATATAGAACACGACTATTAACTGTATTTTAACATACATACAATTATTTCTGATAAAAAAAATGGCATTTTGTATTTTGAAGTAAGAAGTAATTATGTTTAATGTTTTTTAAATCGCTGTTTTGAAGACCAGCTGCCTAAAAGTGAACGAGAGGCATCTGGATACTAAGTTTGGGTTCTTCATGTTCTCCAAAAGTCTGACACTATGTTACCTCACATATTTACAAAAATAAGGCTATCACTTAATTTTCTCATCTTAAAGGACCACTATAGGCACCCAGACCACTTCAGCTTAATGAAGTGGTCTGGGTGCCTGGTCCAGCTAGGGTTAACCCTTTTTTCAATAAACATAGCAGTTTCACGGACACTGTTATTGTTATGTTTATGTTAGGGTTAATCCAGCCTCTAGTGGCTGTCTCTTGACAGCCGCTAGAGCCGCTTGCGTGCTTCTCACTGTAAGACGCCAGCGTCCATAGGAAAGCATTGTAAATGCTTTCCTATGAGACTGGCTGAATGCGCCTGCAGCTCTTGCCCCACATGCGCATTCAGCCGAAGAGGAGGAGAGAAGGCGAAGAGGAGGAGGAGAGCTCCCCGCCCGGCGCTGGAGAAAGAGGTAAATTTAACCCCTTCCTCTCCAGGAAGGGCACTATAGTGGTATGTTTTCCTGGCACTATAGTGGTCCTTTAAGAGCTAAGGAAATAGTGTGGTGAATATTCACATTTTAAATTGGTTAAGAAGCAGATTTTGATTATTCAAAACAAATGTTTACAAAAAAGGAATACAATAATCCTTTTGACTATTTACAGCTCCTTTACTTTTAACACTTTATAGTGTAGGTATTTCTTATATTGATTTGTACATTTTTCGTATTTACCTGTACTTCGGGTCTGGAAGGGTAATAGAAGTTAACATTATGAAATTCAATTTCTCCTTTCACTTTGTCCAGTTTATACCCATCTTCTGACAAGCAGTCAATTTTTGGTTCCTGTAAAAAAAGAAAAGTGTAAAAGAAGGGTTTTATTATCAGTTAAAGGAACACTCTAAGCACCATAACCACTGCAAGCCACTGTACTGGTTATAGTGACAATAGTGACAGAAGTGCACCGGTGCCTTGCCAGAGTAATTTGTCCAACTATTGGCAAACTACTGACAACTTAACTGAGTCCTCTGTGCGCCAGTGTTACATCTGGTTTCTCCTACATGAGAAGTTGCATGTCTCCTCTGAGCTACATGGCCACAATCATTGGCTGATAGTGTTCAGCTGACATTCCCCACCAATAACAGCACCAATAAATAGCCCTGCTAACCCCAGGGCAGATAACTGAATTATCTTTGCATGAGAATCCAAAAACAGGCATTGTGGCTGCAGGCGACCAGAAGGACCTAGGTAAATTGTCAAACCATTCTTAAATGGTTTAAGAAATGACTCTGCGAGTGTGCCAGGGCATTCCCAAGCTGTACTTGAAAACCTGCAAAAATATGCAGGATTATTCACTAGAGTGAGAATTCAAAGTGAATTTAAAATGTAAGGTCAAAATAGCTAAACTGGAAATATTTTTGAAGTCACATATGCTTTCAGTTTGGCTTCTCTGGCCCTTAATTTGAAATTCACTTTGAATTCAATGTGAATTATCATTTTAGGGAATATGTTACATTTCTAGATAAATTAATTGATATAGAATTCTCGTACATATTTAGATGTAAGTTACAATATTTTCTTACTTCCTGTACTACAGTCACCAGCACACACATTAAGGTGTCCCTTATTCTAAATTCAGAGAATAAAGATCATTAAGTATTGGTGGCATTTTATGTTTGATCGTGTATGTACTGCCATAATAGAAACAGATACTCTCATGCAATTATATTCAGTAAAATGGCCAATTTACTAAAGAGTAAGTTGTGACAATTTGAGAAAATATTTGCAAACTTAGATTGGTTTTTTAACCATCATTTGTCATATAAATTACCATTGACTCAATTGATATCATAGATAATTTTTGCACACAATTTCTACAGTTGGTAATTATTTTACAATGGAAAAGAGCTTACATTATCAATTGTCTCGTAAATATGAGTGGCAGCCCCCCTTCCAGAAGCAAATGCCTGCAAGCAGGGAGATGCCTGGCCAAGATTCAAGGCTCCGATCAACACGCCGAAAAACACCTACAACAAAAAAATAAACAGAACGACATTCGATTTTTTGTAATTGCAAAGGTCATGTTGTACGAAAAAGAATGTCGGCTACTTGGATGCAACCTTGAACAAGGCACTTAATTTGTTACCTTCAATTACTAAATTAATTGGCTGCTAAGTGAAAATTAATTATTTGTGTCGGATTTTATAGGTTAGGTTCATTAAGCTGCCATATTAAAAATGAAAAATTGGTTTGTAAAGTAAGCTTAGAACGAGATCAATATCTAACAGGAATTTCTAATGCAGAGTCAAAAATGAAAATCAGCAAAAAGTATGCAATACATCTAAACATGTTATTATTTAAAATTTATGTTGGAGTATGTTTGTAAAGTTAGATAAAAGTAGCGGTTATGAATTTGATTTAAGAGGTCATTTTTAATTAACAAAACCGATAATTTGCCGTGATAGCTGGAAAGGTTTGGTTGTGTTGCATATTAAACATAATTAATTACCTGTAAAAGGTTTCCAGGACTATATTCTTCTTCTTCGAGAACTAGTTTTGAGCCATACCAAAAGGCCAATGCGTAACAAAGAAAAATAATAAACCACATGTACCCAGTAAAAAATCCCATTATTACACCTTTTCTTATTCCCCAACGCTGGGCGTATACAAGATTTTTGTCATATCTGTTTAAAGATAAAAATAATTAATGTTAATGGGTTAACTTTTCAAATAATTTAATATTTTTAGATAAACTTTAAAAAAAAAAATTAGCTTATAAACAATATATGAAAAAGTATGAACTAATACATATTTCCTAATTTAGATATTTATTCTGTTATATTATTTTTAAATGTTTATCCAAAATATTAAATCATTTGGAATACCTTATCCAACAGTATTAAATCTAGGCCTATGTAAGAAAGTGAATAATATTTATAAAGTGCAAAGTTAGCTAAAACCTATAAAGTATACCATTAGCCAGAAAAGCTATATTCAAGTTATTAGGAAAACAAGCTAAAACGTATTAGCATTAACAAGGTTGCGTGCATTGTTTAAAGTCTGTCTGTCTACCAATCTCTCTATATGTCTGTCTGTCTCTGTTTTACATTATCATGTTTATCATATGGCTGGATGTACACATACAGCTCTGTTATGGACACGAGTCAAATCCAATATTTCTAAAGAGGTGAGTGCCTTCAGTGTCACTACAATTTTGTTAAAGAAGCGATGAGTACTTTAATGAATGGACTTAAGGAAAATCCTAAAGCTTATAGGTAGGCCACCTTGATTTTTTTTTGTTTATGTACAGAAAAATTGTGTACCGGAGGGGACGCAAGGGAGGGGGGCATGGGGACACTATAGTGTTAAGAATACAGTTTTGAATTTCTAACACTTTAGTAGATGTACCTCCAAAGAAAATATGTACTTAAGTTGTTTTGCATGTTTTCTTTGGAAGTATATGAAATTTTTGTTTGCAATAGCTGCAGATCTAGTATCTGCAGCTACAGCAAGCCCCTCCCCTTCATTCTGTGACTGTCCAATTACAGGCTTCTCAGTCTGTATTACAGCCAGGCAGGTGTTCTGGGACATTATCTGCCTCTAGAGTTTAGTTCCATTGAGCTATACTAAAAGAAAGTAACAGGTCCGGATGTCTGATTTATAGCTGGGGAGGTATAAGAAGCTTAATTTATAAACATGACGATTTCTATTGAAATCAGAATTTTACAAGAGGTAAAACTGTGGACACGCTCTTCACATATGAAGCTCTTCAGTTGATTGTTTTATGTTTTTTGCCATGTTCTTTTAAATACTAAAATTACGATATTTATCAAAACAAGTCACAAGTTTTCCTTAAAAATAATTCAATGCACAGAAATTCAGTGTAAAAGTTAGATTTATGCTTGTGTATGCATGAAACATTTCAGTTATACGTTGTGTATTTATAACATACAGGGTTACAGTAGCGTTTGATTGAATTGGGACACCTTAGTAAATTAACATAAAGCTGCAAATGACCTGTATTCAAATTTATTTTACCCAAGAATATTTCATACCTGTCAACTTCTTTTAATTCTCCTCCGAACGCTGCTACGGTTCTGATTCCCGAGAGCACCTCATCAGCTACTGCCCCAGCTTTGGCATAGGCCTGTAGCTCTCTGCCAGTTAACTTTGCAACAGCCTAAAAGCAAAAGTATGATAATTGATAAATTACATGACAGTGTGAGCTAATCCTCCCTCTTTACCATGACCGGTGTATAGTCGCCATATGGGCAGTCGGACTCCAGGACAACCCTCCCACATACCTAACCCAATAATGCACTGACACTCGGGTATATGGGAAAATTTGTCCACAGCTTTATTAAACAATCTGAATAATAATAACCATATATTCAACATAACATAATAATAGTAATAATATAACAAATAAACATGGGTCATTGCCCCCCATACTCCGCCCTCGCATCCGATTCCTTCTGTTAATATAAAAGGCAATGACCCCCATATAAATAACACATATATATAACATATACCAACATTATTCCAACACACCAACTTAAAGTGCCAACATAAATTTAACCATGGCAGGGGTATACCCGGATACCCCTACCCCACCAGGTTCTGAGCCACCGACAGGACTCAAAACCTACCAACCACCAATGAACACAGTTTTCCATATCGGTCACGTTCATCCTAGGGAGCCTATTCCTTCTCCTTCAGCTCCCTATCCCACCGCTGTGAAAAAACGGGATATCCCCTAACCATAAACAATATCTATAGGGAGGGTGGGCGGGACAAACTTGGTCAGGTAAGAAATTAGAAGTGAGCTCACTTAAAATGGCTGCCTATTTAAATATCCCAACCCACTTACCCATAACTCCATACTTCCTTCCCTCCTCCTATGCCCGCCTCCTAACCCCCGTCAAGGCCCTTTTTCGCTTAGCTGTGCTTTGGCTACATGGGGTTACATGAAGCATTGAAGCACATAAATCACATGATGTATCCTTATTAGGGCTCATTTAAAAATGTATGTCTGTCTATCTATCTATATATCTGTCTATCTATTTATCTATCTGTCTGTCTATCTAACTATCTATCTACCTACCTATCTACATATCTACCTACCTATCTACATATCTATCTATCTATCTATCTATCTATCTATTTATCTATCTATCTATCTATCTATCTGTCTGTCTATCAGTCTATCTATCTATCTGTCTGTCTGTCTGTCTGTCTGTCTATCTATCTATCTATCTGTCTATCTATCTATCTATCTATCTATCTATCTATCTGTCTGTCTGTCTGTCTATCTATCTATCTATCTATCTGTCTGTCTGTCTGTCTGTCTATCTGTCTGTCTGTCTGTCTGTCTGTCTATCTATCTATCTATCTATCTGTCTGTCTGTCTGTCTATCTATCTATCTATCTATCTGTCTGTCTGTCTGTCTGTCTATCTATCTATCTATCTGTCTGTCTGTCTGTCTGTCTATCTGTCTGTCTGTCTGTCTGTCTGTCTATCTATCTATCTATCTATCTATCTATCCGTCTATCTATCTATCTATCTATCTATCTATCTGTCTGTCTGTCTGTCTGTCTGTCTGTCTATCTATCTATCTATTTATCTGTCTGTCTGTCTATCTATCTATCTACACTTGTAATCAAAATGATTCAATCCCTAGCCATTTCAGGTATTTCAAGTGTTCCAGCTCAAGCACACCTCGAGCAACTAATGAAGCCCTTGATTTGTTGCATCAAGTGTTCTTTCACAAAACACGTGTTTTTCCTATTTGTGCTGTTATGAAGAATTCTATTCAGGGGATTGAATAATTCTGAGACTGGAGAAATCATTATAAATTGCATTTTCAGTTAAATTTGGGGAAACCACTTAAATCAATTGTTATGTTGAGCTAATTCAATTGCTTTTGTTTGATTCGTTCATTGCAAACAGCTAAATGTCTGTAAATTTTGACAATAAACCTGATTTTCCATGGGGGTTGAATACTTTTAATTACAACTGTATCTACAGCAGTCCACTAAGTGTGCATATACAGTTTGCTTCACACATGAAAACCATAAATGGAGCTGTTCAATACACTAACAGTAAACGGTATTTTCTTGGCATTTGGTTTTATGTATGCACTGCACTACTATCGAAAATAATGGCATGTCTAGGATTGTCTGAGAAACCAAAGGCAAAATGTCAAATCCTTTTTTTTATTTATTTTAAAGACCATAGAGGTTTGAAATTTTGGAGCAAGTTTTGAGCTTTTCTCACCATTAATGATGTTATACAGGAGAGGCGTTGGTTAATTAAAATACTTCTTAATATTTTTTTTACTTGTAAGTATTTCAGTTAAGTGTGATTGTAGATTTTACAAAATGTGTAGCCACAAAATATTAATCACACGGCATTATTAATGTACTGACAAGCATGTCTTACCAATGCCATTAGTGCAGCACCAATTCCAATTAGAGGGCTAACGGCGATAATGACTAATGTTAATTTCCAGCCATTGACAAATCCTAACAGGAACCCAGATATAAATGTCGTGAATCTCTGGGTAAATATCCCCACTTGGTCAGCAATGGCATCGTTAATTTTATTAATATCACTGCAAAAAAATAATAATAATAATTAAAAAAAATATATAAAACAATTGCACATTAAACATTAGTTAGATGTACATACATTTGCTCACGGAAACATTGTAATAAACAAAGTATACTACATGTTGAGTACTTTTCAGTTGACGGTGAGGCACGACGAGAAGAATACTGATTTGCAAAATCTAGAACAGAATAGCAAAGCTGAAAAAGTCTCAGATTTTGGATATTTTTCTAACTCTGCTATTTCATCCTTAATTTTGTGAACTGATGCTCATTTTACCACGACTATTGTAAACACAATTTCTCTTTATGCACCATATTCTCAGGATCGATCATTGTTGCAACTGGACTCGGAAATGTAACTTAACAGAATATCTGTACTGTCTCAGGACACAAATCTTAAAATGTCTAAAATGTTATATTTTAATCCAGATTAAAACATATAGCAATCAATTGTTCATTTTTGCCCCTTTAAAGCTTCTCATTTAAAAAAAAAAAAAATTATACAAAAAAAGACACCTGATTTATGAAAGGTACCAATATGGCATATGAGCATGTATATCTAAACAAATTTACTTTTACAATGATTCCCGCCCCCTTCACTCAAGGTGTGCTATCATTAATTGATGCGTAGAACCCCCCACTCACTTCAATGTGACTTCCTAATGTACTGATCTAAAATCCTCTTGAGGAGTAGAACTGAACGGAACAGAATTGAAAACTTATGGTGTTTAATCATTTGCAATTATGATGTCTTGAAGGGACGCTCCAGTGTCAGGAAAACACATTAGTTTTCCTGGCACTGCAGGACCCTACAGTGCCCCTCTCCCACCCAACCCCCATCCCTAGTTGCTGAAGGGGTTGGCACCCAGACCACTCCAATGGGCAGAAGTGGTCTGGGTGCCTGGACTGTCCCTTTAACCAAGACAAAATCAGTGTTTAATAATTATTTAATAAAACTGAGAGGTCCTTTACTGTTTTCCTTATCTTTTTCTCTGCATCATGTTCACCTCACACTGAGCTAGAATAGAATATATGATAAGAGTAGGGATTAAAATTGCAAGTTCTCCCCTACTATCCACTAAGCTTTAAGGCCAGGATAGTAAGATCCATGGCATATTCACCAAGTGGGAAATGATACTTTTTCACTCAATGGTGGCTAGCGACGAGTGGGAATTTTTGCCATGGTAAGAGATATAGTTATCTCTGGCAATTGTTAAAAATGTTCACATTTAAGTCTATAGGAAAATGGCTAATTTATTAAATCTTTGATTTGCGAGTCTATAACCTGATATTGTGATATGGAAATGTCTTTTGCAGCATTTTAATCCACATAATGTATTAAGGTGCAATGACTAATAAAAAATATTATCTGCAACATAAAACATGTATGATACTCACTCAGACATTCTTGTATTCAATTCACCCACAGAAGTGCAATCAAACCATCCTATCTCCATTCTCATCACTTTCCGAAAATACAATTTTCTAATTCTCTGGATCTGGCGAGCCGCTGCTGTTACCCAAAAGCAAATCTGTTGTCAATTAAAAAAAAAACCACATATTTATTTACGTGCTATTATTTGTATTGCATAATTTTTCATACTTTTTGAGACTTGAATTGCATTAGTACAACTTATTCATTATTCAATGAAGCAGGAATTTCTGGAAAACTCAAAAACTGCAAATATTAGTCCAGATTAAATGAAAACAAAAATCATGTTAGTTCTCTGCAATTCCAGCTAAAAAAAAAACTAATAATTGTAAACTTATCATACATACAAATGTAACCTTACATAGTGTTTACTCTACCCAATGAATGAGTCGATTTCTGACCTAAATGTAAGGTGCATTTAAGATGTTAAAATGCAATGCAAGCATAAATAACCAACTTAAAAATAACTTTTTTTTTTTTTTAAATGCTTGGGTTAGATATTTTTTTCCACAAACCATTTTGCAATTATTTTGTTTTACACAAAACATATCCACAAAACATACTAAATGGAACTTCCTCCAAATATTCTATAAATCACAATATCCGATTGTACATTTTACACCTATCTTGTTTGATAAAGACCTATCTTTGATGTGAGAGCTGGGCACATGCTTTTGTTGCACTCTTACTTAAGAAATCAATGATCTGGTATAGAATCTATTTTAATTCGTTTTTAAACTGATCAATTCGTTGTCAAATGAACCGATTCATTTAAGGAAGAGTGCAATGAATGTGCATATCTAGTTTCTATATCTTGATGGGGGAAATGGCCAATAAATTATACGTTCCACCAAAGGTAATGTATTTTAGGTCAAAGACCAGTAGCAACAAATACTAACTTTGTAAGTATTCTATGACTTGATATTGCTTGGTACACACATTTTTATTACAGGAAGTTTTGTATATTTACTGTGCGATATATTTGCCAAACACCTAGAATTGATTTTCAGGATGTAGACTATAACAACTGAGTTGGGATAAACCTCTAGTCTAGTCTTCTTGGTTACTTCTTGTTAAACTTGCTAGTGTATCCTAAATCTTCAAATTGATTCTCAAGTCCTCAAAGCTTGCTGTTTAGTTGATACAGCCCTTATTTCCTTTGTTTTTTTCCCAAAAAAACATTAGTAAGCAAATTTCAATCAAATTTATTCCTACATATGGGTGAATAAAGTATAAATTTCCCGATGAATGACAATGCCAAATTATATCTAATGTGGTCAAAATTGTCTGGTCCCTAAAGATTTTTATAATTAAAATATAAGATTTTTAAAGTTGACTTTGTTATGACAGAAGTATTCCTTGGTCTTTAAGTGGTTAAAATCTGTAGAAGAGGGCTAAGTTTACATTAAAAAAAAAATATATATATATATACACTGCTCAAAAAAATAAAGGGAACACAAAAAAAAACACATCCTAGATCTGAATGAATTAAATATTCTTCTGAAATACTTTGTTCTTTACATAACTGAATGTGCTGACAACAAAATCACACAAAAATTAAAAAATGGAAATCTAATTTTTCAACCCATGGAGGTCTGGATTTGGATTCACACTCAAAATTAAAGTGGAAAAACACACTACAGGCTGATCCAACTTTGATGTAATGTCCTTAAAACAAATCAAAATGAGGCTCAGTAGTGTGTGTGTGGCCTCCACGTGCCTGTATGACCTCCCTACAATGCCTGTGCATGCTCCTGATGAGGTGGCAGATGGTCTCCTGAGGGATCTCCTCCCAGACCTGGACTAAAGCATCCGCCAACTCCTGGACAGTCTGTGGTGCAACGCGACATTGGGGAATGGAGCAAGACATGATGTCCCAGATTTGCTCAATTGGATTCAGGTCTGGGGAACCGGCGGACCTATCCATGGCATCAATGCCTTCATCTTGCAGGAACTGCTGACATGAGGTATAACATTGTCTTGCATTAGGAGGAACCCAGGGCCAACAGCACAAGCATATAGTCACACAAGGGGTCTTAGGATCTCATCTCGGTACCTAATGGCAATCAGGCTACTTCTGGCGAGCACATGGAGGGCAGTGAGGCCGCCCAAAGAAATGCCACCCCACACCATTACTGACCCACTGCCAAACCGGTCATGCTGGAGGATGTTGCAGGCAGCAGAACATTCTCCACGGCGTCTCCAGACTCTGTCACGTCTGTCACATGTGCTCAGTGTGAATCTGCTTTCATCTGTGAAGAGCACAGAGTGCCAGTGGTGAATTTACCAATCTTGGTGTTCTCTGGCAAATGCCAAACGTCCTGCACGGTGTTGGGCTGTAAGCACAACCCCCACCTGTGGACGTCGGGCCCTCATACCACCCTCATGGAGTCTGTTTCTGACCATTTGAGCAGACACATGCACATTTGTGACATGCTGGAGGTCATTTTGCAGGGCTCTGGCAGTGCTCCTTCTGTTCCTCCTTGCACAAAGGCAGAGGTAGCGGTCCTGCTGCTTGGCTGTTGCCCTCCTACAGCCTCCTCCATGTCTCCTGATGTACTGGCCTGTCTCCTGGTAGCACCTCCATGCTCTGGACCCTACGCTGACAGACACAGCAAACCTTCTTGCCACAGCTTGCATCGATGTGCCATCCTGGATGAGCTGCACTACCTGAGCCACTTGTGTGGGTTGTAGACTCCGTCTCATGCTACCACTAGAGTGAAAGCACCGCCAGCATTCAAAAGTGACCAAAACATCAGCCAGGAAGCACAGGAACTGAGAAGTGGTCTGTGGTCACCACATGCAGAACCACTCCTTTATTGGGGGTGTCTTGCTAATTGCCTATAATTTCCACCTGTTGTCTATCCCGTTTGCACAACAGCATGTGAAATTGATTGTCCCTCAGTGTTGCTTCCTAAGTGGACAGTTTGATTTCCAGAAGTGTGATTGACTTGGAGTTACATTGTGTTGTTTTAAGTGTTCCCTTTATTTTTTTGAGCAGTGTATTTTAGACTCTAAAACTTTGTATTTATTGAAAAAGCCACTTGTACAGAAATTAAAAAAACTATCATGTTGAATGCATGTGTTCATGGTTGGGAGTTAATTAAGTATGCTAGTATATATGTGAGAATATTAAATACACATTAATAAGAGAGCCTAAAATCAACGGCATGTGAAATTGATTGTCACTCAGTGTTGCTTCCTAAGTGGACAGTTTGGTTTCACAGAAGTGTGATTGACTTGGAGTTACATTGTGTTGTTTAAGTGTTCCCTTTATTTTTTTGAGCAGTGGATGTTCTCGCTCATCCCGCTGTGTTTTCTAACGTTGATTCTGTTATACTTTTGTTTGTCATTGTCTTAGTAATTTCAAAGGAAGATTGGCTACAGCTGTGAGAGTCAATATTTAGAAAATATAACATCAAAGGATATTTCAGAGGTTGGCTTTACTGGTAGCAGGAGACTAATGGAGCAGCTAAAAAATCATTAAAAGCACTCAAAAAAGAACAAGCTGAAGTAAGAAAAAAAGTAAGGCTTAATAGTATCAGTGCACATAGTGTCAGTATTTATACAGAATCAGACTTGAGACGACTCTTGCTGAGTTAATGTCAATTAATTTATCACTGTTCTAAACATTTTGTATCCAATAGGAGTGCTGTTAGGATGCAGGCTTGTTTCATTATTTTCAAAGCAAGCAGTGCATTATTCTGTGCAATATCTAATGACAAAGCCGTAACTCCACAGTGTCTTATATCTGCAGTGAGCTTGTTATCTATAGCATAAAAAATACAGAACACCTTGCTTCTATGTACCACCACAAGCAATTAACAGAGCAGGAGATAAGAGCATCTAAATTAAACACACTGTGCAATAAAGGACGTTTAAAAATGAAATCTATTTTCCAAGAGTGTAGAGAGACTGGCAGTCACAGCCAGGAGAGGGGTGTCATCATCAAAGTGATTTTACCTCTAAATGTTAGAGAATTAAGCAGTGGCAGCGTAGGGGCATGGTCTAGACACCAAAACCACTTCACTAAGCAAAAGTTGTTTTGGTGCTTAGAGTATACTTTTACTATCTTTAAATTTATAATCCAATGCATCATTTTAAATCAGTGTAATGAATAGAGACTCTTGGAATTAAGCCACTTACTTGCATATAACCCAGAATTAGCACCGAGCAACCAATGCCTGCATAGTACAAGGCAAAATTTGTCATTTCAGCCTCAATTTCCAGCAGCCTAAAGCAAAATTAAGAAAATGAGTGCAAAACGTTAACATTAAAAAAAAAAATCACATTCCTTGACTATATAAATACACTCTGGGTATATATATATATATATTTTTTTTTTAACGAGTAACCCACTTATTACTTCCACCAAGTTCCAAAAATAATTAAAACTGTGCACAAAAAAACAGATAACAGATGATGGAGGGGTAAACAGTCATATTATACAATGCATACAGGTGCCTTATCTTATGCTGATACAAATATGTAAAATGGTTAAATAAAGACTATGGATGTGCATGTGCAAAAAATTTGGTTTGGTTCGGAAATTCGTGTAAGTAAATAAATTCGGCACTTCGGCAATTCGGTTCGTTTCAGCACTTCCGAAATTCGGAACTTCGGCAATTCGGGACTTGCCGAAGAATTTGGAAAATCTGTAAGGCTCCCTACCCCTAACCCTAACCCTAACCTTACCTCTAACCCTAACCCTACCCCTAACCCCACCACTAACCCTACCCCTACACATAACCCCTACACATAACCCTAACCCTACCACTACCCATAACCCTAACCCTACCCCTACCCTTACGACTAACCCTACCACTAACCCTACCTCTAACGCTAGCCCTAACCATAACCATACCCCTCACCCTACTTCTCACCCTAACCCTACACCTAACCCTACTCCTAACCCTAACCACCACAACCACTTACACATCTATAGGGCTCCCAGTGCCAGGAATTAGCTTATTGGTCAAGATTCCTGTCTTGTCTGTAATTTTTCCCTTTTTTTTGGCACTGGAATTTCTGCAATTCGGCACATCTGTGGTTCAGTTCGGCACTTCGTCAATTCGGCACTTCGGTACTTCGGACATTCAGAAGCATCCGAAAGTCCGAATTGCCCAAAATTCGTCAAAATTCACATTCGGAACGAAACAAATTGCACATGTCTAATAAAGACATACATATAAAAGAAAAATCTCAGGCACTCACTGTAATATATTCAAGGCAGTTTTATTGGATCCGCAACATTTCGACCTATATCCAGGTCTTTATCAAGCTTTATAAAGACCTGGGTAAATATGGGGTATGCTGAACATGCTCAGTTTAGTACCCTGTGTATATTTCTGTGATTGAGTGCAACCCTCTTCTTTATTTTTAATAAAGACATACAATGACAAATCCAGTACAAAAAAATATTAAAATTGGCACCTGTGTGAGGTTTTGAGAGGCCCATTTGATTTAAGGTGGTCAAATGTATACCGGTCAAACTATGATAAGTTACAATAATTTCAGAAAATTCGGCATATTTTCATATTTGACTTGATAAAATCCTTCATCAAATTCTGGCTAAATACATTCATAGTAATTGCCTTTTTTAATACCTGTTCCAATATTGTGTTCAATGAACAAAAAGGCTCACTATATCTCAGCTTACATTAGCTATTACTCAGTGTAGTTATGGAGGGTCAACCAGTTAACATGCTGATACTGAAGTATCCATAAATATATTAAAGTAACACTATTAGCGATAAGAATAAAAATATGCATTTCTAATGCTAAGCAGTTCGATTCACCGTGAAGGTGACTGGGCCAGTGCTGACAGGTTAAAAAAGGTAGTTTACCTTTACCTTTTCATCCTCGTAGCACCAGTCTCATAGGAGAAGCTTGCGTTGTTGGCTGAGATCATCAGTGTTGATGACCTCAGCCAATCCAATGCTTTCCCATAGGAAAGCGTTGGGAAGCTAGTTTACATGTGTAAAAAAAACAACAGTTATGTTTTCAACTGAAGGGTTAAAAGGGGAACATAAGGGACCCAGATACTTCATTGAGTTTCTTTACTTTAATACACTCAGTTTTCATGAAAAATTTAATTATACTAAAAACAGATACAAAACGGCAGAGTAAGATGAAAAATAAAAGTGGACCTTGCAACAATTATAAGGCTTTCTCACCCGCAGCTCATGGTATCATTTTCTTCTTCTACAACAGAGTGGTTTATCCACATGATGGTGTTATTAATGCAGGTCTTGTTGGGGTCACCAAGCTGTTGTAGTTCAATATCGTACAATATGAATGTGTCAATCATCATTCCAAATACAAGTAACATACACGGTTGTGCAGCCCCATGGATAACGGCAGCAATACCTCCAAAAACCATCAGGGTAGTTTCATAGCAAGAAGCAAACCTGAACTGGATTTTTTGACATAATATAAAAGTAGAAAGCAACTTTAATTTAAAAAGAAGCACTAATGACAAGGTAAGCAACAATGTTAAATGACGATGATGTTAGTGGAAGCAGTGCAGGAAAGCACGATAAAGTCATCTCTGAATGTTTGATATTAACGAAAAAGTATCTAAAACAACAAATGTGTACATACAATAAAATAGGGATAATGCCTCCAGTGATAAAAAAAATGTTCTAAGCTAGAATGGTAAAGATGAGTTTTGCTTATGGAGGTACAGATTCTTCTCCTTATGGAGGTACAGATTCTGCTCCTTCTACAAATATGTTACATTACAAATAAAGTGTGGATTATGATCTTGGTGGCGGTGCCCTCTATTCTCTATTGCTTTTTCAACAATATTATCACAGGCTATGCCATAAGAATACATAAGGAGATTTCAGAAGTTAATGCACAAGGGAGATTCACCAACAAGAAAAACTCTCCCTCCATATTTTGTTAGGACTCACAAATAAAAGGGGGCTTCTAAGTACCATTGCCATTGTAAGCTAATTTGAGCAGGGCCTTCTTCATCTCCTGTCTCTGTTATATTCTGTGTGTAAATTATTTGTCGTCAAATAGCCTGATTTTATAATTATAAAGCTCTTGGGAATTTGTTGGCGCAATATTGCATCTAATAATAATAATAATAATAATAATAATAATAATAATAATCATTTTATTATGGCTATGGTGGAAACTATTTGTAAGCAATGATCCCTCCCCAATATTAGCTTATCCACCTTTGGTCTGAGGTCACCACCACCCATCATTGCCATCCAATTTCGACTAATTTGGGTGAATTAGATGCATAAAGTGAATTAGAGCCAAAGGACTAGGCTTTAGACAATGTGTAATACTTATTTAGAGCATTTTAACAATATTTTAACATTGTGAGTAGATTTGCAGATACTATCAGTAGGCATGGCCAACACTCCTGTAACCTGCGTACCCGATATAAGTGCACAGGTATTTTTTTTTTCAGTTGTTTGTAACTATGATAAATAACACATATGGTTTTTATGGCACTGCAGGTTATACACTTTAAATGTTTTGTGAAAATTCTCCTTTAAGGGTGAATGACAATATTTCAGGAACCTTAGCTTACCAACTGAAAGAAGCCAACTCTAATGTTGTCACTTGCATGTTTGGTCTTAGACCTGTTAAAGAGAAAGTCCCAATGACAAGAATTATTTACAAACTTTCAACTTCCACATGGTCTAAAAGAATAATACTGGACACTACTGGAAGAAAAAAATAGCAATTTTATGCTAAAATATCCATACTGCAAAACATTCTCAAGCGTGGCTGTTTTGTTGGCATAAAATGTGCAGCTTCCATATTATATTGAATGTAGCAGTGTACCTCTTTATTGTCCATAGTTATGCCAAGGAGACAATGCATACCATCATACAGTGTGCAAAAAAAACAAAAAAAAAAAACGTAATATCTTTAATTTTGTTTTGTCATTTCCCTATTATCACTGTCATCCTCAAGATTGAATAGTCAGATCTTATATTTTTCATATTTTTACATAACATTCTAAAAGGATTTATTGTTGTGATTTTTTAAAAATATGTTTATATATTTATGTATGTTTGTAGATACGATATATTTTGTATATTTTAATACTTTATACAAATAATTTTAAAAGAATATCAAAATATATATAAATTACTTAAACAAGCTTACCCAAGAATATTAAATTGAGGCAGAAATAAAAATGTCAGTTTTGCAATAGCTTTGTATGTTTTGGTTAATAGGAGTAAAGGCTAGTAGAAGAAATAGTATCCATCTAAACACATGGAACCTTGCCAGGGGTTACTTGAATCAAACATTTCAAGGTCAGTGTGTCTTTCTTTGATAGCCTACAGTGAACATTTCTAGTTAATTTTTCATGATTATGGTTTAGTTTACAAGCTTGAAGGCACCTCTCTACACAAACTGCATCCATTTGTAACTTTATTTGTGTTAGACTAACACTTCTAATCTACAATTTACATACTGCATCAAGTGCTGAAATATTTGTTGAAGCATTATAAATGATGATCATTTTTATGTATATACATATACAGGGAGTGCAGAATTATTAGGCAAATGAGTATTTTGACCACATCATCCTCTTTATGCATGTTGTCTTACTCCAAGCTGTATAGGCTCGAAAGCCTACTACCAATTAAGCATATTAGGTGATGTGCATCTCTGTAATGAGAAGGGGTGTGGTCTAATGACATCAACACCCTATATCAGGTGTGCATAATTATTAGGCAACTTCCTTTCCTTTGGCAAAATGGGTCAAAAGAAGGACTTGACAGGCTCAGAAAAGTCAAAAATAGTGAGATATCTTGCAGAGGGATGCAGCACTCTTAAAATTGCAAAGCTTCTGAAGCGTGATCATCGAACAATCAAGCGTTTCATTCAAAATAGTCAACAGGGTCGCAAGAAGCGTGTGGAAAAACCAAGGCGCAAAATAACTGCCCATGAACTGAGAAAAGTCAAGCGTGCAGCTGCCACGATGCCACTTGCCACCAGTTTGGCCATATTTCAGAGCTGCAACATCACTGGAGTGCCCAAAAGCACAAGGTGTGCAATACTCAGAGACATGGCCAAGGTAAGAAAGGCTGAAAGACAACCACCACTGAACAAGACAAACAAGCTGAAACGTCAAGACTGGGCCAAGAAATATCTCAAGACTGATTTTTCTAAGGTTTTATGGACTGATGAAATGAGAGTGAGTCTTGATGGGCCAGATGGATGGGCCCGTGGCTGGATTGGTAAAGGGCAGAGAGCTCCAGTCCGACTCAGACGCCAGCAAGGTGGAGGTGGAGTACTGGTTTGGGCTGGTATCATCAAAGATGAGCTTGTGGGGCCTTTTCGGGTTGAGGATGGAGTCAAGCTCAACTCCCAGTCGTACTGCCAGTTCCTGGAAGACACCTTCTTCAAGCAGTGGTACAGGAAGAAGTCTGCATCCTTCAAGAAAAACATGATTTTCATGCAGGACAATGCTCCATCACACGCGTCCAAGTACTCCACAGCGTGGCTGGCAAGAAAGGGTATAAAAGAAGAAAATCTAATGACATGGCCTCCTTGTTCACCTGATCTGAACCCCATTGAGAACCTGTGGTCCATCATCAAATGTGAGATTTACAAGGAGGGAAAACAGTACACCTCTCTGAACAGTGTCTGGGAGGCTGTGGTTGCTGCTGCACGCAATGTTGATGGTGAACAGATCAAAACACTGACAGAATCCATGGATGGCAGGCTTTTGAGTGTCCTTGCAAAGAAAGGTGGCTATATTGGTCACTGATTTGTTTTTGTTTTGTTTTTGAATGTCAGAAATGTATATTTGTGAATGTTGTGATGTTATATTGGTTTCACTGGTAATAATAAATAATTGAAATGGGTATATATTTGTTTTTTGTTAAGTTGCCTAATAATTATGCACAGTAATAGTCACCTGCACACACAGATATCCCCCTAACATAGCTAAAACTAAAAACAAACTAAAAACTACTTCCAAAAATATTCAGCTTTGCTATTAATGAGTTTTTTGGGTTCATTGAGAACATGGTTGTTGTTCAATAATAAAATTAATCCTCAAAAATACAACTTGCCTAATAATTCAGCACTCCCTGTACATATAATTGCTGTTTTATCCATCATTAGTGTGTCAGTTTTGCATTCTATTTTAGGCTGAAAATAAATGTTATGATAATATTTTTAAGACTAAAAATAATTGGTGGTGAACGGATTAACTGAAAGGCTTTATCACTAAAGTGAGAATTCACAGGTTTATTTACGAAAGGGAGAATTCAAAGTGAATACAAAATTCAAATTTCAAATTTAAGGTCAAAATACCAAACTGGAAACATTAATAAGTCAGCCATGCTTGCAGGTTGGATACTTAAATGTGAAAGTTACTTTGAATTTGCTTTTAAAAACACATTTCATCAGCATTTAAAATTGTTCTAAAAGACACATTCATTTATTTATTTTTCTAGTCAACCTTATATAATACAAAATGGATTATTTACTGGACATTGAATATTGAACTGCAAAATTTCCAGAATTATTAGTTAAACTCGAAATTGTAGTGTATTGAAAATCTTTTAAAGTTTCATCTGAAATTGTGATTTGTAAAATTCACCTTCAGCCATAATTCAGCTATTTAAAGGATCACTATAGTGTCAGGAAAACAAAGCGGTTTTCCTGACACTATAGTGCCCTGAGGGTTCCCCACCCTCAGGGTCCCCCTCCCGTGGCGCTGAAGGGGTTAAAACTCCTTCAGTTGCTTACCTTATTCCAGCACCGAGCTCCCTCAGCACTGGTGACCTCCCCTCCCCCGCCGACGTCAGCTCCCTCTGCCGACGTCAGCGGAGCCAAATGCGCATGCGCGGCAAGTGTGCGCGCATTCAAAGTGTCCATAGGAAAACATTTTTCAATTCTTTCCTATGGACGCTCTGCGTGATGGAGGCATTAAATGCCTCCAGCATCGCAGATGCGCCTCTAGTGGCTGTCCAGAAGACAGCCACTAGAGGCTGGCTTCACCCTGCAATGTAAACATAGCAGTTTCTCTGAAACTGCTATGTTTGCATCTGCAGGGTTAAAACCTGAGGGACCTGGCACCCAGACCACTTAATTGAGCTGAAGTGGTCTGGGTGACTATAGTGTCCCTTTAAGACTAAAATTTGCCTTCAGTGTTCAGTGAATGCAACCCTAAGTGTGTATGATCTAAATATTTCATTGTGTTTGTTAATGCGGTGAGAGGTCAACTTTAACCAGCTACATTGACATACCGCTGAGGTTTAAATATCAAAAACATTATTCTTACTTTGCTTGTTTTGAAGAGGCATTTCCATTTCCATATGGATCTCTGTTGAAAGGGAAAAATAATAAAATACACATCAGTCAGTCTTGATTTTAATCATACACAATAATTATACACAATAATTATAATTCTATTTTTTTCTTCTGTTTTTGGGCAGGATGTCTTTTAAGCTTGACAATTTGTTTTAGATAACTTGTAGCTAGAATGTTAAAGTGGCAAATTGTTTTGAATTCAACAGTATCGCTTTCTATACCCCAAAAAGCCCGATTTATTGTGCTAGCATATCTATATGTACATGTGATGAGAAATCATCCATTTGTTAAACATTGTTCTAATACATTTTTTTTGCCTGGATCATGGTTTGGTACATGATTATTGAGATACTCACTCTTTCTTCTTGTAGTTTTCTGACCATGAGAGAAAAACAAAAATAAGGTTTGGCATGAATAAGCTTTTACTAATCAATACTTCACTATATGTGATGTGCAATTTATATTTAAATTAAAAAAAAGCATTCATTTAAAAGTCATGACTTATCATACCGCATTCCTATTCTAAAGGATTACCCCCCTCCCAAAGATCACCAAAAGTTTTATTCACTAAACATAGAAATTTAGCAAAATTATGACTACATGTTAGATAACTCTTTTTCCAAATTAGCGCCACCCTACGGACCTGAATGTAGGGAGGAGTGACTTCCTTGGTATGGGGTGAAACCAAGACACAACTATGAATATTGATGTAGGCATTACTTTGGGAAAGACCATTGGCTTGGCCATGGCAAATTGTAGTCTCACCCTCTATCTTCCTTAAAGGGGGAGGAGTCACCTACTTTAAATATTCGGGTCTAATGATAACAACATCAGTTTATATAATCTGGGGAAAATGGTTTGATTATTATAAAGATTAAACTATCAATACTTTGGCAGCTTAATAACCCTAGCATGGATACTTTTGTAAGATAAACATGAATAATCCCACCCCGAAAGTGGCTCTATCTATATTGATTATTGAATTTTGTATATTCTGTAATGCGATTTTGTCTATCCCCTTTCCCCAGTCCACCGATGGCCATCCCGATACTTTGTTTTCATGTTGTATGTTTCTTTTTATGTTGTACATATTGTAATGTAGTGTATATATTGTGTCTATTTCTATGATACAATAATCTTTCTTTAATTCTTGTATAAGCTGTAAAATTGTAATAAAAAAAAAATTATTATAAAAAATACTCAGGTCTCCCAGTGTGTGGCTGGCTAGTATAATTTTAGTTCCCAATAAAGTCGGGAGCACCGAAATGAACGTCAAACTTATGTGTTTCTATTGTTCACTGTGTGATAAGGGTGTGCAGGGACACTGAAGGTCTAATAGTAGCGGTCACACGATGCAACTATCAGTGTCACACATATCCCGGAGACCAGGCGGATAGGGAAGGAGGATGGAGGCTATCTAAGTACCTGTTAAGGGATTCAGGGAGTGCTAACGGTTAACGGGTAAGGGGGAACAATACTTGACTTGCCCCAAGCACTGACAATCCATGCTATGCCACTGACTATTAGTAAAACATGTTTGATACATTTGTGTTTCTGGTGTATCAGATCTATCAAAAACAAAGACTATGAGACCTCTGAGAACGGACAAATGCTTAGAGGAACTCAGTAGCTTGCCCTTTGGTAAAGCCCTGCTCAGGTCTCAAAATAGTTTTTGCTCACTTGTGCCATTAAAGAGAGAACCAGTTCCAAGGCATATCAGACTAATCCCACCCATGAGGGCAGTCCACAACCAAAATGCTGGCAAGTTCTCTCTGCATGAGAGATACAGCAACTCCGGACGATTGTTACGGCTTTCTTTGGGCCACATCAGTAAGGTGTAGCTGGATTACCCTTTTAACTTGGGAAGAGCCAAGTTCGTGCAACAAAAAAAAGAATATGAGAACCCTGAGAACGGACAAAAGCTTAAAGGAACAAAGTAGCTTGTCCTTTGGTAAATCCCTGCTCAGATCTATCAAGCCTCTTTTGTCGGTTAACTTTTTTTGTATACCACATTTTTCTTAGTTAGTATGCTAGGTGTTCTTCTGACAGCACACTTACTGATAGATATATTTAGTTGCAATTGTCCTTGGAGACTAAACTAGGAATATTAGAGATAGCTGACTTTTTGGGAAGGATCAGCTCCCATTTGTATGTAGTTAACCATTTTTTTCACTTTTTCAAATATTTTTTATTTTACATTTTGTTTATTTGCTCTGATAGCATAATAACTTTTTTATTTTTTTATTGATTCATTGGAAATTTATTTAGCTCTCCTTTTAGTCTAGTGTTTATTTACCTGATTCATTAGCTTCAAAAGATTTATTGTCCTCTCCAATTTTCTTTATGCTTTGCAGAGTGATAGACATGATGTCCTCAACTTCTCAAGTGGATAACCTGCAAGATGTAATAAAAATAATTAAGAAAATGCCCAGACTACATCCTGTTTAGGTTTTACTTCCTTTCTAAGTAGACTGGCAAAACTGGCAAATTTTCAAAATGTATACAATAAAAAAAAGACAAAAAAAACGATAAAATGTATTAATGTAGGATAAAATTGTGTTTTTGTTTACCTTTACTAGAAATCTAGGCAGGAGTATGGACAGCACTTTATGAAAATAATTAAACTTGTTAGATGAAAGCCTAATATTCTATTACGCTAAAATACAAAATACAAGGAATGATTAAACCAGTTTATTTAGATAGTGAGTGTCAAAGGGCTGGATTGCCAAATAGTAGTCTGTACGGCTTTATGAAGTACACAAATAGACACTTTGTAATAAATGTATAAAGTACAGAAAGCCCTGTGCAGAAGACTTTTGTTGCATATTTGTGAATATAACATGTTTTAAAAAATATTTGAAAATATATTCCCCATTCAGGAGATTTTGGTAAAGTTAGAAAATAACTGCAAGGGAACAACATTTTTAATCACGGCATTGCACAATTTACACCAAAAAAATCTAATATCTGAGTTGACAATATGCAATGTAGATCATAGGCTTTCATGTAAATGTGTATTTTTGCCTATATGCATTTAAAATGCCACATTCTCTCATAACCCCAATTAGCCACTTTCAAATAACAAGCCACAGTCATATAATTTTCCACTAACTTTCGATCACATGCACTCTCTCTCCATTTCTCAATAGCAGTCGCTAAAGAGTTTCCCTTCTCCATAGCTGCATTAGGGGAAGAGAAACTGTTTTATGCAATTTATTCTGTATTTTTATACACTTATAAATAAATGAAACATCACATATATAAAATGTTAACACAAATTATAGGTGATTTCCCATGATTTACTCTTGCAATTTCCAGAGAATTGAGTGTTTCATTTTAAAGCAGTGGATTAACATATGAATAATAATATTTGAGGTTATTCTTGTGGGGTTATTCTTTGTTTGAATTTGGTTCTGTAAGCCCCTATGGATTCTGTAGGACCATCTCTTCTGGTGATTGCCTGAATACCTTTAAGGAGCACTCTATGCAGCAAAATAACTCCCCACTGCCAAATCCACTTTTTTGGTAATATAAAATAAGCAAAAAGAAAAAAAAATGATGCTGTGTACTTTTGCCAAATTTAACCCAGTTTCCCTGCCTAATTTCTTTATCTTTCTTTATCCCATCTCCGGAGTATTTTATTCTGACCCTAAGTCTAAACCAACAAAAAAAATAGTAAATATTAATAATAAAATAGAGTGATGTTTTGTTAGTTATACCAATGATAATACTCATGGTTGTTCAAAATTGTGTAAAAATTGTGCAAATGCATGGTATTCAGAAATAGAACTAGAAGTATAGATTAAAGGGACAGTATTTAGGAAATGACCAACAAATCTAAGACTGATTCAGAAAATGACACATTTAAGTAATGCCGAATATAGGAAAACCAGTTTTAATACTAAGATATGTATATATATATATATATATATATATATACATTGATTCTTAATGAAATATAATTTAATTACAAATATTTTACCCACATTGTTACAGTTTTGCTCTATATACATAAGAAAAGATATACATAAATCTAACTTTGCCTTGCCCTAAATTAAGAAGTAAATCATACTGGAGAAGGGTATGCCAAGGAGAGGATCAAGTCTAAAGATCAGATCAAATCCTCAATGTGGATGTTCCGAATCTGAACCCAGGTGACAAAAGTAAATTCCCCTCCAAACACCCTTTGGGGTCTTATACAAGACAAGCCTTTCCGATGCCAGTGGATGGTAAAAGATCAGTCACCTGGACTTTATGCCTGGGTCATTATGTTCTAGGTCACTGGGAATCATTAACAACATGTTTTGCTTCATTATAAAGGTAAAGAACACCTATAGATATTAGAAGAACTCATCTATTAATTTTAAGCGGATAGATGAATATCCATAAAGTGAGGTGTGCACATTGCCCTATCCAGCCGGCCCACCAGTACAATATAGAATGGCATAGTATCTAAATATCATAAAATGCAAGAGTTTTTATCTTAACTGCATTGTTTATGAAAAGTCTTATTTTGTATAAAAGCAGTTTGTATCCATGTCTCTATATTGCCATGTTATTTAAAAAGATCAATGTCCCCATGCACCTTCCGATAGTGGCACGTGGCAAATCCTATATATTTACAGAGGTGAATGCCCTCTCTGTCACTACAGATACTTTAGTTTGCTTAAATAACTGCTTTAATGCAATCTAATAGGGTTATTAACAAAAGTGAGAATTTAAAGTGAATTTCAAATTCAAGGTCAAAACAGCTTAACTGGAAACGTTCTCTAAGTCAGTAATGCTTTTGATTCAGTTAGTTTTTCTCTAGACTTAAATGGGAAATTCCTTTTGAATTCTCACTTGAGTAAATATCCCTGTAAATTTTAGGTAAAGCCTAAAAGTGGCAAGAAACCACCATATTTTTTTTTAACAAAACATAAATGTCATGGATAGGGGGTCTGATAAGTGTTGTAAAAATTGCTCATCATATGTAACTGAATTAATTTAACAAGGTCCAAAATAAGATATTAATCATTATTCACAGCAACACATCATTGTGTTCAAGGCACAAGTACTACTGCAGTATTTAATTCCACAAATATATATGTAAAATCTTTTGGTCCGGCCTATTTGAAATAAGAAGTTCAAGGCAGATGATTTGCCTTCCACGTATAGGCCCTATGTAGCTAATACATTTTAAGAATGTTCATATTTTGCTAATTTTCTTTGGTATCCAACCTTCCTTCTTAATGTATCACTAAAACCAGGCACCTTAGCGTTCCATAGTTTCCTCTGGGAAAAAAAGGTAGCATAACCCCTATATCAATGCATATGCATGAGCGATTCAGCCCCTTGTAAAATTTAGACAGGAATCAGTATATAGAATGGGTCCCAAATTAAGCTTAACTGGGGGCCAAATGTCTTCTTAGACGCGGGCCACGGAACTGTACTCCCAGATGCCCTCACATAGGTCCATATACCAAGATGCTAACACTCACACACAGAGGCATACCCTGAAAAGACCACAAACAATCCCTATTCCCAGATGCTAGCATACACATACTGGTCCATACTACCAGACACACACACACATTCTTACACACATATATATCTGACTGCATCACTGACAATACTGGACAGTCCATGGGAAACAAGAATGCAGTTAGAAAGTTACAAATGGTTGGTAGGCCAGTAATTGAGACGTCCGGTATACAGGGATCCCAACAAAAGATATAGTAGTTTCTGGAGCAACTTATTGAGTCTCATTTTAGGGTCCCTCGCAGCATCTTTTGAGAGATCAGGAAGATAGAGCTATGCTAAATAGAATTTTTTTTTCCATGAACTGAACAATTTTATCACACAAATTAAACCAGCTTAACCAATTTATTTTGCAGTGACAAAATGCTTCAAAGCAGAGCTGGTATCCTCAGGATCTTTAAATTATGCAAAATCCATGCACAATGCCAATGAATTCATTTCTTAATTTAATTTGATATGGTACTATTCCTTATTCCATAAAACTATATAATCATTGTGAATCATATGATAATACACACAGAAATCTTTGTATAATTACCTTATATCCTTCATAAAATATTATCTTGATTATTTTATACAATGTTACCCATCAATTTTTTTGAGGACTCTATTTGAGTAGTTACAAAATGACACTAAAAATATCCATATACATTATTATGTGAAGAAAACTTTACTTGCCTGCAAATGACTAAGTGATAGAATGAATGACTGCGACCCACAGAAAAAAAAGTATAAATTGCTTTTGTTCAGTCAGAAACAGATTTGTATGTCCATGTCTGTTGTATCGGATTCCTGGCTGGAGAATGAACAGACACTATTAAAAACAGACGCTTTTAAGGGTATATTTTATGTTTACATAAAGGTAAATGGCCGAGCGATCGACTCTCTGACAGTTCAATGACTCTCGTAGCAAGTTTGTGGCAAGAGAATCTATTGTGGTATAGAAAGTAGAAATGGTTATGTATGTCCAGCAGGTACCTGAAGCAGTATTCCTCTTCAATAAAAGACAAAACAGTCAATACAAAACTTGGAATTGACCTCAATGACATTGCTCCAGCGGCATCTGAATTGACAATCATTACACAACAACAAAGTCATGTTCAGCATAAGGTCAAAATCAGGCTCAGCTCAGGCTGATAGGAAAAAAAGACACTCCACTGATTTTTAGAACATTTTCAGAAGTTAGCATGGAATTGTGGATATCTGCTTTGTTGGAATTAATTATTGATCACCTAACCCAGGGGATAGGCAACCTTTGGCACTCCAGATGTTGTGGACTACATCCCCCATAAAGCTCTTAGTTTGTTAGGAATCTATTGGCTATTCTGGGAATGGATTTCCAAAAAACACCACTGAAATATATAAACAATATTTATATATAAGAATAATTGATAATGTCCACATGCAGTTAATACAGTATGTACCAACAAGGCGTAGCTAACTCGTGCTATAGCCTGCAAATAATCCCCTGAGTACAAGAATGACCTTTGTCCCAAAATATTAATCAGTTTCTCTATAGGTTGAAAACCAATGATGGAGAAAAGATGAACAAAAAAAATGTTGGACTTGATGACATAAATCTAATTTAGCATTGTTTCTCATTGCAAATTAAAGTCAGTCCTAATAGTCACATTGTTGTTAGGGATAATATCAACACTGGTAGATATTATTTACATAATAATAAAGCTTTTTAATGGTAGTATTTGAGATTAAATGGATTTCATTAATAATTTTTCTATAAATATTTTCAGTGTTTTATACTTGATAATAACTGTTCTTTGTATGCATTTGTTAGAAAATCAATAAAGCATGATACATAATAAATTTTCAGAGCAGAGACAAACTTCTAGAGGACAAAATGGTTTGATACAACGTATAACTTTACCGCTAATATTCCACCACTTTGCAAATTATCTAGGACCCAAAGAGTAAAATGATCATTTTACAAAAGGATGTTGGCGTAGAACCAAGAAAAAAATTGCACTGATTCTCATGAAATATAATTTGTTAAATTTCAAATATTTCACCCACATTGTTCCAGTTTCACTCTAAATAATAAAATAAATGGTAGACTGATGGCCACAAAGTAATGTCCCAACTAGATTGTGCATGAATAAAATCTAATATTGCGACAAATTCAAGGTAATATGGAAATTGTATATAAACTGCTGCACATGTATCCATCATACTGTGCACAAATTTTGTATTTTAGAGAAAGCAGGAAACGAGATAAGAAGAAAACAAAGCATTAAGGAAAATAAATAAATACTGCACAATTTTTTCAATGTACATTCATTCAATTTGGATCGAGACTACGCAGCCTGACAATCACAACTCAAAGAACAGAACCAGATGGACTTTATGAGCTGGGTTAACACTGGTTGTCTGAGGGAAGCTAACCTGCTATACTTAGTGTGGGTTATTATAAAATGTGACATACTATTACTTCAAGTAAGGTTAATTCATATCATTAGGGAGAGCTGAGATGGAAGTGCACTACATCTATTAGATTGTTAGGTAATAATGTATGTGAATTAGAATGGTTTTAGGTATGTGAGCTAAAGGCTATTTAAATGTGTGTCTGTGTGTATGTATGTGTTTGTGTGCATGTGTGTTTATTGACCTTTCGAGTTCCCAGTGCACCCAATGACCCTCATATTAATTTAAACTACCAGTTCAGAATTAGTAACCTTCAACCAGCTACTCTTGGGATGAAGGCAAATATGGGACGTTGTTGGAATCTCCATGGTTACAAGTGGGGATCCTAGGAAATTCCGACTTAATTTATTTTACAGCATGCCCTCCTCCAGCCGCACAATATGGTTTGTCATTCTACTAATGTAGCTGTGAACTGTGGAACCCCTGCCGGGTTTTTATTATTTCTTTTTAATGTTGTCGAAGCTGGCAGCTTATGCAGCCAGCAGACCAAATTATTTATTTATAAAGGACTTATATTTGCAGCAAAAAAGCAATCTCCAAATTAGACCCCAAAGGATTGACAAATGTAACATTAAGAAATGTCAGGCTTTATAGACGTTGCATTTTCAGTGGACACCAAATTGCTCTCTGCAGAGTAATTCAAACATAAATTTTCTATTTTGAATGCAAATTATCTTAAGTAAGAATATGAATTAGAATCTAGGACCCAAATTAAGATATTATTTCAAAATGAAGGTTTTCAGATGTAAATTTGGGCATAGTATTTAACCTGAGTAGTGATAAAGCAGTCAGTCCAATTGACAGATCTTAGTTTGTTTCCAAGGATTTTGTAGACAGAGTCTTAAATTAAACCACAAAAGCATCAGTATAAGCAATTGCAAATTGCACATTTTGGCTATTTTAAAGGTTCTGCCAGGTCAAACTACTTGATGTTACTGAAATGTGTGCAAAGGAATCTGCAAAGAAACACCGAGCTGCAAACTCTCTACTGATCCAATGTAATATTTACATCACATATTCAGTTAAATAGTTTATGTCCAAAAAACTGACTGTTGAAATCATTAATTTATAGAAACATCCCGTGTCCTCTCACTTTGAGCACAAGAACAACGTGAAAACTGATGGAATAAACATAGACATGTTTTGAGATTTTGTGTGACGAAGTGTTTGGTGTAGAATATTCCCAAAACCATCACTTGGTAGAATATGAATCTTTTATTTCACTGTGCAGAGTTAATTATTTATTTATATCTGTAACTCCTGTAAAGAAATACATTTTTGTTCTGTTTGACAAAGAAAATGTTATGGATCTTTGTAGGAAAATGAGGCACAGTTATAGTTACTATTTTTTACAGAGCTCTTTTAAATGTTGTTGATAGTTTGTATTGACCAGCCACTATTCACTAAAATGCTTGTCGCTACTGTTAAGTAGTTACGGTTTACTGGCTACGAAATTTCACAAGGATTGACAGAGAGGTAGCATCTTTTGCAACAGAAAGACAGTCATTAAGTAGTAACTATCGACTTCCATTGTTCCCAACGCACTCTTCATCTTTCCAGCCTTGTGCGTAGGAGCTTTTCTGGGAAGTCCCCATCCGACCTGAGTAGAATGCTCTCCCCAGCTGTTCCCACCTCCTAACACCTCTGATCCAGTACCAGCCCTTTATTTAGTATACCGCTATACAAAAATAAAGTGGCTCAATCCTCATTGTATTACAGAGCCCCGCAATTATGGAATAACCTCACAGACACAGTCGAACCTTCATTCAATCTAAAATCCTTTAAGAGACCTATGGCAATATACCTCAAAACAGAATGCACATGTCATGACTGATTATAGTTATTACCAGTTTTGTTCTATAATATATGTGTGTGTACGTATATACGGTGAGGGAAAAAAAGTATTTGATCCCTTGCTGATTTTGAACGTTTGCCCACTGACAAATAAATTTTCAGTCTATAGGTTTTAATGGTAGGTGTATTTTAACAGTGAGAGACCGAATAACAAACAAAAAATTCAGGAAAATGCATGTCAAAAAGTTATAAATTGATTTGCATGTCAATGAGTGAAATAAGTATTTGATTGCACATCAATCAGAAAGATTTCTGGCTCCCAGAAGTCTTTTATACAGGTAACAAGATGAGATTAGGAGGACTCTCTTAAAGGGAGTGCTCCTAATCTCAGCTTGTTACCTGTATAAAATACACCTGTCCACAGACGCAATCAATCAATCAGATTCCAAACTCTCCACCATGGCCAAGACTAAAGAGCTGTCCAAGGATGTCAAGGACAAGATTGTAGACCTACACAAGGATGGAATGGGCTACAAGACAGCTTGGTTTAAACAGGAAATGGAAGAAATGGAAGAAACACAAAATAACTCTCAGTCTCCCTCGGTCTGGTGCTTCATGCAAGATCTCACCTCGTGGAGTTTCAATGATCATGAGAACGGTGAGGAATCATCCCAGAACTACATGGGAGGATCTTGTTAAGGATTTCAAGGCAGCTGGGACTATAGTCACCAAGAAAACAATTGGTAACACACTACGCTTTAAAGGACTGAAATCCTTCAGCGCCCGCAAGGTCTCCCTGCTCAAGAAAGCACATGTACAGGCCGTCTGAAGTTTGCCAGTGAACATCTAAATGATTCAGAGGAGAACTGTGTGAAAATGTTGTGGTCGGATGAGACCAAAATCAAGCTCTTTGGCATCAACTCAACTCGCCGTGTTTGGAAGAGGAGGAATGCTGCCTATGACCCCAAGAATACCATCCCCACTATCAAACACGGAGGTGGAAACATTATGCTTTGGGGCTGATTTTCTGCAATGGGGACAGGACAACTGCACCACATCAAAGGGATGATGAACAAGGCCATGTACTGTCAAATCTTGGGTGAGAACCTCCTTCCCTGAGTCAGGGCATTGAAAATGGGTTGTGGATGGGTATTCCAGCAAGACAATGACCCAAAACACACAGCCAAGGCAACAAAGGGGTGGCTTAAGAAGAAGAACATTAAGGTCCTGGAGTGGCTTAGCCAGTCTCCAGACCTTAATCCTACAGAAAATCTGTGGAGGGAGCTGAAGGTTGATTTGCCAAACGTCAGTGGGCAAATGTTCAAAATCAGCAGGGTATCAAATACTTTTTTCCCTCACTGTATATTGCATATTGTATTATTTTTTTGTAATAATATATTGTACTCTATTGTAACAATGCAGTATTTGTGGGCCCAGGACTTTTAATCGAGATAAATCTCAATGTTTCCTTCCTGGTAAAATATTTGATAAATAAATAAATGATTCTCTATGGGACCAGCTAGCCTTTACTTAGTGGCTGGTTTCCTGGTTTCTGTCTGATGTCAAACCCTGTTGCTAATCAGCCACTATCCGAAAAACACTATAACCATATTATCTTACTCATCCTCCAGTCTTACTTAAGGCATATTCA